GCGTGTCGACTAAGGGTTATGATCAGTTCCAACTGATGACCAACGGTATTCCTTACTGAGATTATGTAGGTGTGATGTTATCCACAGACCATTTTCTCTATAGATCTAGAATTTGCATTTTTGATATAATATTTCTTTGATCATCGATTCTACCACATAGATATGGTCAATTCAATCCAATCCACGTAAGATAACCAATACCTAACCTTGTCATCTCTCTCTTTCGGTGTCTTTTTTTTTTTCACTTAATGAAAAAAGTGTCTGGTTGACGTCACGACTATGTCGGCACAACGACATACTGATCGGATTCCCCGATACCTCGGGCAAGTTTAACTTTATTACATTTAAAGATAACTTTGTATGGATTACAACACAAAATAATCCGTATCTGATGAGGATGCACTGTCAATCCGTCATATATAGAGACCCAATATTAACAATGACCGTGATATCTCATATATAACCTATAGGACATATATACTTCAATTAGCATCGGGGTGGCGCATTCAATACATGACGATCTACATCGTACTAGGTCCGAGGACTGTTCCGGAAGTGGCAATATGACGATGTAAAGACATTTGACTTAAGACTAGGGCTTTATAATGTGCAAGACAGCCTTGGGCACAGCCCTAGCTCCGGGTGTCCAACGCCAAACCCTCCCCCCTAATCAACCTAGATCTGGATTAACAGTATATTCTACATATTATACACACCTCCAATCTCCAAACTCCAGGATGAAAATCCCGTTCCTCAACAAACTCAGCGGCGGAGGAACAGGGACCAAGTCCCCGCCATTGACGGACTTGTCGGGGGAGTCCGCGATAGCAGATCGCGAGAAAAGAGGCAGCAACATGGACGAGTCGCGTGTGCCATGGGTAACATGGAGGTCTGTGTTGCTAGGCGCCTTTGTCTCAATTGGTGGTGTCATTTTTGGATATGATACTGGCCAGATCTCGGGCTTTCTGGAGATGCGTAACTTCAAACAGCGGTTTGCGCAGTTGAAGCCTGATGGGACATATCACTTTAACAATGTTCGGTCTGGGTTGATTGTTTCCATGGTGAGTGGATATCGTTGCATGTCTTTGAAAAGGAGGTATGTGAATGTGGGAAATCTAACGCTTTCCAGCTCTCCATCGGTACATTAATAGGAGCTCTTCTCGCCGGACCATTGACCGACCGAATTGGCCGAAAATGGTCCATCTTCTTCTGGTGCATCATTCTCCATGTCGGACTGATCATCCAAATATCCTCACCAGCGGGAAAATGGTACCAATTCATGATGGGGCGATTTGTAACCGGATTCGGTGTGGGTGCCTGTTCACTGCTGGTGCCCATGTATCAGGGTGAGATTGCACCACGACATATCCGAGGAGCGATGGTGTGGTAAGTCATAATCCAACCCTCAACAATCGCAATATGCTCATAGCCCTAATACAACATCAGCTCCTATCAATTATTTGTAACACTGGGCATCTTTATCGCATACTGCATCAACTTCGGCACAGAAAGCATGGACAACACCGCATCGTGGCGAATCCCACTCGGTATCACATTCCTATGGGGTCTTGTCCTTGGAATCGGCATCCTTCTCTTTCCGGAGAGTCCTCGGTTCGACTACCGGAACGGACGCGTGGACCGCGCCCGACGCACCATGTCGAAGCTGTACGGGATACCCGAGAATCACCGGGTGATCGTGCATGAGATTGCTGAGATACAAGAACAGCTGGATTCCGAGCAAGGGGCGCGAGGGGGGATCCGCGGTTGGCTTGAGATGTTCCAGGCGCCACGCATGGCGTACCGCATCATACTTGGCGTTGTGCTTCAAGCTTTGCAGCAGCTGACCGGTGCCAACTACTTCTTCTACTACGTGAGTTTTTTCCCCCCTTCAAGGGTGTGATCCAATATACGTCAAGCCTGGCTAATATGTGTTCAGGGAACCGTGATCTTCAATGGAGCAGGGATCGACAACACATATGTGACACAGATGATCCTGGGCGGAGTGAACTTCGGCACCACATTCGGCGGACTATACGTGATCGAGCATTTCGGAAGACGCAAGTCTCTGATCGCCGGTGGGATCTGGATGTTTATCTGCTTTATGGTATTTGCGTCTGTGGGTCACTTCTCGCTTGATGTTCATACGCCACGTAACACGCCCGGAGCTGGCAAAGCGATGGTTGTATTTGCTTGCCTATTCATCACCGGGTTTGCCATGACTTGGGGCCCGATGGTGTGGGCCATTGTGGCCGAGCTGTACCCATCGCGATACCGAGCGCGTGCGATGGCGATGGCGACTGCGTCGAACTGGTTGTGGAATTTCCTGATTGGATTCTTCACGCCGTTTATCACTGGCGATATTGACTTTGCGTATGGATATGTGTTTGCCGGGTGTTTGTTCTTCGCGGTGATTGTTGTTTACTTCTTTGTTATCGAGGGTAAAGATAAGACACTTGAGGAGATGGATATGATGTATGTGATGCGTGTGCCGCCGTGGAAGAGCAGCAAGTGGAAGCCGCCGGAGCCGGAGAATCGGCTCACGACTGATCAGCTTATGGATCGGAAGGTTGCAAAGAAGTATAACAGGGAAGAGGAGGGTGCGCAGAGCAGGAAGCAGACGGAAGGAGTCCCCGGTCATTCACATGCTGAGACGGCTGAGGCTGCGGATGATGCTGGGACTGGACCTTCTTCGCATTTCTCTTGAGGGTTGACCTAAGCGACCTTGGTGTGACACGAAGAGTTGAAGTGGTGGACTGTATATGGACCGAGAGAAAATTTGTGTGATGTTGGGGAGTAATGAACATACGGGGAGGTATTCAGTGTACATACTGAATAGAACACAGATATAGAGTACTTCAAAATACAATTGATAGTCCAATAACCAGTGACCAGTGGGGATGTCAATTTGGTAGTCATATAAGAATAAAATCATCCGCATCACCAGGATAGAATGGATAAGGAAAAAGGCTCAGAAACAGATGAAAACGCCGATCCCAGGGCTGAAGAAGAGAGACAAGTTGATAATCCTCCATGGATCATTTTGATACATATTCCTCCTATTTGCAAAACAAGCGGAAATAGTTGGGAAGACACATCAAGAGGATGGAAACCCAAAATTGATACAAGTCTGTTGAGACTTTAGGCATCGAATGCAAGGGGGGAAAAAATGGGAAAAAATAAAAAAATAAAAAAAGGAAGCAGCAGCAGCCAGTGAGGCCCAGTAGCACTGATCAGGATATACTTTCCTTGCAAAGGTGACGAGAATTAATCCCTAATCCATAAAGTCGCCTCTCAAGATCTTCTCCTGGAAGAAATCTGGCTTATTCTGCTTGGGCTGACGGGGCATTTCCCGGCTGGGTTGCTCCATAGATGCGATGGAAGCGGCACGCTGGTGGTGACCGGTGGAACGCTGGGCTGCCTGGGGGGAGACAGGGCCGCCGAGGGAAGGGGCACGCTCGGCACGAGAGCGGAGGGCCTCTGACCAGTTAAAGCCTTCGCCTAAGGGTCGGCGTGATGCGTTAGATCTCTCATCCTGAGGAGACGTTGAAGTACTTGCGGAAGAACGGGTAGCAACAATCGCCGAACCGGCCGGAGGGGAACGGCGCGGGCCTACGGCAGACGGAGGGGGGTAATTTCTACCATTGCCTATGCTTCCTGCACGAGCATCACGCAGGGCCTGTGCACCAAAGGAAACGCGTCTTCCGAACTGCGAGTTGGGCGAGGTTCCTGTTACTTGGTCGTCCTCGAGGGCATCTTCGGCCGGGATGTTAGAGCCCATTGAGCTGGATAGGCTACCTCGACGGAAGTTGCGGTTGCCACCGAAGGCGGATGCCTGGGTGGGGGAACCAGAGAGGCCAAGCGTGGTGATTGACAGCCGACGCTGGTTGGACTGCTGGTTTGCAGCCTGGGTGTTGGATGGGTTACTCGGCTTAGAGAAGATGTCGGCGATGGAACCACGACGTCGACGGTTCTCTGCATGTGGGACCGAGATGGGGGAGGTGGGATCGTTGGCCATTGTCAGATGAAGACAGGTTTGAACTGAGAACAGGAAAATGTGGACGGACTAGCCGCCCTTTTCATGTAATAGAGAATTGGGAGAATAGAGTAAAGATCAAAGTGACGAGAATGGTCTGATCAGTTGGAAGGAGGGTGGAATGATGGTGGGGCTAGGAACTTGATTTGAGGAAAGATTGAAAGATTGAAAGATGGGAAGTATTTCCGAGAGACGATGAAAATGGAATGAAAGAAGGGAGAGATGTAGAAGTTGGAAGAAGAGAAAAAGAGAAGAAGAAGAGGGGGGGAAATAGTAGGTTCACCGAAAGGCAGAAGAAAGCTAAGCATCCGATTTTCTGGGGAAAGTGGCGCTAAGTGGAGAGTGGTGATGTCGATGGGGCTGACTCAGCATTCCGTTTTAGGTCTATGACTTTAGTCTATTCCTTTCTTAGTCTGTTACTCTATTTATTACTCTATTACTCTATTGGTCTATTGGTCTATTACTCTATTTACTAGGTTTATTATAATTGGTCTAATACTTTATACTCTTATGTTTGAATATTGGAATATTGCTGCATTACAAAGTTATATAAGGTTATATGTATGGGATGATATATAGGATATATAGGGTATCCATAGTCCATGGATATAGGACAAATAGGATATATCATGATAACTTCATGCTACCTATTATACCTATCCCTATATAACACACAGAATAGTCAACCTGGTTTACAGAGGGGTATCATGCAGAACGCCACTCCCTGCAGGAAAGAGGGGAAGCATTCGTGTTCGTAGCTCGAGAGTAAATAGAAAAAGGACGTATATCGTGTATTGCTCGTTTCCCATAAAGTGTGATATGTGCTAGGTTTCTGATTTCTTCCGGTCCCAGGATGAATCCCCTCTGTCAATGTCTGTCATTATAGGCCAGAAAACTTGCTGATAACCAACATAGACCAAAGACAGAGCAGATCATCCCAAGTCAAGAAACCAGGTAATCAAGAAACTCAAGGCAAGTGAAACAACTGGATCAGCTTACGGCCGATCGTCGGCTCGATTTCGGTGCCGTCACGAGCGATTTTGATTTCCCGATTCGCATTCCAGGGGTTACGGAGGCCACGAGTACGCTGAAAGGGTACCCGTTCCGTCGAAATCCATCGAATGCGGAACGGTTTACCAAAAGTTTGACCCTCTTCCGGATCCTCTGGCTCGACGCTCTTCTCGCTGATGTTGTCGTTCTCATCTTCCGACGATTCAACTTCCCAGAAGATAGTTCCCCGCACTGAATCATCGATGATTCGGCCTTGCGGCGCTGTCGAGGTTGCCGCTGTCAGGGTCACGTCGAGCTCGTCGGGCCCACCGGGCGGGGGATCGGGCCGGGATGGCATCTCCAAAGCGAGTTCTTCGTCGTCGCTGATCGGCGACACCATGCGCGCGTATCCAAAATACTCACCAGATTTGTTCGCGGAGAAAATTAAATAGACGTGATCGGTGGTCTGGGTAAAGGTCAGTTTCGGTCATTGCAGTACTGTATATAGGTCTATACCTACCTCGAAAGCTTGATTCATTGCCGCCTCGTTGTGCGACTGCGTAGCCCAAATGCCACTTTGCTTGCTTAATTCGAGATCCTCCACTGTCAAGCTTTTCACAATAAAGTATCGATCTACCAACCGGGCCGGGGGTGGATAGTTGCCTGTAGCAGGCGCGGCCGCGCTAAGCTCCGGTGTGATTGAATCATCATCGTCCGGGTCAGTAGCAGTAGCCATAGCCGTACTCGTACTCGTAGCAATATCCTCCAATCGTGGCCGGGGAGCTTGATTCACCACGGGAACTGCCACAACTACAGATCCGGACCCCGGGGCCGTGAACCCCTTTCGCAATCGACAAACAACACGTACGCCCTGGAAACGGGAGTCATTGAATCTCGCCAACGCCGCGACACACGCGGCTGCAGACTTGTAGTTCACGAATGCACAATTACTCTTGGCGATGAGGAATACACTCTCGATATCGTTTGTCGCACCTTGTGAGAAATGATCCTTGAGATCCACAACACTGGCCCCTGGGGGGAGATTTCCAACCCAGAGTGCGTGGCCGGATTGCTTTGGTTTTCGGGGTGGCCCTCGTGGGGTACTCGAAGCGGTCGGGGCTGGTTGCGAGGGCGAACTATTGTCTGATGAATTGCAAGTTAGCAACAATTCCCAAGCGAGAGGTTCAGCGAAAAAGAAGAAGAAAAAAAAAAAAGAAAAAAAGCTCACCGGAGAGGAGCGGTTGGGTTTGAGGCTGCACTAATTTCATGGGATTCGATCCATCCACGATTGTCTTTGAGACGTCGTATTCCAAATCCGCCATCCGTTTATCGGCTTCTTTGCGCAGGGAGCCCGGTTTTGATGGCGAGCTTGTGGTGGTACGGACGGGAGATGTGGTCTGGGGAATTTGGCCGACAGGCGGCACTCCATGTCCATAAGGGGCACCGTACGGCGAATGAGGGTAATAGCCCGAGGCATATGGAGATACTTGCCCGGGACTGAGGTTGTGCATTTGGGTTCCATGCTGGTAAGGAGTTCCATGTTGAACGGGACCTGGGTGTTGAGGAATCGCGTACGGCGGATAAGCTGGGTAAGGCACGCCGTACGCCATGCCTCCGGAGTTGTGTCCATATGGAGCCATTGGCATGGGATACATCATACCTTGCCCTTGGGCAGCCGGGTATTGATGTATTGGCTGATCATAACCCTGTGAGTGATGGCCTGGAAGGAAGTATCCCATGTTGCTCATGTTCAAGGGAGAAGGGGCGGTTCCATATCGAGCTTCTGCAAAGCTGGAATGGTGTCTGACATTGGGAGGTCGCGCTGAAGTAGATGCACCTGAGGAGAGATTTAGTCAATAGACAACGCTTGGACCAATTTGGAAAGGAGGAACTAACCCTGGTCTGATATCGGGGCTGTCCCGTCGGCTTTCTTGTCTGGGGGAACATTGCCCATGGGGGGTCGTGGGTAACAGTTCCAATGGCAACCTTTTTCAAACTACTTTATAGAGTTTAGTGTATAAAATGGACACATCTTACTTGAGGTCTTACCTATAAGTCAAAGTAGCTCGAGGCTACTGGAGTTCTATAAGAAATCCCACAGATGCAAGTGACTTCCTCAAGAGTCCGATAGAAGAGAGACGAATAGAATAGAATAGAATAGAATAGGATAGGATAGAATAGAGTAGAAGAGAAGATGTAACGGTCAGATTCAGAAGGGGAAAATCCCAAGCTATGCAGGTTAGTCTTTTGAAATAAGAAATTCTCAATAGAAGATGTGTGTGATGGTAAGAGGAAATTGAAAGGGGAAGAAAAAAAGAGAAAAATCACGAACGCACTAACAACTTTCCCCCCCCCTCCTTCGCAGAAGCCCAAGCTCAAACAAAGTAGGTGGAACAAAAGGACAGGGGATTGTAGAGAGAAACAAGCCCTGAAGAGAAACAAGTGGGTTAGGCATTAAGAGATAGGGGAAGCTTAAAGGCTATCACTGGAAGGCCAAGATATGCCAGAAGAAAACACCAGGTAGAGAATATGACGCCCAAATTATTAAAAAAAAAAAGGGTGGACATACCTGTTTTGTTTCAAGTGTTGTGTTACTTGGAATTGGTCTAGACAGGGGGCAGAAGGTGTAGTTATAACTGAGCAGGGCAAAAGAGCCGAGGGAGAGAGAGGGAGAGGGAGAGAGAGGGAGAGGGAGAGAGACTAAAATAGTGATTTCCCGGAAGCTTTGGGGGGGGGGAAAGGCAATGTATAAATGAAAGAGATATAGGGCAGGAAAAGAAAGGTGCCCAAAAGGGGAGCTAAATAAGAGTGTAGAATGTATGAAAGTACCCTTTTATGCTGAAGAGTGGCGGATCTGTGAATGGGGGCCCTGAGGGTCCTGGGGGTCCTGGGGAGAATTGAAGCCAATCAACTATCTTGGCAGGTGACAGGCTGTGGATTATGTCAATGGCTTAAAAGCACATACATATCAAGGTATTCCACGGATTAAGATATTTATATAAAAAGAAGGGGGGGAAAAAAAGGATGGCTTCGGGTGTCCTGTATATAAACATTTATAGTCATGTAGCTATTAGTTATCGACAAATAAGAGACTCGGGATTAGTCTCGGGCAAACGTGTAAAATAATTTGTGGTCTGAGTATCGTGTCATCGGTGCAGATGTGCTGAGATGCAGATCGAGCCTTTTTTTTTCCTTCCCTCTTTTTTCTCTCTTTTTTTTTTCATATTTTGTGACGGGTATCTGGGCGGGGCCAACTTGTCGCGATTGGGGGATATTAATATGTTGGGGGCCTGGGAGGAAAAAAAAAAAATTGGACTTACGACTTACATACCCGAGGAGCCTCTTCAAGCCTGGACCAATGAGTCGAATTGACGGATTTGCCACTGTCAGGGGTGGAGAAGACTGCGCCAAAATAAGAATGGTATGGACGTGCAATGGACTCCGTAATGAGTTCCGTGCAACCCGTATAACGGTACAGTATGTATCAACACCTATAAGAACAGAATGAGCCTTTAGATCCGACGGGATATAGCGGCAAGGGGAAGCCATAGACCGTTGGAGCTGGAGCTATTCTGGATACCCTCCCACTAGGCTCGATCATGATCCCACCAATGATATATAGAGATTGGTTTCGAAGGGGACTTTTCACTTCTCTGGGATGTGAATATTGGAAGTCCAATATTGTATGTTGCACCATTTCGAGTTCAAGCCCATTTCAAAGGCAAAAGACACGTCGTGTGCGACTGTATAGTGCGACAGAGCACAGTTGCCTGATTCTGGGCCATGGCAGCCGAGAAAAAGCCTCGACGATAGATTGGATAATAGATTGTGTACTTTGTACGATGTAGTATTGACTCTGGAGAACCGTTTCAGAGTATATGCCGTGGATACGTACAAAGTACGTACCGCTGAGTGGGGATCAAATGGAGCTTGGTGATCCTGAAAAGGAAAAAAGTAAGACATACGTCTGCACATCAAACAGTCAAAAGGGAAGAAAGTCCAGAATGAACCAATTGAAAAAAATGGGAGAAAGGAGAACAGAAAAAGGGACAAAATGAGGTGAAGTTGGATCCACCTGGGTTGATCCATCGGCATCTCAGGCCAGCCAATCAGAGACGGGTATTAGGGACTACATTGGGGAACTACATTCAGGAACTACATATCTCCTTGATAAAAAAAAGAAGAGAAAAATTTAACAGAATATTGTGTCTGTAATCTATCTCATGTCCTTCGTATTGCCATCACATGTGTTCCTAATATACAAAGTATGGTACGATATACTCTGTCATGGCAGAAGGCATATATATCCCGAGGTCCACTGCAACAGTGTGGCTTCCTAATACACCAATCAGAGATATCAGAAACAGCCACAGTGACTCTAGAGGCATTTAGGGATTCAGGTTGGAATCACGGCAATGGATACTGTTTTTTAGCAGAATGCAAGGTACCTTACATCCGACTAACCCGAGGACGTCATCTTTCCACCATGTTATGTTGTATATCAATATACGGCTACTAATCAATATTGGATCATGCGCTGTCGTGCTTCCATTTCTTGAGTAGCACACATGTTATACAAGTTACATATTGTATACATATACTTTTCTTGCCGGAGTATGTTTCCGAATCAAGTGACTTGTCCTCTTATACAAATTACTTGAACACCTTTCCTATATCTACATCTACATATTGTAAATCGTACATTGCATATTGCACATCCAACGAATGCATTCTCGACGTTGCCCTGTGACTCATGTCCTTTGCCACTCTCATCCATGTTGGAGCATAATCCGGAGATCTCCCGACAATGACAGGAACATCCTACGATCTACAATATACAAATATAGTACATAGCAATTCGAATGGTGATATACAACATGTACACGGCAGTGGCCCACTGACGCCCCATTGATCTAAGTGCATTCGCCTTCCAAAAAGATATTCTAGCACCTTCCACCCAACGATCGAAGCAGAAACATCAAGTCTGATTGGGGAATCGGCGATCAATCAAATGTGAGTGGTCAGAGTGGACTTCTCGACGTCCACGGTCTCTGCTGCGGGAAGACGCCACATGAACACCTCAGGCGTCACTCTGGATCCCCTGACGTCATTCATCGTCCCCACGTCCCTCCACGTCCCTCCACTCCCCTGAATCCACTGCTTTTTTTCCCATGTACTTTGTATACAACATAAAAATGAGAATCATGAGCCCCTCCATAGTGGATACTACCGTATGTATGCCCAATGCCACTCGGACTTGTCCGTCAAGGGTTAAAGATAACAAGTTGACTCATTCTATCCATAATACTCCGTATAATGCGTTGTATCATCAGTGGCTTTGTGGCTGTGGTCCCTACCACCATAATATACAACATGACCCCCAATCACTACTGGGATCAGCAGAGATCCGAGCAGGCCTATCTCCATTCTCTCTCCATTCTCAATTCTCGATTCACCATGTTGTGATTGTGACTCAGAGCAAGCCCAAACTCGGATCATCTCCGCTGTTGCGTTCCAATGGATCAGCCCGCATGTCTCCATATCTCCATACCCGTCTTGTACGATGTACTCCGTAGGGGCTTCTACTTTCCAGAAAACTGCCGGTCTTACCATCCTCGGCCACCGCTAGACGCCACAGCCCCGCGGCTTGCAGTTCTAGCTCTATCCATGGATGATTGTCAGGATTATCATCAGCTGCTGGGGTCAGTGGGGAGACTCGGATGCGTTGGTGTTGCCACTGTTAGGCAACTTTGTTTCTGTGCAAGGTATAGGATCTAGTATGGTGTAGAGAATCGGTGGTGTATGGTTGATAGCTATTTTGATATGGGAAAAGTGGATGAGGGGAGGCGAAGAAAAGAGAACAAGGGTATAGCAACTAGCTCCATCTGATATATGCCGGAGACAACCTATTTAGACAGCTCCTAGATAGCTGTTTAAGAGCTTCCAAGGTTCATTCTCCTATGGCCATAATTGATTACTGCGATAGTAGATACTCCCAAGGCCCCAAAGTTCGATAAAGACAAAGTCCCCCTACAGACGGAGATACACCAGAACACAACTACATATAAAACAGGATGATCATAATGCAGGGCAAAGGCAACGGACCCGACCCATATTTGAATTTGTAGAAGACAACAAACCATAAAAGTGGGAGCAACCATCCAAAAGTAGGATGATATGTTAGTATCAAGAATTGACACGAAGAAGTGAAACAAAAAAGAAGAGAAAGAAAATCACCACCTGGCCATCATAGAAGTCAGAGCCCAAGTGCGAAAAAAAAAAGAGAAAGATTCTGACCAGAAACAGAAAACAAAGAGTGAAAGGAACATCAACAAAGTCATCAGAGGGGAATTTTCATGCGGAATCTCATTAAACACTGATATAATTACGATTATGGGCGGCGCGGCTGATGTGCTAAACGGGGGATATAGACAAGATGAAGCGCGGGGAGGAGAAGCCCTTTATCGATCAATTCCAAGTGAAGCCACTTTTCCCGCAAAGCGGGCACCAGCGCTTCCTCTTTTGGAGAGCTTCTCTCTGTCTTTATCTCTGCTTTCTGCGAGAGTTGGAGTGTTTGACGAAGAAGAAGAGTCCTTGCTGCGGATGGTTGGGAGGGAGCCCAGAGTATCGTTTGCAGAGGACTTTCCACCGAGTGGCGGTGGAGGCACGCTAAAGGCAGATGTGCGGGCGGTCCGTTGGCTGAGGTAGAGCTTGGCTGCGGGGGAGAGAGGGATGGAGGGGGGTTGTGGCGGGATCTCGGCGCCGTTCTGGACTAGCAGCTCGGCAATAGGGAACGGGATGGCTTTTGCGCTAGACCTGGCGGCGAGAGTGGTCGGTGGGGCGCCTGGGGACGCAGGATCAGCGGCGGCGAGGGCAAGGAAGGTTGCGTGGGTGTTGCGAGAGCGATCAGTGATGTTTACGTTGCCACGTAGGGCGAGGCCGTAGAGGACGCCTTGGATGTCGTTCTGTTTGATTGACGCGAGAAGTGTTTCATCAGGCGTCGCGAAGCGAGAACGCGGTGAAGGCAGATGCTCAACGTAGGCTCGATCAACATATTTGGCGGTGATGAATCTTAAACGCTGCTCTCGAGTAGAACTGGCGCTCGGCTTGAGCTTTTGATCTAGGGTTGCCTCCCAAATCATGTTGCTGACGCGGTTGCCAATCTGCAGGAGAATCTCGACGATATCGTTCGAGAAGGAATGTACATCCAACGTGAGAGAGCGGATCTTGGATATATGCGTGCCTAGAGAGCGGTGAATTCCACTACATTCAATGCAGAGAATGATTCCGAGGTTGATGGACACCCACTCAACCTTGGACGAGGATCCGCAATCAGCACACCAGTTGTTGCCTTGATCCGCATCCCGTACAACCTGCAGAAGTTTTGCAGGATTCTCTTCAAAGGTGTTGCTATCATGACGGACATAGCCCGGACGCGCACCGACTGTTGTTCTGCGGATGACGCCAGTGTTGTTGCTAGAGCTAGAGTTGGAATAGGAATGGTGGCCAGACACAGACGAACTTTTTCCTGTTAGAACAGAACCAATATCCCGACTGGTCGGCGCATCATTCCTAGAGGCGGAAGGAGGTGAAGTCTCCTGGCCTTCAACCGCACTCTGCAGCGCGTTGTTGATAGACCTGATCCAATTGGACATGTCGTCCTCGGATGTGGCTTGGTAAATACGTTTGAACTGGGGGGTGATCACTTCGAAACAGAACCGTCGCTCCGCATTTCGAGCTTCACGGACGGATGCCATGCGTAGATCGATGGGGTCCATGTGTAGATCCAGCTTTTGTTTCCAGTTGCTATACTCGGATAATTTTCCTTGATCCAAGACGATCCAAAATCTGAGAATAAGAAATAAGAAATTAGAAGTTGATCAAATATTTATGCACTTGTACTTACTTGTGCCATGCCTGTTTGTTGATCCCCTTGGGGTCGATGTGAGACCCCGGACGGGACAGTGCCCACAGGAGGCCCTCTTTCCGCTGTTGGCCACTGGCTCGATCACATCCAAGACTGTTCTGTTCCTCAAGATCTCGGATACCCTTAAAGCGATTCTGACCCGCATTACTAACCACCGTCGAGTTTAACGCAGGTGCACTAATCCCTGTGGGCGATGCAACCGATCCCGCATTTGCTTGAGATGAAATCGATGAGGTGTTGCTAATGACTCCTCGAATCTGGGAGCCTGTGCTATCAGCTCTACCAAGCTCGACCTCGGTAGAAGGACCACCGTTGGCAGTTCCCGGAGGAATGATAGGTACACTCATTGGGCCGGCCACTACGTCTGGCTCAAGATATGGGTTACTACCATTTTCCAGAGCCCGGCGCTTCTCTTCGCGCTCTGTACGCTGGAATTGGAACTCCTTGTCGGCCTGGTCCACCTCGTGAATTAGGGCATCCAGTTGAGGGGTCATTCCTTCAACTTTTTTGGCGGCTGACAGGAAATTTTTGGCCTGGCAACTTGCATACTTGGTGAGATGTGAGAGAACCTCTTGCTCTTTGCGACCTCCATGGAGATCTTGCATAAACGAGGAGTAATCAAATCGCCTCAGTTCGAAATTCCGCCGCTTGACTTGATACTTTGAATCGCTCTCGGCACGCTTCTTCTCTTTCAACGAATCCTGTCGCTGGCCCAGATACCGACTGACATACGCGTAATAGTCACGGCTCTCTTCGTCCCAGTCCTTCTTTTTGGCTTCTGCTTGTTTAATGTCGTTATTATATAGCCTAACCAGAGGATCAATTACAAGTTTCTGAAGTTGCACCGTGTTGAGTTGCTCGTAGTTCAAAATCTGGCGAGCGATCTTCTCGAAGTAATGATCCAAAGCGGGTTGAATGGCATTTGCATTGGACGTGGACGCATCATTCAATGAGGTTAGGAACGCTTCCATGGCCTCATTGCAATTGGCTTGCGCTAGCTGCGCGCTCTCGGCTTTCTTGAGCACCTTTTTAATTTTGCTTCGCATGTTGCTTGTCTTCGACTCTAGCGCTTTCATAGTCGCCCGGAACAATGGCCCATCCTCCACTCCGCTCATCTCATCGCCTGCCCGCGAATGTGGGAGGTCCACCTTAGCTGGTGGTGGGGGAGGGGGCGCGGACGGTGGAGGAGGGAGCGGGAGAGACTTCTCCACTGGCTCAGGCGGAATGGTGAAGGGGGTCTGGGTGGATTCGGCATCGCTATAGTGGGATACGATAGATTGAGTCGATGAAATACGAGAGCGCGGGAAGACGGGCAACTCCAGTTTTGGCGATGAGATCTGAGGACTCGGCAGAGGACGCATGGAGTTGTGCACCCAGAAGGAAAAATGGGCGAGGGTGTTCAGGCGGTTAGTTCTTTGGTCGTAATCCAAGAAGCTGCAGCTGTTGCGCCAGCCGCCGCCTTTGTCCTCTGTTACCTTCGGGGGCTTCCATCTCCATGACCATTCGAAAGACACGGACGGGGTACCCCCAGTGGAGTAATCTCCGATCAGTTGAACATTAGAGTTATTCTGAAGGTTGGGGTTCGCATGGAACTCTCTTGTGATCAAATTATCCAGTTCCTTCGAGTTGGATGCGTGAGCGAACGTGAGCCCCATGAGACTGGTATCTGCCACTTCGGGCATAGTCGTTGAGACACCATTGACAGAGTTTGGAGCATTGCCGGTCTGTGTTTGACGAATGATAAAGGTGAAGTTGAAGATCAGCTCCTCGTCGTTTGACAGGCGTAGCATGAACGTCGGGACCGGAGCGGCGGAGGGGGTGTCGGGGTCCTGTTGGGGGTTGAGGGATCTTGTTAGCTAGATCAATCAATGGATCCAGGCTGTTGGGCATTGCGTACCTGAATATATTCGATCGGAGTATCGTCGCCGGCATCGCGCTTGGCTGCGAACCTCGCCGCAGGGAACGCGTTGGGGGATAGAGTCAGAAGACGACGGCGTGAGTTGCTTATCGTGACGGATGCGATCGAGACTATGAAAATTTCATGAGTATATGGATAAGAGTTTCCGATCCGATATTTTGAACCTACAGCGATTCTGATCCTTGAAAAACAAGTTCCCCGCATCGTCAAGGCGGCTGGCAACATTCCCCATGATGGCGGCAAAGGGATCAGGTCACGGCGCGAGAAAGGGACCGAAGTAGCGGGACCAATCGTTGGCCATCGACGGTCTGCGAACCTGCAGTCGGATGGCCTTTGTATTGAAGCGTGTAAAGGAACCGAGTAATCATTCAGTGAAGGTGTTTAAGGGATGAGAGAGAGAGAGAGAGCTCAAAGATCTGAAGGAGGGGGCGAAATCGGATAAATGCGCAGGCAACCACCCCCATATAGTGTCATTTAGTTTAAAGCTTCTTTTTTTCTAATTTTATTTCTATATTTGTATAGTTCATTTTTAATAATATCATATACATATACATATATATCTGTATGTATGTATGTGCCTAGGTATGTGTGCATATTTAGTTTGGACTTACAAGAGCAATATCTAACGAGGGACAACATCCATATATAAACTATGACCATAGTCTCACTTCGGACTCAAAAATGCTATAAATACATCGAAATGTACCTTCTAAATGTCAAATTTGTATTAACAGAACTAACTATACAAAATAGCGAAATAGCCTGGTATTAAAAATTATTCGTGAAAGTCGTAAGACTTGGTTTCAAACCAAGTACAATCGAAAATGATACGTCGCCCGCGAAGACCCGAGAATAAAAGAAACTAAACGAAATTCGTCAAGTCGCGAGTTGACTTGTCCCAGTCTTGGGATCAGTGGTGATCGCACCTGTCGATACGGGGCGTTCACGGGTAGAGAAGTACCGGTGCTTATGCTTGTTGCCGTCGGGCTTTTCATCCGCTTCTACCCATCGCATCACCTGTCCTCGTAGATCACGCATCTCATGAACTCGTCGGGAGAGATCTCCTCGTTGCTTAGATTGGCCACTCCGCTCATTGAGCTCATCCTCTTCCGAGCTGGAGATTGACAGTGAAGACGCGCTGCTTTGCTGCAGGAACGTAATGACATTGCCTGCGTTCTTCTTGAATTCGCGCTGCTCGTTCTTCAAATTTCCCATTCGTTCCGCATCCGCCTGGCAATCCAGAGTGGTAACATGGAGACCGGGGAAGTTGGAAGAGATAAATTCCTGTAGGAGCGGTAGCTTCTCTGCGTTAGGTCGGTAGGTTCCACTGTCGTTATCAATAAAGAGTTCGTAATCCGCTGGATTGGTCGAGATAGGGATCCCTTCTTCAGTTTGATCCAGATCCTCGCCCTCATTATGATCCTCATCTTCCTCCACGGGAAACTCGTCGGTAGGCACCGTGCTCGATTCCGCGCGCTCTGCATTGTCTGCATTCTCTGCGCGCTCTGCGCGCCCTTCTGGGGAGTTACGGCGATGGCGATGTTTGCGCCGCCGAAGGAAGAATTCACCCGAGTACGCAATGTAGATAGACACATCACTGTGCATGGTGTGCTTGCTCAGCATATCGATGCCAAATTCCTTGCCGGTCTCGGTAAATCGGAGTTGTCCGTCCAAGGTGAGCACATAGGTGAAGATCCGCCCACCCTGGCCATAGTGCGCAAACTCCAAAAACTTCTGGGCGAGTTCACGGCAAGGCGTCTGGAAAGACCCATGTAAGGTAGTGCGATCAAAATTGTAGATGCGCTGATGTTGGTGGTGGAGCGCTTTATGCAGGATACGTCCTCGTAGACTTTGCGCCTGGAACATTCCTGCCACGAATGGCTTGAACTCTACATAGCGATGGTATAGCTCTGCAGGGATGGGACCCGTGAGCTGCATCTGAATAGCTTGGAAACTATTTGGGAAGTCAGTATATAAATGGCCTAGGGGATAAAGGGAAGGAGGACACACTTGTAACGGCTGATCGACTTGCCACTGCCATCTTTGCTTTGAACCTGGTCTTTGATGCCAGCCAGCCGTCCGATCAGAGGAGAAAAATGCTTAAACCAATGGTTGGGACCAATAGTGTAGACCTGACCCCCCTCCGCACCAGGAGTCTTGCCGAGGCATTCGATACTGACCACCAGCCAAGACTCCTTGCGGTGACCAGTCGCAAAGGCCGAGACATTTGTAAAGACGTAGACGCGCTTGCTCCCAAAGCGCTTTTTGACCTTGAAGGACTTCTCCTTGAAACCTGCCCAGTCCTCCGAGAGTGTGGGGACGTCGATGAAAGCGATTCCCAGCTTGTCATCGTGATCCGCGGGGTCCTCGTCCATGAGATGACATTTCAACTGAAATCCTGAAGCGGGGACATTTCCGACAATCCATTCGCATTCCCACTCGGGGTTCATGTCCTTGCGTATGGTCGGGGTACGGAAGCGCAGGTCGGGGTCTTGTTTATGGCGGGTCGGCAGGTCGACTACCATATGCGCGGAGACGTAGGGATCGGAGGAGAAACTGCCAAAATCCGCGACGGGTAGGTCCTTTGCACGATGGAAATTAATCTTGAGGGTGTAGCCTGGTGGAGCATGGGGAATGGGAGTGGCATCGAAGCCTCCAGCAGGTTTTGACTGGTCATTCATAGTGACCCGGCGATGTATCTTGTCAGCCTTCTCGACAAATTTAGGGCCATATTTGTCGATGGGATGGACATGCAATGACTGGGGCTGGGAGTCGTCCATGGTATGAATCCAAATCTCTTCCCCGAGATAAAAAAAAATAAATAAGAATAGGTTTAAATAAGAATAGCCATGGAAGAGGGGGGAAATAAAAAAGGGAGAGGAAGAGAATGAGTCCAAGCTTTTCAGCCTTACAAAAATGAAGAACCGGGTGGACTAGGACTACGTACCTTCATGCCCTTCTAAGGCCCTAAGAAGGAAAGATGAGCAGGCAACAGTATATTAGTTATACTTGGACCTATACTTGGACCTATACTTGGACCTATACTAGTACCTATGCTAGTACCTATACTAGTATACTCCGTAGCACTCCGTACTCTGTATATCCTGCCAAGATTTAAAGAGGAGACTATGACCTCATTGGAAGAGCGTGCCTTTTTTCAGGGTCAGCCCTATATTTATTACATTTGATACATTTGAAACAATGTAGTCTTGATTTTCGAGTGACTTGGAATTAAAAGCAAAATACCAGCTCAACATAGCAAAATACCAGCTCAACATAGCAAAAAAGAAAAGAAAAGAATAGTCGTAAGGTCATGGGCATCATATGCGAGGGAACTCCTTGCGTGACTGACGAATGTGGCGTATTCAAAAAAAGAACATGGGTGCTGTTAGGTTCCTCGGAACAGGAACTGCATGTCCTCCGGGGTCAGTTTTTCCAATGCTGCCGCTTGATCTTTATTCAGAGTACCTCGGATAAGATTGGCTTTCTTCTCTTGAAGTTGAATGATTCGCGACTCGACTGAGTCCTCGATACAGAGTCGAGTAACCACGCAAGGCCGCTGTTGGCCGATTCGGTGACTGCGATCGGCACTTTGCCATTCCGCCGCGGGATTCCACCACGGGTCGATAATGAAAACTCGGGATGCTTCCGTTAGGTTGAGTGCCACGCCACCAGCCTTGAGAGAGACCAAGAAAACCTCAACCTCGGGTTTAGTCATGAAATGTTCAATGGACTTTTGCCGCTGTGCTGGGGTCATCGATCCATCCAGCATAACGGTATTGAACCCGGCATGGCGTAGCCGCCACTCGACCAGTTGTAGCATGGAGGTGAACTGGGAGAAGATAATGGATTTAGGGGTATGGCTTTTGCTTCGCTCCTTGAAGAGTTCGTACAGGAGCATCTCGATCTTCGTGGACGAAGTCCAACTCTCCATGGAGATGCGGTTGATGATGGAATTCTTCTTGACAGACTCTTCGTATTCGGCAAGGGTGGGCTGTTCCAAATCAATGGAAAGAGCGATATGGCACCGTGGACAGTCAACGTGCTTGCTATCGTCCTGGAAGGACTGAATATAGTCCTTGGCGCATTGACGACAGAATTCATGATGGCACTGAGACCGAATGGCATCTTCTGCAGGCTCATCACAAACGCAGCACACAGCAACATTGAACCCGACTTGCGCCTTTTTCTTCAAAATGAGATCGGGATGGTTGGCAACTTGCCGCATCTGCATGATTAATCCGAAGATATTGGCATAGTTGTTCAACATGACACCCTCGCTGACATAGGTATCGAATTTTCTGGTCGAGTTTGTCATAATGCTGCGCGAGAAATCTTGTTCAATCTCGCCGAAAAATTCATTGTGCAACGTGATACGTTTAGATGGAAGCTCCATCGATGTTGTGTGCTGTTGTTTCATTCGGCGCAGCATGATGTGATCGGTGATCAGACGGAGTTTATCGAGACCGTCTTTGCGCTGTTGCTGCGTTTTCCCCTCGATGATGGGGTTGAGAATCTCCTTGTTGAAGATTGAAATGTGCATAAACCCAGTGTGAGAGCACTCGGTACAACGTCCCTCCTTAGTCGACGTCCACTGGAGTTGTTCGCAATCACACTGCTTACAAAAGTAGCATGCGAATGGCTTGACCTGTAGAAAGCGTAGAAGGGAAAAGAACTCTCCAATACGGTTCTGTACGGGTGTGCCTGATAGGCACCACTTGTAATTCGCCTCCAAGGCAAAACATGCCCTGGCAACTCCCGTGGTACGCGATTTGATACTGTGTGCCTCGTCCAGAATGAGGCGGTGATAGTGAACTGCGTGGATAACACTGTCTGCTTTGACCATCGTTTCACCGCGAGAGAAACCTTTCTCCTGCTTGCGGTAAATGGATTCGAGACTTGCATAGGAAATCATGATAACATCGTATTTGCGAATTTCAGCCGGTGTCAATTTTTTGACTTTTGCGTCGGAATTGTGGTAGACCAAGACTTTCAGCTTGCCATCTGTGTATTCCTTGATCTCGGATACCCACTGCATCAACGCGACCGGTGGAACGAGGACAAGAGTCGGATCCGGCTGGGGGAAATCGGACATGATGAGTGAAACCGCTTGGATGGTCTTTCCCATGCCCATCTCATCACCCAACAAACCACCTTTATATTGAGTCTTTTCTTGTGCTATCATCCAGTTCAACCCCTCCAGTTGAAATGGCTTGAGCTTTCGAGTAATGGACACGGGTTGCTTGGCTTCCTTTGGCTGGATGATCGGCTGTGCTTTGAGCACATCCCACATGGTACCGATTGTAGGATGTCTCTTCAGAAGGTTCACTCGGTCTCTTTCTACCTAGGTGATGGTCAGTCATGCAAAGATACGTGGGGAAAGAATCTGACTTACACGGCGAGCTTTCCGCTGCTCTTCCCAGGTTGGGGGAAGATCAGCCTCAGAATCGTCATTGACACCTTCTTCGAGAAGACTAGGGGATGTGCCCTCTAGGGGATCCTCCGAGGTATCCGAGTAAGCAGCGCCAGAATGAAGCAATCCCGGTGGCTCGGGGCTCAACGGAGAGAAGAACACCGGGCGAGAATCCGGGTCTGAGTCGTATTCCAAATGTTCATCAATGAATTTGTCTACGAGCAACCGTTGTTCTGCTGTAGCGCGTGGGTACTTGTATTCTTCCATTTGAAGGGCATTGGCCAGAGCGGTATCGGAAGCCTCAAAATCGGTTTGGACAGACAGAGCACCCGTAGGCCGTTTTACCGACCTTTTTTTATAGGCATGAGCTAGTGGAACATCAGAGGCATCATCATCATCCTCCGCTAAAACAGCCGCAGATCGTTTTCTTCCTCTTTGGGAAGTTCCTAGGAATAATGTGCTCGACTGTAGTCTCTTCACTCGATCAGCGGCATTGATACGCGCCGAAGTCTTTGTTGGAATTTTGGCATCGGGTTCAGTAGCTGCAGCACCAACGCTAGTAGCTGGGGTACTATAGCCCGTGGACTGATTTCCAAGTGAGGTCCGAGAATTTGAGTCACTGGGAGATTCATTTTTCATGGGGACGACCACCGCAATTCTGCCCAAAGCAGAATTATCTGGTGCCACCGAATCCGACAGACCGACATCGTCATCCTCATCTGCCTCGGAATCTTGAATGACGCGAGGGCGAGATCGAGAAAGGGATGACCCACCGGCTCGCAGAGGTCCCGATCGATTTGATCGACGGAGAGGAGACGAATTCCTCAATGACGTTTCACTGAATGGTGAATCGTCGTCTGAATCAGGGATTGTGGCTCTGGGTCTCAGATTACGCCTCATGTTGAAATCGAGAAGATATAGAGAGATGGCGGAACAACAGATTTGAATTGGGGAAGGGGGGGGATGTTAAGCTATAAATAATGATGGGTCATATTAGCTTTGAAAGATATACGGAGTACCGGGAAGTGACATGGGTGGAAGTACCTAGAAAAGCGCGACTTCACTTGTTTGTGTTATGAACATGGGAGATAATTGCTGGAAGACAGAAATAAGATGGAAAATGGGGGGGTATGAGAAAGTAGAGATGAAGTAAAGGGAGGTTATAAGAAAGGAAAGGAAAGGAGAGGAGAGAGACGAGGATGAAGTCGGAGGCAGAGCAGGTGCCTGAACCAGAAATTTTCCTCGGAATCTCCCGATTTCCCTTTTTCCCAGTTCCTCCTTGTTTTTTTCTTTTGTGGCAAATCTTTCTTCATCCTCATTAACAAGAATCAAGTATCAAAGATCTCTCTCTCTGTGCACTTTTTCCCTCTATATCCCTCAATATTCTCCCCCCCAATAACCCCCATAACACCGTGTCTTATCTCAGATAAGAGCGCGTTAAGTGAAACGCGAAATTGCCACGAGTCCAGTGACTTGGGCCCAGACCGACTTGGAGCCTCACTTACCAAATATGTGAGTTCCTATCCTTTATGATTATATATCATCATATTCGAACTGTATTCAAATTGACATTTAAAAGGACAGGAAGGAGACGTGCAAGGCAGCCAACTCAGCCAACTCAGCCCCAGGGCATTCGGGGCCCGTATGTTTCCCTGCTCTTCACCTGATCGCTTCCCGGAGACTAACTGCAACGCTAGACGCTCTGCCTTGACTGACTATCTTGCTGTATGTTGATCTTTAAATATCTCTAACGTATGGCTTAGCTAACTGTGTTTAGTCAAATAATATCTCAGCCCAACAAATTCGGGATGATTGGGACCGCCGGCAAGCCGAGACACAGCGCCAGCCTGACCAAGCTGAACAGGAATCATCCAATGCAGCTGAAGAATCTAGGTCTCCATCGGTATTGGAGTCACCGGAGGACCCGGTCAAAAAACGCAAGCGCCAACAAGCCATTGCAAGGATAAAGAATAGCAAGGAGTTTGCTAAGCGCAAGGCTCGCTTTAGTGGCGATTACGACGATGATGAGGACGACGATTCCCTTGCGCTACAGATCCACGAAGAAAAGAACCGACCGAAACCGGGTCAGCTTGCAAACTGCGAGATCTGCGACAAGCGTTTCACCGTAACTCCCTACAGCAAAGCCGGTCCGAACGGAGGCTTGCTTTGCGTTGATTGCTCTAAGAAGCAAAAGGCCGATGAGAAAAAGCCCCCGGCCAAGAAACGTGCCCCTGGAATTGGACGACGTCAGAATCAAGCTAATCTGCTTGACGGACTGACTCCTCATGGCACTCAGAGTTTGCTGGAAACCTGCATCAAAGTATGTCCATGGCATTCCACCTCCAGGGCATTGACCTAGGAGTGCTAATATTTTTCTAGAAAGTGGCAGATTATATCCATGATGTTGAGGATTTCGGTGATTTGCCTCCGTCATTGTTGTTACGTCTGGGTCAGATCTTGTCTCGACGGCGCGCCGTGACTCCAAGGACCTTGGATCTGTTCTTACGACCTCACTACACATCCATCGATCTGTTCGATTGTGCTAGTAAGTTGGAACTATTATCTCTCATAAAATAAAAAAAAGTAGGAAGTCTAACTAGTGGCTAGAACTCGGCACGGATGATTACCACAAGATCCTAGCTTCCATGCCTCGTCTAACAAGAGTCAACCTTCGGTTTACCACTCCAATGAAGGATCAGATTTTCCACTACATGATGGAACGCGACATGAAGATCGAAGATCTCCACCTGGATGGGCCAAACCTTGTGACCGATGCTTGTTGGCGCCAACTTTTCATGAAACTTGGTCATCGTTTCCTGAGCGTCAAGCTGTGGAACTTGGATTCTGCCTTTGATAACGAAACCGCTCGAGTGATGTGCCTTCATTGCCCCAACCTTCAGCGCCTGAAACTGAAGTTTTTACACAAAATCGACAATGACATACTTGAAGGAATTTCGACGCTTAAGTCTCTTCAGCATTTGTCCCTGCGTTTTCTGGAGGAGACCGAGACTAAGACCGAGCCTCTTCTCAAAATCCTGAGTAGCGTTGGTCCACAACTGGAAACCCTCTCTCTGGAGGAATTCCAGTCCGCCGATGACCGGCTCTTGCAGCATATACATGAGCACTGCCGTCGTCTGACCAAACTTCGTCTTACCCTCAATTCGACCTTGACCGACAAAGGTCTAGCCGCGTTGTTCACCGGGTGGTCTAATCCGGCTCTTACCTATGTGGACTTGAACTCCCTCCGGGACGTGGACATGACGAATCCTGCCGGTCCGGAGGAGCCTATTGGGCTTGCATCTGACAGCTTTGTTGCGCTTATGGAACATTCGGGCTCGAAAATCCAGCACTTGAACATCGCGTCGTGCCGCCACGTGTCATACAAAGCGTTCGAGCAGGTTTTCGCAAAAGGCAAAACGTATCCGAACCTCAAATATCTTGACATTTCCTTTAGCACTGTCGTGGACGACTACCTTGCGCAGTGCATCTTTCGGTGCTGCCCGGCCCTTCGGAGACTTGTTGTCTTTGCTTGCTTCAAGATTCGCGACGTCCACATCCCTAGGGAACTTGCTCTAATCGGTACCGTGGGAGCGACTATCAAAATTGACGGAATCACCCAGACCGAGACAATTTGAGTGGTGCTACAGTGGGTTGACAGAACAACCTTTTTTTTCTTTTTTCCCTTTCTCTTATGTAGTTTAGCGATATTACGATCTGAGCAGATGTATATCTAGTATCTAAAATCTAAAATCTAAAAAATTGCAGGTAACCCTGCTTTCGTCTATCTGCTTCTGTTCTTGACGACGTAGACCCCAATAATCTGATTCATATACGAGACAATTACACTGGTAAGCTCACTTTCTCGCCTCGATGACTCCATAAGCGTTGGTTTCATGCTAAACCTTGCGCCATCTAGTCTTAAGGTCGGAAATGGAGTTGTCTGGCTTTGACAAGGCGGATATTCACAGTCCATTGCTGTCCCTTTGATTGGGATCACAGCATTGCCCCTCACCATTGATGCGCATCCGGTTCAAAGTGGGCTCCAAATATCTAAATCGGCTTTTTAACGCATCGGCTCTCGCCGGCAAAGCCCTCGGCAAACTCCCGATTTTCTGGCAAATTGGCATTCGAGTTTGTCTGAGCTCGGATTATCGGGTCTACCTGAGCGGAAGGGGACTTTGCCGAAATGCCCTGTCTTCATACACCAACATCCCATTTGAAGACGTAGCATTGCGTGAGTTGCATACCTACTTACTCAAGGATATATAAATGAATTATTCTATACATTACCTTTACACCCGCAGGACCCCTTGTCCGGCAGTCGGCAGTCGGCGCTTACAAGTTCAATTCAACACTTTTGAGCCAATATTAGCTTGAATATTCACTCAGGGAAATGGCTTCCGGGGCAATTGTTGTGCCGTCGGATAGATCCCCTATTGACCCAGGAGAGTATAGTAATTGGATTGCCCACCGCTGATCATTGAATGATCTGCTTAGGTAGAAGATTCTATTGTACTAATAGCTTTGTCTAGGTCAAACAAGAAACCTAGGTAAAAACATCCGTAGCAAACCGTTCCTTAGCACGTAGACCGTTGAGCCATTCTTCAGCCAATCCAGATTCGTCGTCTCCCTCAATGGGATTGCCTTTCCAAGTTCCCTTCTCGATCCTGATCCGGCGTTCTTTCAAGTATACCTTTTTCATAGAGTCTCGCACTGCATCCCCAACAGCTACATTGCCACAGACGTAGAGGAGAGCACCCTTCTCGAACATATCTACCAGGTCATCATGATCTTCGAGAATGAGATCTTGCACATACTGTCGCTGTGACTCGCCCGCCTCAGGACGACTGTATGCCCAACGGACATCGACCGCACCAAGCTCATGCCACTCAGCTAGCTCATTAGCGTAAATATCATCGTGTCCTTTAGTGCGGCATCCAACGTAGAGTATGGCCTTTGCGGGAGAGAAGCCATCCACCTGGCCGGTTGAAGTACGACGAGCCTTGATCCTCTCAGCCCGATCCATGATAGAGCCTCGGAAAGGGGCCAAGCCACTTCCAGCACAAACCATGATCATCGGCACATCTGTATCTTTGGGTGGCTTGAATCCATTTTGAGACGTTCTCACAGCAATGTGAGCCTTGTCCCCAGCGTTCAAATTAGAGAGGTAGTTTGAGGCCACGCCAAGATATCTTCCTTCTGAAGGAAGGTCCTTGTCAATGGCCAAGGGTGTATCGATGACAGAGAATGAGATCGTGCACTCTGATGGATCTAAAAGAGGGGACGAAGATATAGAGTATTGTCGAACCCGCATGGGAGGCAGCATAGTGATGTAGTCGCCAATTGAGATATCAATAGCTGGGTATTTGATCAGTAAATCAAGCGGACTGCTTCTTCTGACCTGGAGTTCTTCACTCGCTGCAAGTGCCCTCAACTCTTGTTGTGTCTGTTCGTCGGAGACTGCCGCTTCAACAAATAGTTTGATGTCTCGGTTGCAGGCAGGCTGCGAGAGTTCCACAAATGCTGACAAAATCTCGACTGCGGATACCGGTACATCGAGTGGGATAGGTGGGAATGACGTTAATCCATCGGGCTTCTGGATTTCCAAAATTGCATCTGAAGGTAGATTGAATCGTCGCAACGCTTTCTGAACAACGGATGGAGGGTTCATTGGTAGAACTGCAAGATAATCGCCGGGTTGGTATGTCATGTCCTCGGGAAGACGGAACTTGACATGTCGTTTTGCCGGCGCGTCCGGGTGTGTCAATCGTTCGCTTTCCAACACGATACCCTCTTCCATCTTGTGGCCTAAGATTGTAGCACGCATTTTGGTGCTTACCTTGACATGAAGGGCGGAGGTCGGTATTGGCTCGATCTGGGTGCTGCCAAATGTCTCAGCGATACGCTGCCATAACGAAGACTCGGTCCAAGAATCAAAGTCAGAGAAAATGTCCGATGTAGCAGCATCAGCAAAGCCTCGTTCACACAGCTGTGTTGCTCCATTTTCTACGAGCATCTGATCGATCTGTGTGGGAACCTTTTGGAACGTAGCTTGCCAGTCACGATGGCCACATCCGAACACAGCAAAAGAAACACCTTGAAGCTTCGTCTCTTTCAAATTTGAAAGCCATTCGTAAAAGTGAGCCGCATTGTCTGGCGGTTTGCCTTCATAGCTTGCCGTAATAATGACGACTGGTTCATTTTGGGGTATCTTTTGTATAGCAGTATCCAGTTCTTTGGCCTCTGCAGCATACCCGTATCGAGCAGCGTCCGACACCAAACGTTTAGCAAGTGCCTCACAGGTACCAGTATTACTTCCGTAGTAAACATGCATTGGCTTCTTGTCTGTGGGTTGAGACTTCTGCTTGTCTATATCCTCATTGCTGCTTCCACTTTCGCTGGACCCGGTCTCATTGTTCAGCAGTCTTCCTAGTTTTGTCGCGGTAAGACCTTCTCGGAGAGTGGCATGAATGAAGAAGTCCTTGGGTTTGATTGTGAGGGTCTGTTTGATTTGGATGTCGTACCCAGGATTGGCCATGGAGAAATTGAAGTTTTGCATCAGTACGGCCATGACGAGGAGCATTTCTTGCCAGGCGAACGGCCGACCAATGCAACCCCGTAACCCATTTCCGAAAGGCTACGCTCATCCCATGGAAGTTAGTTGGTTTGATCCAATATATCAGGCTTCAGGTCGAAGATGACTTACCTTCCATGAATTCTTGGGTAATTTTGCGAATTCTTCATCCAACATTCTCTCTGGTTTGAAGTCCTCCGTATCCGGCCCCCAAACAGCAGGATCCCTCATAGCTTTACTCAACAGTAAAACAATACTGTCACCTTTATCCACTTTGTATCTTCCGTTTCCAATCGAGATAGGATCCTCGTGGTTCTTTTCAGGGTGTGGTCCCACACTAAAAGCTGGCGCAGTCGGGCGCAGACGAAGACTTTCTCTGAGACAAGCATTCAGATAGGGTAGCTTAGAGAGGTGGTCAAGCGTGACTTTCTGGTTTCTTCCAACCACCACATCTATCTCATCCTGCAGCTTTCGATAGGCATGCGGGGTTTTCAGAAGGAAATACATCAAAAATGAGAGGGCTCCGGAAGTTGTCTCATGTCCTGCCCAACGTGTTAGCGTGAAATAATCAATGGAATCTAAAAGGGACTTACCAGCAATCAGAAACGTGATCATATTATTCACGATAGTGCTGTCGTTCAGTCCCTCTCCTGTTTTCGGGTCTCTCCCCTGTAGCATAGCATTCAAGATATCCTTTTGATCGGAGGGTGTGTCTCGCCTTCCTTGGACCAGATCCTTTGCAACCTGTTGCATCAGCGCAATGTCGGAATCGTATTGAGCGTTCTCTGAAGCTAGCAGACTGTTGAGTATCGCCGGTCTCGCAGCACGTTTTCCAGAACCGAGGAGAAATCTCGTCATAGCATAAACGAAGGGGTGCATATTCTCCTTGTAGTAAGAGTTGAACCGAGCTCCCATCGTGCACAAGGCAAGGGTATCCAAGGTCAGCCTTGTAAAGTCATCAGACGCCTCAATGGACACCTCCGCGCCCTGTCTAGCCCATTTCATCGCCAGTTGGGTAGCAATGTCGTACATGTCTATGAGGAAGGTAAGTATTCTATATCCCACGAATGGTGTCTCGTAGCATACCATCAAACATATCTCTGATGGTAAGAGGTCCGAATGCAGGCACCAAGATCCTGTGCGCAAGTCCCCATTTATGCTCTCCGAAGCGAGCTGTAAAAAGCCCATCTTGCACACCATTTCGAACCTGGTTGAGGCCTTCAGAAATTGTCTTGGTAAATCTATCCTCGTTGCACACTTCGTCCACGAGATCACGAGAGCTGATGATGATTCGGCGCTTCCCGAAGGTACTAAGTTGGTAAATTGGACCTGCCCAGGTGGGAAGAGAGATTAGCTAGGTTGAAGCCCCTGACTGGTTTGCAATATGCGATACCATATATTTCCGCCAGGTGTTCCAAACTCTTTATAGGAGTGACTTGGTCGACGTCGTAGATATTCCCAACGAAAGGAATACCCGAAGGTCCCGGGATGGGTGTAAAATCTACTGCCATTGGAAGTGAAATAAAAGATGCCCTACTACACCAGTGCATAGGCTAGTCTAATCATCTTAAATACTAATTCTCAGGAACTCATCCATTGAAATCCGGTCCAATTTCTAAGAATAGCTATGCAAAATGCATAATTTGGGATCCACCGATTCTTATGGAGTCAATGGATACTTGTAATCTACAGATTGCGAGACCATTTACAACGTAACATAGTCAATAGTGTCAATAGTCAGATCTCATCCTCTGAATGCCGACTACCGACTACCGACTACCGAGTGTCGATCAATCGGATGAAATATCAACCCGACGGGCACGGAACGTGCATGCAAGTAATTTGATGTATTCATCTAGTCATCTAGTCATATATTCATATATTCATATAACGATATAATGATATGTATTATGATCAAGCAAATTATCAAGTCTCCGTCCCATTTATGCAACTTATATATATACCCACAGTATACAAGAAATAAAACCTATTAGATCACACTTAAAGGATTGTTATAGGCACCTCCCCCTATGGATGTAATAATTTCTCGGCACCCGAATCATTCATAGAAAGATTTCATTCAATATCATATATATTTACGCCAAACACCATAATTTATGTGACCATAGTCCATATATCTCAAGAAAATGCAACCCAATTAAGAAAATTCATGGTCCTTATGCCATCCGCTTGCCAATCTCACTCTGCCAGTTTCGGGTCCTTTCAAATCCATTGGAGGCAGTCTGGTAGTCGAGCATCGCCTGGTAGACCTCCTCTTGGGTGTTCAGCACAAAAGGTCCATACTGAACAACCTTCTGGTTCAGCGGTTGGCCAGCCACAAGGAAGATGCGGGAATCCTTTTCGGCATTATCCGGGACGGAGATTTCAACAAAGTCACCCGCCTGCTCGAATTCGACGTTTGTGAATTCCTTCACGATGCGAGTGGAATCATTCGAACCAAAGACAGACTCACCAGCCAAAGTATAGGCAAATGAGTTCCATCCCTGTGGCAGGGGCTGTGAGATACGACCACCAGGCTTGATCGTGATATCCAGGATCCAGACAGGGGTGTAGGCCAAGTCGCGCACGGAGTCAACACCGTGCGACTGGCCCGAGATAACCTTAATCTTGACGCGGCCGTCATCGACCGTGGCGAGGGGAATCTCCTCAGCGCGTAGATCACGGTAACGAGGCTCACAGAACTTCAGTTTCTGGGGTAGATCGACCCACAACTGCATACCGACGTTGGGGCTGCCGTCCTCGTTCTCGTGGGGCATTTCAGCGTGCATGATGCCGCGGCCTGCAGTCATGAATTGCAGATCGCCGGGTCCAATAGTGCCCTTGTTACCGGCGAAGTCCTCGTGGTCAACCCCGCCGGACAGCAAATAAGTGATGGTCTCCTGACCGCGGTGGGGGTGGTCTGGGAAGCCGGCGCCCTTGCCGATAGTGAAGTGATCGAGCATGAGGAAAGGACTGAAGTTGCGGAGCTTGGCTGTTCCAATGGAGCGGCGCACACGGGCACCTGCACCTTCTGCTTGCTCAATAGCAAGGAATGCCTGTCGGATTGCTCGAGGAACGGACATGTCTGTGATAGGGAAGACTATGGCAGTCGGAGTTTCCAGGTTGGGGTGGCTTGTCTGATCGACAAGATCTTTTGCCTGAAGGTACTGTGATAGGCTAGGAGCTTTTTGAATGAATGTGAGGAAAGAGTCTTCGAGAGAGTCTTTAATAGAGGGGTTATAGGCAAGGAAGATTGCTGTGATGCAAATTAAAAGTGGCAGAAGTAATCTCATGGATGAGATGATGGCTATTTATATGTGAAAGAAGTGATTGAAAAGAGTAGAATGTTCTGCGTGGAAAAGGAAATTCTGTCAGCGGTTAGTCAATCTCTCATAAATACTCGTGGACTCTTTGTGAGTATGCTCTGGGCATCATCCATAATGCTTTGCAAGACATCAGTCATCTCGGTCCGACCAATGAAATCGCTTGGCTTTCATTACCAACATCCTTGTCAGCACCCGCTAAGCAAAGAGCTAACCATATCTGGTTAGTATTTGACACCTGATAAATGAGGTACTAATGCTGAGTTAACTAAGCATTTCAAATCAGGTGACCCGGAAACATGGAGGATCTATGAGCTATGAGGGTGATTTCAGTGGATATAGGTACGGATATATGTGTGTTCATAGAATTAATACAGTATAACTCTAGATATTGCCTCCAATATTCATATCCAAAAGGACTATTTTCATGTATTCTGCAATATGCATCTGCTTTTAAATGTTCCTAGTACACTGGACAGTACGTAGATTGGTGGTTATCAGATAAGGCCACGGAGCAGCTGCCGCTCTCCACTGCCAAACCTGACATGCGAGGACTACCTACTGTGTAGGCATTTGATTCATTGCAGACCTTGGAAAACTGTTTGTTTCTGTCTTTATATAATTACATTGATACCCATATGCGATTGATTTACATGAAAAACCCTTACCATTGCCGAATTGAAGCTTCTTGCGACAAGCGCCTTTCGCGGGGAAGCTTCAGAATACCTGACTTCCACACCTAGACTCCACTGTCATCCTTGGTTCACTGCGTTCTAATCTGATCTATTCGAAAGAGATGGGCCACTCAGCAAGCCTGTCGCCATGGCTGGTATTGGCCTGTGCTGTGTCCAGCGTGTGGGCAACTAAAAAGCCATTCAACATTAATGACGATATTCTGGCTTATCCCCAGGTAGGTTGAATCTGCATTGCACCGATTTGAAGCAAAGCTAACCTCGGATCTTGCTCAAAGTATCAAGTGACATTCCCCGAGGAGTATGTGCTTGAATCTCACGCCGAAGCATTACTCCAGTCCCAGGCCAGCCCCAGCGCGAATGACCAGAACAATCCCCAAGTTTATATGGGCAAGGGTAGAACGGACCCTACCGACAAGCCCGAGGATATGAATGGATCTTCATTCAGCTACGAAGAGATGATACTCGAGGACCGGCGACTCCTCTGCCAAATCCCACGTGTCACGAACGACGACCATAATACAACGAGGGATAAGGAGGATAACAAGGCCGAGGAGCAGAAGGAACTAGCTCGGGCAACAGACCGTGGTCTGGAACTCCTACGTGAAATGGAAGGGAAATGCATGTACTATTTCTCTGGTTGGTGGTCCTACTCCTTCTGTTATCAGAAGCAGATCAAGCAGTTCCATGCACTCCCCGCTGGCCGTGGTGTCCCCAACTACCCACCCATTGAAGACACCCAGACACATTCCTTCGTCCTGGGAAGATTTATCGGCGATAAGAGCGAGGAAGAGAAACCATCTGCCAAAACAGATGTGGCGGAGCTTCACACAAAGGGTGGCTCGCGGTACTTGGTCCAGCACCTGCGTGGTGGGACCAAGTGTGATCTGACAGGGCGAGAGCGCAAGGTTGAAGTGCAGTTCCATTGCCACCCACAATCGACAGATCACATCGGCTGGATCAAGGAGCTCACCACGTGCTCTTACCTAATGGTAATATATACCCCTCGTCTATGTGACGACGTTGCTTTCCTGCCACCACGACAGGATGAGGTACACACTATCGAATGCCGGGAAATCCTGATGCCTGACGAAGTCACCGAATGGGAAGCGATCAAAGAGTGGTACATGGTCAATCAACTGGCCGATGCTGCTACAGATGCGGATGGTGATGTCACCCAATCCGAACTCCCGATTATCGGAGGAATCGAAGTTGGAGGCCGTAAACTTGTTGGCATGGAGGGCAAGGTAATTGAAAAAGGACGTGTGGCATCCGCAGGCGAGGAGCGGGTGGAGGTGGTTGCGAGACGCGAGAATGGTGAGATCCGGAAAACATCCAAGCAGGTTCTGAAAAAGTACGACATCGACGCGGATAGACTGGAGGAGATGAAGAATCTACTGGAAGAAGAAGCAGATGGCAAAGACTGGACGCTACAGGTTGTGGAAAGCAACGGGGTGATCAAGTTCCAAGGCCTCTTTGACGAAGACGAGGAAGACACTTTGAACTCCAAGTCAGAGAAACCACACGAAAAGGTGTCTGAAAGTTCTGTTCAAAAGCCAAAGCAGGAAACAGAGGTCGAAAAGAAAAAGCAACCCAAGCCCGAAAACAGCGGTAGTGAGGAGACCTTTAAAGATGAACTGTGAGATTGTATAGTAGATCATGATTTTAAGCCACATAGCCTCATAGCCTCATATGAATATGATATTGTGTTTCTTCCTTTAAGCTAGGAGCATATTACCTCCAAAGTGGTATGTCTCGTGCTCTAGTTATGTATGTATACATTTCGTAGAAATTCATACGCGCCCTAATCATAGACGTCTTTAGCGTAACAGGTCCTCTAATGTTAGATATAGTCAAACTAACTGCAATTTCACATAAGTCCAGGGCTAGTATACGAATCAAAAGAGAATGTAAAGCGATATACTACTCTCGCCCGTAGATGTACGTCAGTCGCCCCAGTTGCGGAGCCGGGACTTTAAATAGCGAAGTAGTCCGGAGAATTAAGGGAATTGAGAGAATCGAGAGAATCAAAACAAACCAAACTCAAATACTTATAGTAATAATAATACTAAGACATAGTAAGATATAGTAAGACACAGTAGGACATAGTAAGATATAGTAAAAGTGACAGAAGAAGACCTAAAAGAATTGAATTGAAGAGAATGAGAAGCACATAGTTTAGCACAAGGCAACGTGACTGTCAACTCCCTAATCGCCTGGCCCACCTTCCCGCCCTCTCTCCCTAATCCACAACCACCTTCTCTTCTCTTTGCTCTCAATCCCTTGCGCCTAGACCTTTTTGTTCACCTCCGACATCGTATCCGCATCCCAACTTACCCTGTACCCTCCCCCAAGGAGCGCCAAGGCTGATCAACGGCCAGCGTCACCACCGTTTATCTCCCCCCCCCAACTACACCACTGCGAAACCTAGAGCTGGCACGTTGAGACGCTGCCATTTGCAGCAGACTGTCGTCATAATTGATCGGTGCTGTCGGATCACAAGTTGTTTCCAATATGGGCTTCATCGGTGTCTACTCGGCTGTGTACGACTACCAGCCACAGGGACCCGGCGAACTCGAGATTCACGAGGGCGACCTCCTCTACATCTTAGAAAAGAATGCGGACGATGACTGGTGGAGGGCTAAAAAGAAGGCTGGGCGGGAGGATGAGGACGAGCCCGAAGGCCTAGTCCCTAATAACTATGTCGAAGAGGTAAGTCTCCGGTGAAATGCATCCGCGCCGTCCTCGCTACATGAACAATTGCTGATATTAGATGAAATAGACACGACCAGCGCACAAGGCTACAGCCCTCTTCGATTACACGCGACAGACCGACGAGGAGGTTTCCTTCTCCGAAGATGCTGAGCTGTTGGTGTACGACACCTCGGATCCGGATTGGACATTGGTTGGATTCAACTCGGAGTATGGATTTGCGCCGTCAAATTACATCGAAATTATCGACGATGCATCCGCTGCAGCGGATACACCTCCTCCACCTTCTGTTCGAGCCGAGCCTGCCGCGCCGACGCTTCCGCAGCGGCCGACGCAAACTACCCCGGAAGAAACCGAGGCATCGCCCGCCGGCTCTCCGGTTGATGTGTCTCACAACCCCGCTGCTGCTGCAATCGCTAGTATAATCCACAAGCAGCATGCTCCCGCGGCCGAGACAACTCGAGATGAGCCCCCGCCACCCAGTCTTCCAGTCCGGCCATCGTACGATCAAGTGGAGGAGCGTGAGGAGTCCCCGCCGCCTAGTTTGCCGCGTCGACCACCCTCGGAACAAGTGTCACCGCCTATGAACCGTTATTCACCTGAGCCAACTCCGCCGCCCCGTCCTCAGCAGACGGCGCCTGATATGGGTCGTGATGAAACACATGTCGTCAAAGCATCTCCCCCTTACAACCGGGCAGGTGATATGACGCCTCGGTCACCTTCCGGCTATCATATCTACAACATCAATGAAATGGTTGAAGTTATGGGCAAGAGAAAGAAGATGCCAACTACATTGGGAATCAACATGGCTACTGGAATCATCTTTATTTCTCCTGAAGGTGATGATCGGCAGAAAGAATGGAGTGCAGAGAAGCTCACCAATTACTCGATCGAAGGAAAGCATGTCTTTGTTGATCTTATCAGGCCTAGCAAGAGCATCGATTTCCATGCAGGTGCCAAAGACACTGCCCACGAGATTGCAGCGGCACTCGGTGAAATCGCCGGTGCCTACCGGGCAGAGGGATTGCGTGAGGTGCTTGAGGCAGGAGAAGGCAGCGGCCCAAAGAAGGGCCAGATCCTGTATGACTTCATGGCGCAAGGGGATGATGAAGTTACAGTAGCCGTGGGAGACGAGGTCATTGTTCTTGATGATACCAAGTCCGAAGAGTGGTGGATGGTACGGCGATTGAAGAACAACAAAGAGGGTGTCGTTCCCAGCAGCTATGTTGAAGTCACAGGATTGATACCCAAGGCGCCCCTAATGCCTAACGAACCCGGTCTGTCGAGTGTTGAAAAGAACCGGATGGAGGAGATACGGCTGTCCAAACTTGCGATGGGCAAGTCACGGACGGATTCAATGGATTCATCGGACCGTCACAGCAAGCGCGACAGCAAAATCAAGTCGAAGCCTGATCCTACTAAAGTGCGAAAGTGGACGGATCGGACCAAGGACTTTACAGTGGAAGCCCAGTTCATAGGTCTCCAGGATGGTAAAATCCAGCTTCACAAGGTGAACGGTATCAAGATTGCCGTCCCTGTCTCGAAGATGTCTGTTGAAGATCTCGAGCATGTGGAGAAGGTCGCAGGTGTCTCGCTGGATGAGGACAAACCCCTTTCAAGCATCCGACCTCGAGTTGCCGTTAACAAAGATTCTAAATCCGGGGCTTCCAAGGCTGGGGCTTCTGTGCAACGGTCCGACTACGATTGGTTTGACTTCTTTCTCAAGGCTGGCGTTGGGCCACATCGCTGTGAGCGATATGCACAATCATTTAACAAGGACGCAATTGACGAATCTGTGCTCCCTGACATTACATCTGAGATGCTTCAGAATTTGGGTCTAAATCTAGGTGATACCTTGCGAGTGATGAAGGTTTTGGATGCCAAATATGGCCGTACCCCGGACAAGTCTAAGTCTCGAAACGTCAGTTTCGGCGGTGAGGAAGTCATTGGCAATGGCGAGGACGGAGGGCAAGGTGGTTTGTTTTCCGGACCCGGTGGTGTGTTGCGCAACAACACTCGCAGGGGTAGACCAACGCCGAATGTTCAAGCCGGAGCGGTCGATCCCAAAGCGTTTGGACAGGGAGACGAACCTAAATCACCAGATAGCTCGGCGAGCCCACCACCCTCTGCGGCAGCCGAAAAGCCTGCCCCAGCTGGATTTGAAGATGATGCCTGGGAGGTGAAGCAGCCGAAGCAGCCTGCCAGGCCATCTGCAGCCACCACCCCGACCCCACCGCCCGTAGCAGCAGCTCAGGTTCCTCAGCCAACAGGGGCAATGGCGGATCTGACTTTGCTACAAACTCCATTGCAGCCGACACCGGCTCAGCCCACTGCACAGCCTGCCCCGTCCATGCCTGCCCTACAGCCGCAGGCTACTGCCGTGCAATCTCCGGCTGTACAACAGCCCCAGCAAACAGGTGCCACCCCCAGCTTGTTTGCACAAGTGGCACAAATAGGACAGCATCAACAGAGTTTCAGCCCTCAGCAGACTGGGTTCCAAGCACAGGCCAGACAACGCCCTCAGGCCCCTCAGACAGTTGGACAAAATTCACTTCTGCCTCCACCTCCGCCTCCGCAGCGCCCACTGTCCGCGCCTCAGAACTTCTCGCAGCAGCAAAACTCCTTTGGTCCTCCTCCATTGCAGGCTCAACTGACGGGTCTTCCTCAGGCGGGTCCTCCTGTTGCTCCTCCTGGTCAGAGTCTGGGCGAATTGAACCAGCTGCGCTACCAAGCTGCGATGCAGCCGCAAGTCACAGGATTTATGGGTCAACCCCAATACCAGAATAGCATGATGCCGCAGCCCACGGCGTTTACTCCCCAGTCACAATTTGGTATCCAGCAGCAGCAGCAGCCGTTTGGTAACCAAATGGCCCCTCAACAAACTGGGTTCCAGGGACTTGGGCCGCAGCCCACAGGATTTGGTGGATATGGGCAATTCCAACAACCAATGCAGACCGGTATCAACTCTGTCCTTCCTCCTGCACTGCAACCGCAACCCACTGGTGCCAATGGCTACGGCAACCAGTCTTACACATCTCCGCCCCCTGTGCCGCCAATTCCCCAGCAACCAACAGCCACTCCTCTGTCACCACAGAAGACCGGACCGCCTCCCTCCATCAGATTTGGTGTCAAGCCAGATGGCCCCAAGAAGCTTGAGCCACAACCGACCGGACTCAGAGCCAACCTTTCTCAAGCTAGTAAGTGTTTTCTTCCCATTATAGGTGATTTCAGTAACAGAAGCTAACTCGATCAACAGCCCCCAATAATCCGTTCGGCTTCTAATCTGCTTCTGTGTTCACCTATACTAGACTGGCGTATATAATCCTGGTTTTTTGGCAATTCCCACTATGTTGCCCTGAAGTTTTGCTCATTCTGAGGCTGGGATGTCCTTTTCACATATCGCAGCTTGTCCTTTCGAACCAGTGCCTTTGGAATCAACACGTGTACATATCATGACCCTGGTCCCCGTTTTGACGCAGCGCGTATCGAAGCTCATGCCACGAATACTCTTCTTCTTTTCCCCTTGCAAAACCCCCACACTTAGCGAGCTATCCATACTCCTTCCTTGTGCTCTGTGACAAATCCGGTTATGCCTCATATCCTGCATGTTTCATTGTCTCTAGCTTATTGTCATATAAATCTGTCTATGGTGATGCTTATTTGTGTGGATGCCCTCTCTTTCTCCCTTTTCTTTTGTCGTTTTGATGGTTACGTTTTTGCTCCTGTTCTCTCCCTGGTTACCAGCTCGTACATAATCCATGGCGTGGTCGGTATCTAGCCTGGTTTACTTACTCCATGAAGCGAATAAATCTAGGAACCGCTACCAGATCGAACTCTTAGCAGTAATGTGAACATAGATTGGGTATATCATGACTCGAAGCAAGGTCATTTCCTTCTCACTTGTCTCTCGGCCTTATACAACATAGGTAGTCTATCCGTCGACGGGAAGATTCACGAAGTATCAGTGAGCCCACTCACAATGTTTTAGTTTTATTACAATCCGAATATAGACACAGTCCAAATATAGCCTGTAGCTGGGTCATAGAAGCTCCCGGAACCCCTAAACCTAGGACATCTACATCACTGGATATCAGGGGTTTCCGTACACGATGGCTGTGAAATACAGCCCTGAGCCACATAGCAAGTTCCCGCCATTCAAACCCCCCAAAGTCAGTCTGGTAATCTGTCAATGTGGCCTCGATGCGTGCCAGCTGCTGTGGAGATTCTGCAGTACCCAAGGCAACGACCAGACAAGGGACGACATAAGCGGCACCAATTGGACGGTAGCGCGAAGCTAACTCAGCCTCGTTGATAATTCGCTCGCAAAAGAAAGTCGACTCCTCGGCGAGCACGGCGTTTTCTGGATCCAGTGCACGAAGAATGGTGTTTAGAAGAAGTGCTAAAGCAATGACCACGGTATATGTTGCTCGATGGCGCGACCGTCGGATAAGGACCGGGGAGGACAGACCGGCTGGGTCAGTGGGTTGGTCTAGATACAGGTAGATATTCTGTGCGTCTTCTTGGAGCTTGATATATGCTGCGGTGATCTCGGGGGCATGGGAGTGTGGGTGGTGGAGGTATCCTGGGAACTGTGAAAGCGATAGTAGAGTCGTGGTTGATCGTGGTATACTATCCGGAGCTGGAGAGGAACCTTGCTGGATGAGGATCATCATGTCGTTCCAGAAACTCGGAGCCATTTGAACCCGAGGATTGCATATTCCGTCCAGGATCTGGTGGGATTAGTGAAGTAGGGAGATTCATGTTTGGAAAGTGTCACATACCACCGGCACACTCAAAGTGACGATCAAATCTCTTTCGAATCCACTTTTGTACCTGGAGATATCTGCAATCCTGAGTAAATGTGCAATGGCTGTCCCATGGCTGGCTGATTGCTTTTCAAACTTCCCAAGCCAAGCCTAGAACCGTCGAGCTTAGCATTGAAGACCAAAGAGAACAAGACGATATCATACCTGACAGATTGAGATGAGATAAATAGCACAGAGGGTATGCGGCGATCGAACCTCAACTGGATTGTCCAGACATTCCCTTAATGCCCTAACGGATTTCCCAAAAAGCATTAACACATCGCGGGGAACTTCTCTAACATGAAGACGATGGAGAAAGGGATGTGAAGAGACCAAAGCCTGAGCGGCAGCATCCAAGACGGCACTTTCTCCGAGTCGCCTGGGCAGATCCTTGAAAAAGGGGCCATAAAACGAGATATCAAAGCGAATATCGCTAATATCGAGGGTTCTAATGAACTGATTGACTAGTCGATTGCAAGGAGCTTGTGAAATGATATTCAACTTCGATCGAACTCGAATTGCCTTCTTTTTGGCTTTGGGGTTTTGTGTCGATTTGACATTCTTGAATGTATAACGTTGTTGCCCGCTTCCTTCACAGGGTAGTTGCAGCCGGAGGCACCGTGAGCAGGGTTGTTGTTCGTCGCACTATGTTTCTCAGCATTGATATTCAGCAATTCTCCGACAAGAATAAGGCAAAGACCTTCTTTTTCGTTTTTCGGCAGGCTTCGCACCCTTTACTGGATGGGACCCCTGGCATAGTGCACGTGAGATTATGGGCGCAAGGTGACACTCGAACTGAAAAAAGGGCCAAAAAAAGGTAGAACAATAAGAATCAGCAGCCTTGTAGACACCATAAAACGGTGTGTAGTGTATATGATGTCTCCAAAGTTAAGCCGGAGAAAGAAGACCCGCCCAGCGCGCCACTTCCCCTATTTAGTCAATGATAGACATCCGCCAAGACCTTCGAATCGCCTGTTTCAAAAGGATGTGTTTTCTCGAAATCAACAATGAATTGTTCATGCTTCTGACTTCGTGGAGTAATAGCCGCATTAAAAAGGGGCAAGGTGGCTCAGGAGGCCTGGTGTAGAATACACAGTGGGCTCGATTTCTTTGCCATTTTCTGTGGGCTTTCTGATGTCGAAGACGGCCAGCGTGTGGGCAATTATGAGGAAGATTGAAGTTTCAGCGATCAAACGGCCAGGGCAAATTCTGCGACCGAAGCCGAAGCTCACATCTCCCGGCTCAAGCACACTGGGCTCGGAAAGGAATCGTTCGGGTTGGAAACCCTGGGGGTTGGGGTATATCATCGGGTCATTGTTAAACGACCTAGATATACGTTAGCACAGCAAAGATGATACAGATGATACATGGATATGAATAAGAATACCATGTATTCGGTACAATGATTTCATTTTCGGGAATCAAATAGCCATTGATGATATCGTCTTCGTCCGTTCGGTGAGGAATGCCCAAGGGCGCGACAGTATACCATCTAATAGCTTCCTTGAAGATAGCATTCACATAGGGTAACTTTTCCCGATCGGTCACCGATGGCAAAGTAGGCTTGCCGAACAGTTCATCTATCTCGGCTTGAGCTTTGCGTTGAACTTCCGGGAACAGTGTCATTGCCAGAAAGAAGCCCTCTAGAATTGCAGTAGTCTTTTCGATATAGATGAGTAGAAGAAATGCACGTCAGAGTCGTTAGAACATACCGTATCACCTGCACCGCCATAAATTGCCACCGCTGCCCATTTGACGATTTCTTCATCTTCGCCTTGTCCGAGAAGAGTCGAAACAAAGCACTCTGTATCTTTTCCCTGGTCCATTTGAGCCTTGGTAAATGCAAGCGGGCTCTCCGCGAATCTTGTGAGGGTTTGAACATGATCTCTGGCAACACGCTGGAAATTTGCCCCAGGCATCCATTCTGGGACATATCCAACTGTATAAAGAGGGGATCAGCAAGGTACAGCTCAATCCCCTGGAGAAACATAGGGAAGAAACCTACACGCCGGAATGAAATCAACCAGCCACGCCCCCGGAACTGCTTAACTGCAAGATTAGCTAGGCGTACCAAGGGGTCTTCACTGCAAGGCTCAATGTTATAGCCATATGTAACAGTCAAAAGAAAAGCCCCGGAAGCGCTATATCCAAGTCAGCGATGGTTTCCAAAAGACAGGACCGAAAGCTCACGTCCTGTTATGATCGAGGAACTCCTCCAGCGTACGCAGAACACGGCATGCGAACCGTCTCGCTTCTAATTCGAGGAGCCCACAAAACTTGGCCGCGGATTCTCGCGTTCCGATAACTCTGGTTATTGCGCGACGATAGGCTCGAAGAAGCGGCGTGTTGTCTTGATTTGGTACTAACTTACCCCATCCAGCTCTTTGGGTGTCATTCTATTCAGTATATCCCAAAAAGGAGAATGCTTGAAAATCAAACATACAGTTCACCGGCAAAGATGAGGTGCGGTCGCGAGGAATGCTTTATAGAATTCTTTTCTAGAATTTGAAATGCCAGGTCTCGATCATTGACGATAATCGGGGTCTTGCCGAGGACGGTGACGGAGCTGATGGGACCTGTGAGGCTCAGCTTTTGCTAAACGGCCCAGAGCTGGACGAAAGAGTACCGTAGAGGTCTTTGTGCTTCAGCCAATGCATCCATTCCTGTGTTCCTGACGAGGGAAGATCAAACAAATTGCCAATCAGGAATTTGCCTTTCGGTCCTGGGGGTAGATTGGCTCTTTTCTTTGTGAAAGTCTGCAGAATGACAGTGAGACCTAGAATGATCGTAAAGATCGCCAGGTGGACAGTTGATACCATGGCAAGGACAAAGGCTAGAAGATAAAAAACAGAGAAACAAACGAAAGATATAAATGCCATCAAATAGGAGAAGTGCGGTAAGTTATACAGAAATCATATCACATGCACATATTTCCCGATTTGGTCATTTGGTGCGCTCCGAATTCTGACCAATGCCACGACAGTACATTGTTCTGTACGGATTCACGTAAAAATAAATCGATTCGCCCTTGGGGGTATATATATATATATATCAACACGTCCAATCATATGGATAAAAAAGTACGAGGGAAGTCATTGCATCATAGACATCCTCGGAAATAATAACAACACACCAGATCTACGCCAGTACTCCCCCTTTCCGTCACATCTCTAACTTTGAAACACAATGTGTTTTCTGATAAGCGCTGGGTAATCACGGCTCATCGCCCCAGATGCCAAAGACTGGAAGATCCTCAGCCATATACAACAGACCATTATCCGGGAACATCATGTCAGAAATTGGGGATGGACCGGACACTGGGAGCGGACCAGAAGGGATAGTCCCACCAGGAGAGCAGCCCACAGGGATACCCGAGGTGGTTAATGCAGAAATTGCTGCATCGTAGGACAAAGCTGTAGTGGGGTCTGAGCCATTGCACAGGGCTTCCCAAACATCGTTGTCGGTTGAAAGTTGGGGTTGAAGGAGTGGTTGGGAGGGGATATAGGAGATTGGAGTTCCAATAGGCATTTTGTCGGCAGAGGTAGGAGATATCGCAGTTGCAGATGCAGATGAGTGAGCATCACTTGGGCCAGCGAAAAGTGGAGCTCCTGGGGTTGGGGAGTTACGATCCTCATCGCCGCCTACTTGGCCGAAGAGCTGGTCGACCTGTTTGCTGCGCCTATTCATCCATTGCCGATTTCGTCGGCAAACGTATTCGGTTACAGCGGCGCGGAGGTATTTGATAATTTGGAAGAAACGGCATGCGTGTGGATCGTGCGGGACAAATAGCCCTAGGAACCGTTCGGCTTTGTTCATTCCTTCTTCCAATGGAAGCAGGTTGTCGTAGTCAGCGAAGAATGCAGCTCCGAGGACGATGACAGAGTTAAAAACGGAGTTGATCAAGAAAGGTAGTCGACGTGGAAGGGAGGTATAATGGCTGAGATCATCGACCATATCTAGACCACGGAGTGCGGAATAGACACATGCATCGGCAAACAGGGATATTCGGGAGCTACCGTTTCGAGTGTCTGAGGATGAATCGGATTTGCCTTTGACATACTGGGCGACACGGTATATGAGGAATGGTCTTGTTAACAAGATGATCGACCAGTAATATGACCCGAACACGTGAGCTGCAGCTAGGCTGTTTTCCATGGATTTTTTTTCGAGTCGCTCGGTCTGCATTCTGAGGATTGTTGGCAGAATGCGAACCCAAGCCCGATGCTGGTTGGAGATCGTCTCTGCAACATTGATTGATATGACTTGCTTCATGTACACATCGGTCAAGATCCGTTCGAATATTCGACAAAGGGAAATCACCGCAGCAGAAAGCTGTTGCTCTGCGGTCAAATGGTGTTGTGATTCCCCTGATACAAGAGCATCTTCACGTGTATCATAGTCGTAATCTGAGGTTGCGGGAGGGCGTCCCAGGGAGGCGCTGAGGAATAGATCCATCATTCGAAGACTCTTCCAAACTCGCTCCCTCGCTCGGCGCTCACGCCCACAAAAGAGCGCGTTTGCATCCTTGCGGTGTATTCCAACTGCGTAGGCAGCACGTAAAGCAATCCCCAGATTCATAAATGCACCATTGCGCCTGCATGCGCCGAGCATATACATGGAAACCAAAATGTATGATTGAATGGTGGATATGCTTGGGGTTTCCTGAAAGGCCGAAAACGCCAATTGGCGGCCGCTGCCAAAATATTGTTCAGCTACTGTCTGATCAATATCGGAAACCTGAGCTCCAATGGCAAGGACAAGATAGAAGATAGAGCTAACGGTATCTTCATCACCCGATGGGTTTGCAACCCAATTAGCTAGCCGTGGGTGGAACTCTTCCAGATCAAATAAGTCAAGCAACGGGCTTGTAGCAAGCACGAACTGACCAGCTAGTCGTTGGGCTTCTTCGTTGCTTGGTGGCGCAACTAGAGCTCCGGGCTGAGTGCTTGGGTTGCTCTGAAAAGCCTCGAGCATTGAGTGTCGTGAGTTGTCCTCGGTAAACTCACATCGGCCAATGGAAGATGTCACAACACGGCGCAGACTCTGTAAGAATGACAAACTCGCCGAATCACCAATATACATAAACTTTCCCTGGCCGTCGCGCAGAAGCCGCGCCACTTTTGGCACGGGAGCCGTCCCTTCCTTCTCATCCTTTTCCTGGCGTTCCATATTCATTCCTTGATCCTCGAGAGAATTCAAAAGGCGATCCATTGCCGTTTCGCGCTGCGGAGATGCTACCATGCGTTCACTGAGCAACACTGTCGAATCCTTGGCGTCTGGCTTGAGTAGGCGTGCGGGCCGATCCGAGAAGTGGCATTCCGACTCCTTGTGCCTCTGAACACAGATTGTACATGGTTGTTCACCGTTGCATTTCTGTTTTCGCCTTTTACAGCTGTCGCAAGCTCGTCGGCATCGGAGCCGCGCTCCCGGGGTAGTGCTGGCCCGAGGCATCCCGACCGCGCTCGCGTTTGATGAATAGGTCGGGTCACTCGTCTGGGGCTTCGGTAGCAATCATCGAGGCGTGAGGTGTCTAGACCGATTGAGCCGGGGCGATTAAGTCATTGCTGAGGTCTAATATAATGTCAAAGACCGCTAAGTGCGGGCGTCTGCTTTCCCCGGACTCCATTATATGACTAAGCGGATTCATCCCACCCGTGGGCCTACCCAGGCACCTCCACACCTCCAGGGGTGCAACAGATGAACTTGGACTCAAAAGGTTCGGATAAGGCATTGATACATTGATATGACAAGAAGAAATGTTACCTCAAGTCCAAATCATTCGGCATATTATGGCCGGAACGACACTATCTTGCCCCAGGTGTCGGCGGTGCCCCAGATGCCAGTCCGCAGGCATTCTAACTGCACAATTTGGCTATGATCCACAAACAGGTTGACATCAATACCAAACTCACGAACGTACCAATTAAAGACCTTGGGATCTGCAGCTTCAAACATGACACGCTCAGGAGGAAGCTCCTTCATGATCTTCGACACTACATCAGTCCGCCAGGACTTGACGTTTTCAGTGATGCCTTCTGATTCAATCATCAACCGTTTCACACCAGCGTCGAGGAATCTACGACCTAGATTCACCAATTTGCCAGGGTCCGAGGTCCCAATCGATTCAAGTCCCGAGGCAGGTGTGTCCCCACCGGCTCCAAATTGAATTCCCAATTCAGGCTTTGGTTCCAACTTGTATGAGTGGACTTTATCAATAAGACGGAGCCAGTCATCCTCCGGGAATGACAGAAAACCAGAAGACAGTTCAACGACATCGAGTCTATGTTGACCCGTCAGATTTTATATTCCAGGCTCCTGGACCTCGAGCTGGGGATGCACGTACCCGAGATCCTTGCATTTCTTCAAGTACCGGTCAAATACGGTATCTGGATCGGGGTGTGTCAGGAGATGCTCAGCCCATCCACCCTGAAATGTCGAGCCTGGTGTCAAGAGTATGCTTCCCAATGCGCTAATTTCCCGATCCAAGCTTACCGTTGAGATGTATACGCCGTGCTCATGGGCCAGATCGACCAATTCCCGCAGTGGTTTCTCGTGAAGGAGAGAAAAGGCACCTGGGTTTTATCTCAGCGCTCTCGTTTCTGGCGAGAACCGAAGCCTTTTTTAGGACTCACCTCCGGCAAACTTGAGACCATCTACATGGTCGCCCATCCTAGATATTGTCAGATGCCATTTGATGAGTAGTTGGGACATTGCAGAATAATACGTCTCGAGGATATCTGCGAGATATCTTTTGCCCATGACCTAGTTTAGGTTAGCTCCGTGGAATACGATGATGGGACTATATGGCACCTACTGAGTAGTATGGGCCTCGGATCTCTGTGATCCCCTTTGTTCTGGGCTTGGCAGGTCTAGGGTTTGACCGCGCGAAGCCGAAGCCATTTTGCTTGTCTTGCAGAAGGGTAACTCCTTGATAAATGTTCGGGGTGGCAGCAAAGTGTCTAAATGGGGGCAAAGCAATGGCCGCTTGTGATGTGGAGCGGCTCATTACGCGCCCGGTTCTAAGTAGATTAACAAGCAACATAGTCTTGGCAGTTGAAATCGAATGGTGAATTGAACGTACATAGTATATTTTCCATATTCCATATTCCATATATTATGTTGGAAGGGCTGACGTCAAACAGATTTCATTTGAATCTCAAATGATGTTACGTAGGAACGAGCAAATATTACATCACTTTAATACATTGTGCTATTTTACTATTTTAAATTTCTAACTGGAGTACCTAGGTACACATCTACACATCTACATATCTACATATCTACATATCTCCTCCGTACATACATATGTACATAATGTATCATGTATTTAGTACGTACGGAGTATTGGAAGTGTACATAAGGACCTAAGGACCTCGGGAGGAAAGAGACACTAGTCTGCTCCGTACCCTGAGAATTTCGTGTAAATCCCGCTGATCAATTCTGCGCTAGTAATAACCTGTTTTTTTTTTTTTCGTTTTAAAAAAGTATACGAGTACCATCAATTTTGATTTCTAATGATGTTTGATAGTAAGTTCGAGTATTTTTCATAAATATTTACTGGTATACTCCGTATACAACCTCCCATCGATTCAACTCAAAAGGAAATATGATATATATAACATATCTTTCATGGTAAATGCATTACAGACAGCGTACGGAGTAATTGAAAATTAGATCGGGCTTGGCGGGAACCACATTGACAACTAAACCTTGGGATCGTCCAAGACAAAAAATTAAGACAACTAGCGCCGGCTCGGATACCGGAGACTCTGTAAGGCGAAGTTCGGCGGACTGCCTCGGAGGATCGGTAAGAGGAGTTCCGATGTATGTTGCATATTTAATGTTTTTTTTTTCTATACGAAAGATTCTGGAGTATGATACGAGTACGAGGTACATTAGAGTTAGAATGTACGGAGGTTAACTAGTTATACCCAGTCAGTTAGTTAGTTATATGACTATCTATATATCTAGATCTATATCCCTACATATGCTGTGTATCCCTAGGAATGTTTTGGCTTTTACGAATATGGCAAGAGGTCACATGCATTCATAATATATGATGGATGTATAATTTTATGCACCGATATCATGTTGCATGTCCATGTCCAATCAACAGCTGTGTTCAAATGGCTCCTCCCGCCAAGAACAAAGCTAATCTTGTGGATTCAAGTTTCATCACATTAGCTGTTCGATATACGGAGCATGCCCAGCGTAAAAAGCTCAAAACTATGTGCCCTTGATTCCGGTGACTTCCGCCATGTCTTGGCTGCCCTGGCACCTGCCCTGGGCATTTCTTGATTCTGAATACAACCAGATGTGGCCCTGACACCTCCCCCTTCTCAGTTATCTACATATCCCAATTTCCTCATTCTTACGGTATTTCTTTATTGCAAGTGCACCCCCTTTTTTCCCTTTTCCTTTTTCCCTCTGAGAATCGGTAGGTACTGGTTCCGTGGTCTGATAGCTCATCATGGGAGCTGGAGCGGTCATAGAGCCTCTGGTGGTTATTGTTCTCTTGTTTGGAGGTACCTGGATTAACCGCTCTGTCGGATCATCCTCGACTCGACGCTACAGCCGACGGAACTCGAACCTTCGACGAGCTGATTCATCTGATTCTCTGGAGTCGGGATACTCAAGCCAATCGACCAAGGATGGCCTCCTAGGCTCTCGATCCCACTCACCACAAGCCCCAGAAAATGGATGGCACAAGCGACAGGTTGGACTCCTGGGCTTGAATTTTGAGGTGTCATCGCCAAATACTATCGTGTTTCAAGACCGCTTGCTCAGTCGGTTGCTACGCAAATTCCCTTTTTTGGTGGAATGTTGGTATTGGGCTTTAGTCTACTGGGTAGGTTGATTTGCTATTTGCTTCCTTATCGTTGGTCTTGACCAAACCGATAACTTAAATTTTGTGCAGACGTACCAGCTTGGTCGGGCTTTTACCGCTGTGACTCTCAAGGAGGATACCGTCGACGTCGCCAGGAGACATGCATTGCAACTAATCGTGATTGAGGAGCATCTGGGTATGTTCTGGGAGACATCGATCCAGCGACACTTCCTTCATCACCCCCTTGTCATGTCTTGGATCAACTGGATATACTCCTTCATACACATTCCTGGGACAATCGCATTTCTCGTCTGGCTCTACTACTATACTACCGTGCGGAATCGGATCGACGAGGCTCAGCCCGGAAAGCCTAAGGGTGCTGTGAGCGGGTCGCCTGCAGGGCCTCTCTTATACCAAGCGCGCCGGCGGACATTGGCCGTGTGCAATCTTCTCGCATTCGTGGTCTTCACTCTTTGGCCTTGCATGCCACCTCGGTTACTGAGTGACCCAACCGTGGATGGTGAAGAGGCGGATCTCGCCCGCAGTTATGGGTTCGTGGACACGGTGCATGGGGTCAATGGATCGGGCAGTGTTTGGACGGAGAACCGTTTCTGTAATCAATATGGCAAGTGTTGTCTGGCCCAAGCTCGATGAATCCTTGACTGACTGTCACCAGCGGCAATGCCTTCCTTGCATTTCGGCTATTCTTTAATGATCGGCCTCACGCTGATAACAATCCCTTTACCACAGCACCACCGGCGCACAATCCTGCGTTCTCGGCTGACCCTTTCCCTAAGACTAAACCTCCCGTCATGGCAGCGCCTTGTTTGTGTCACACTCGGCTTCCTATATCCGTTTACCATCCTTGTGGCTATTGTTGCCACAGCCAACCATTTTATTCTGGATGCTGTCGCGGGAGCCGTTGTATGTGCCTTAGGGTGGCATTTTAATGGGGTACTGCTCAACCTGTTGCCACTGGAAGACTACTTCCTTTGCCTCGTCCGGATCCATAAGCCGGAACCATCACTTTTGGATGTCCCTGAAGAGGATCTCCCCACGAGTGAAACCGCTTCAGAACATGCTCGCATCTGAGTCCACTCACCAGGGTTTGGCATTTCATAGTCGATTCGACTTTGAATTCAGCGTCTTTGCTTTAGAACTTGATACCCTGTATGAAACCCCACCAGACCAGCCGGTCTGATTTATAATGTGTGTATGTGGACCTAGTTATTGTTACCCGATTCTCTCTGTGGGATTGACCATTCAACTCTTGTACCTTGATGTCTCTCCTGTACCTAATCAGCCATTAATATGTTTATGCAAGATTTGTTGTTTGCTAGAAGGCTCTAAGAGACAATATTGGAAGCATTTTGAGGATGATCCAAATACTTCCTTTGTATAGCCTAACTATCACCGTACATACAAAGACCATCTAAGCATTATAAACTCTTTCATACAGGAGATATAAATACCAGGGAAAAAGCATCAGATTGGAAAAAAGCATGAAAGCATCATCTTTGGTGGGTTGTACCTTACATAGGAGTTTAGATGCGTTTAGGAAGAGAAAATCAACCCATTTGATCTATCGTATCCTCATTCCAATCAACAGCCCAATAATACCGATATTGTGCTCAATCGTGTATTATCTCGTCGCTGAGAAGGGGCACCACGATGAACAGCGTGAGCGTCACGTCAAGGTACTGCGTCGTCGCATGTTCCCTATATGTCTCTTGATATCACGGTCTACTCACAGCCTTCTTCAAAAGCATCCCACGCTCGATACCGGTGACCTATCTCGATCTACATTGCGAACTTATCGCTTTAGCAAATTGAGATTGCTTCCAAAAGCTTGCAAAGAACTCACAAAGTGCTTGCGACTGAAGGCCAACGTGCCGACACGAAGCCACAAACTCTGGACCAGATTGTCATAGTGGGCTACAGGAAAAGGAACACGTCACTTTTCTTACCTTATGGCCAGGCTGGTTTGAATCGATGAATTGGCAGTCAATTCGAAAGAAACCGTCAATATCCTGAAGAATGCCAGTTTTATCCGCACGTGCCCAGCCAGGCCCCCGAATATCACGATAGTTCAAGGTATACAAGAACAATCTCTTGGCACTTCACAGGTGTGGTATGAATAATGCCAACTGTGAATGAACGACCAGAATTCTTCAAAAAGAGAAATAAACAAAGTGACTTCGGCATGTCAATCACTTTTGCGCTGTGTTGTCCGGATATGCGATTGTGAAGGCATATCGATGGACAGTAGGAGATACGTCTGTTGACTCTTTCAGTTGCTGTGTGCTATATGCCATTCAACCCACGAGATATCAGAGGGAGATCAGCAAGAACAACAGTCGTTCCTTCGCTTTACGTCGAAATATCCTATCCACACCATCTGCGATACGCAATCCCACCAGGCGTCACTCGTCACCTCCGCTTCACACCCTTTAGGAGTTGATTGTCGACAATCGACACTTTGTGTTGGCGTCTTCAATACATACTCCCGTTGTGAAACACCTATTGTCTCTATTGACAATCTTCAATATTCAAAAAGGTAGGTATACGAAGATATATCACTACCCCCCATGCGTATTGTGCAACCCTCTTCCATTGTCGATCCCAATACCATTTCCAAGGCTGTTCAAATCCAAAAAGCGAAGCAAACCATCATCATCATCTTCAATTCGCCGCTTTACAAACTGTTGTGTGGTGACTTGAAAGTTGTGGCGTCATTGGGGTCTTCCGTTCTCAGACGCGTCTTGAAGTTCCCGCGCCTTTCGCGACTCTTCTCTTCTCCACATCTCTCCTACCCTCCCCTGGAAGCTCCTCCCACCACCTACCCCAGCTCCGATTTACCAATCGCCTACTGAATTTTAACTTATCTCATCCCAGCTTGCCATTATGGCTGACGATACTCCCGTGTCTGCGCCCGTCGAGGGCGATCAGCCCGAGCGCGCCACTGAGCAACCCACTGACTCCAAGAAGAAGTCGGAGGATGTGACTGTGTCGGAAGACAAGCCTGCCGGTAAGCATCGACTGATTGATATCAATCAATCGTTTTGCGCCTCTATTTCTCAAAGCTGTCCCTCGGTCGGGACATCCTGTTTCTGTGCGACACTAACTGACTGTTTCTTCCAGACACTGAAGCTGCGACCGACAAGAAGACGGACGCTGAAGCTGAGGGTGATAACCCTGCTTCCTCTGATGAGGTTCCTGAGGCCAAGGCCGATGGCGAAACTGTCGAAGCTGCACCTGCCGATGCAGAGGCCGCTGCGCCCGCGGAGGCCAACGGAACCCCTGCCTCAGCGAAGAAGTCCTCCAAGAACCGCCGCATCTCCACCGGTGCCACCCAGAAGCTAAGCCGCAAGAAGTCCCAGAGTCGCATCACCCACCTGGACGCTAAGCCAGGCCAAACCTATCTTGCCCGCCTTCGTAGTTATGCGCCCTGGCCTGCTATCATCTGTGACGAGGGCATTCTGCCTCCTAGCCTGCTGGAAACTCGTCCCGTTACCGCCAAGCAAAAGGATGGATCCTACAAGGGCGAGTATGGTGACGATGGCAGACGCGCCCATGAGCGCACCTTCCCCGTCATGTTCTTCGATACCAATGAATTGTGAGTCGACCATCCACGCAAAACCCCTATGGCAGACGCGAACTTCCTACTGACCTTTTTCTTTTGACAGCGCCTGGGTTCCCAATACCAACCTGACCCCTCTCAACCCTGCCGAGTGCAAAAATATTTCCGAGAAGAATAAAGCCAAATCACTCATCAATGCCTACAAGGTTGCATCCGAGGGCCACAACCTTCAGTACTTCAAGAAGCTTCTGAATGACCACCAGGCAGCTCTTGACCAGGAAGAGGCTGAGTTCGAAGCCCAGGAGGCGGAGAAGGCAGCTGCCAAGGCCGCAAAAGAGGCCAAGAAGGGCAAGCGCAAGAGCAAGGGCGCCGAGACTGATGTTGAAATGGAGGATGTGGATGACTCCAAGAAGTCTAAGGCTCCTTCTAAGAAGCGCAAGAAGGATGTCGAGACCGACGCCGAAGCAGAAAAGGTATGTTTTACAGGATCATTGTGATGTTGATCTCGCTCAGCTCACGAAATTGTAGCCCGCTAAGACCCCCAAGTCCAACACAAAGCTCAAGTTGAGCACCCCCAAGGCTCCCGCCGAGGACACTGGAAAGAAGACTCCCGCCAGCAAGACTAAGAAGGCACCTGCTAAGAAGGGCAAGGCAGCTCCCGCTGTCAGCGACGAAGGAGACAGCGCCGATGCTAAAGAATCCGAGAAGCCCATTGACCCAGAGGAATTGAGAAAGAAGAAGGAGAAAGAGAGTACGCGATCCCCCATCTCCCCCGACGAGCCCGACCAGGCCAGCTTATACCTTACAGTTCTGTTCCTCCGTCACAAACTCCAGAAAGGCTTCATCTCCCGTGACCAACCCCCTAAGGAAGATGAAATGGCTAGCATGGCCAGCTACTTTGACAAGTTGGAGAAGCATTCGGACTTGGAGGTGTCGATCATCCGTTCAACCAAGATTAACAAGGTCCTTAAGATGATTGTCAAGCTCAACTCCATTCCCCGGGACGAGGAGTTCAACTTCCGTCACCGTGCCATGAACATTTTGTCTAGCTGGAAGAACATCTTGGACGCGGACACTCCCGGCCCGGCAGACAAGGATGAGAAGCCCGCCGTTAACGGATCTAAGGAGGAGGATGGCGTTGAAACCCCCAAGCTAGAGACAGAAGAGGAAAAGGAGCCCGAGTCCAAGTCAACTAAGGATGTTGATTCCCCAATGCCCGACGCGGATGAGAAGGCCCCTGAGCCCGAGAAGGAAGAACAGCCCGAGGAGAAGGCTGTTGAGGAGCCCACCGAGGAGAAGTCCGAGGAGAAGTCCGTTGAGGCTACTGCTTAAGTGGTCTAAGAATCACGACTCTGCGATGTCTGTTTTCTTTTATCCATTTGCGCTCTCATTCATGTTCTCTTCTCTGTCTCTGTTTCAATCTACGCGGTTCCGCCGGTTTGTTTCCTTTTTTTTATCTTTTTTGTCACCTGCCAATGCAATACTGGGATACGGGGCTGGACCAACCAGCAAGGCTTCTTTGAATCAATTGAAAATGTGATTGTTCTTTTTTTTAAATCAACTTCAGCTTCTGCACATTGACCTTCCTGGCCATAGGGCCAGAGGTTGCACGCCAATGATCTCCTTCGTTGCCAACTCAGGCCTAGAGTATCGGAGAGAATGTTGTTTTACGACGTGAAAATGAACGGAAGGGTTCCCAAGGGTACGTAATGGAAAGACTATGTTTCCTTCACTGCATGTATTAAGCTCTTGAATACAAGGATCCATAATGGCTGTTCAGTAAACCAGTAAAATAGTAGAACGTATATAGGTCAGGCTTTTGGAAAGTCAAATTCCATGCAATTGGGGTTATCTCTATAAAATCTCTATGTGAATGTAGTCAACGTATTGACGGGGAAGCATAAAATGCCTATATACCTAGCTCTTTGCAAAATCAAAAATCCCCACGCCTTCTATATATGGATGCAGTTATACATCATGCTCCTCGAAAACAAATGAGAAAAAAAAGTGTGACGCCGGTTCGATGAAATGTCTAAATTACTCATGCCTCACCTGCAGCAACGCTATCATCGATAGCGATAACAACGACAGCGCAGATATCATCAACTTTCCCGCCGCGGTAATAGTCACCGGGGTGGTAGCGCTGAGCCTCCTTAGCAAAGGGCCCATCGCGGCGATAGTCGAGACTAGCAATTTTCGCCTCGCCAGCAATCGTCGCCGCGAGAACAGACTGCAACGTGACCGCATTCTCAGGTCCAGGCTCGGTACTAGCTGAGTCCTTGGAAAGCGGGGAGCCCGACGGAGTAGGAAGAGCATCAGCCAATCCACCCGGCGCAGCCAGCGCACGCAGGTTCTCTGAGACTCCAACGCCAGACTCCGTAGCCGTCCATGCCCCGGTCATAACCATACGGCTCGTGACGAGCTTGAGGATATCCTGATTGTTGAGATTATCAAAAACGCCATCGGTAGCAATGATGAGCACATCCCCATGCTGCATCTGCACATTCGTAACGGACGCATCACGAGGGAAATCCTCCAAAAACGCCCCGCCAAAGACAGACGCCTGGGCGCGCATACGTGGCGGGATCACGCTAAGCTGGTACGGGGTGTTGAATCCATGCGTCTGCGGAACCGAGTAATGATGCACCGCCGCCCTCCTCAACAACACCGAGCCTGAGTCACCCAAATTAGCCAATTCGACTCGTCCATCCGGCAGCGCGACACCAACAGATGCCGTACTCCCACCCGCGCGGATCGTCGAATCTGCCACGACTTGGTCGTATCCGGCCTGTATGAGGTATTTAGAGCGCAAGCGCTCAGCGGGCTCGTGCCATGTCTGCGCGGTGTGCGCCATGTAGTTGCACAAGCCGTGAGAGAAGTCCGCCGGGTCGACGCGGGATTCTGTCCAGCCGCCTACGCCGTCCGCGACGCCAAAGGCGACAGCTTCTGCATTTGTCTCTTGGTGATCTGAGATGCGGTTTCCGATGCGAGTTACGAAGAAGGCGTCTTCGCCTGAGTCTGGGCGGTTGCGGCGGCGGCTGACAGAGTTCTTGTCCTTTGAGACACCTAGGGCGTCTGCGGTTGGGTCGAAGTTGTATGCATTTTTGATGGGGTGGAAGCGGCGACCTTTTCCGGAGGAGGAGACGGCGACACGGTAGGAGAGTTTTGAGGGAGAGGGGTTTTCGAAGTTGTTCGTTGGGGTTGAGCGGAAGGCTCGGCGGGAGGATTGGCGGGTTAGATTCAGGCTCAGACGGCTGTCTGGTCTGAGTCTTGCGGCGTGAGAGGAGAAGCGGACATGTTGGGGGTTGAACAGGGAGGGTGTGTATGTGCTCGGATTGGTGGAGATTGAATAGACCCCATCTCGTACGATGGCTTGTAGGCTACTGCAGGCGGTACTGCAGGCTCTACAGGAAACACTTGGCGGGATCATCGCAGGCCTTGGGGGTTTATGTATAATTTCCTTGTGGAGAATGCGTCTCCTATTTGGAAGCGAGAGGAATAAAAGAAGAGGAAACAAGAGGTATAAAGAAAGAATCAAAAAGCCAAAAGCCAAAAAATCAAGGAGCACCTGAATCTCAACGGATAAGACAAGTACCCGCCCTTATCGCCCGACCGCCTGGCGTCATTGATTTTTCGTGGATACCAGATTTCTCAGGCAGAAACTGTTAAACTGTATGAGGTTGGATTTGGTGTGGGGAGAATATGTATAGAGGGAGACAAAGTGAGTACAAATATTGTTCTTATATGTAGTTGCATTCAAATATATACAATTCGATCCGACGTCAACTTGTATGCTCTTCAACGCGTTACCGCCAAAGTCTATCAATTATTCTGCCGCCCGCAACATCTTCTCTCCCGCCAACCTTTTTCTCTTCACTACAAGATACCCCAATTCGTTTCTTTTACCCAAGCGCAAATCTTTATTAATCTGCCTCTTGAGTTACCGGAGAAGCATAAGCTTCCAAGTTGCCCAAGATGATGCACCCATCGCGACAGGCTTATGTTGAGGAGACGGAGGACACAGACATGGGGGGCATCAGCTACGCCGATCTTCGTGAGTCGTTCTCAAACAGCTTTTATTTGAAGCCTACTAATGGAACCATAGCTATGGACCAAGACTACGATATGCCAACTACCGCAGGGGGTATTCCAACCGAGCGGGCCTCCGCCATTCTATCGCAATTCGAACGGAAACGCAGAGCAGCAGCGATGGTTGTTCCAACAGATGACACACGAGTGCGCGCACGGCTACGAGAGCTTGGGGAACCCATTACGCTATTCGGAGAAGGGCCATCAGAGCGACGCGATCGTCTACGTGAACTGTTGACCGACATGGCGGAGCAACAAGGCGGAGTCGAGATAGAAATGGAAGAAGCTGAGGAGGAAGGGGAACAACAAGAAGAATTCTTCACAGAGGGTGGGAACGATTTACTCGAGGCGCGGAAAGAAATTGCGCGCTTTTCTTTGCCGCGCGCAAAGGCTCGAGTGGCCCGACTTAAGGACGAATCAACAATTACACTTCGAACACATGTCAAGCATCGCAAAGCTGTCAAGGAGAAGCTACAAGGATTCGATCTGTACGGGTCTCAGATTGCTGGCGATCGTCCGGTTAGCATTTGTCGATTCGCGCCGGATGGGCAGACAATTGCTGCTGGAAACTGGAGCGGTGGGATCAAATTACTCAGCGTGCCCAATCTGGAAGAAAAAGCGAGTTTCAAGGCGCATACGGATCGAGTGGGTGGTTTGTCGTGGTTCCCTGGCGCCACCCTTCCCAGCTCGAATGTCTCACCCTCAACTGTCAATTTGATCTCCGGAGGCGGCGAAGGAAATCTCAACCTCTGGGCCCTTGATCAAGAAAAGCCGCTAGCTACGTTAACTGGCCACTCGGGGCGTGTATGCCGTACCGAGTTCCACCCTTCGGGTCGATATGCAGCGTCTGCATCCTTCGACAGCTCATGGCGGCTGTGGGATATTGAAACCGCCACGGAACTGCTTCTGCAAGAAGGCCATTCGCGAGAGGTCTATACAGTGGCGTTCAACAACGATGGTTCTCTTGTGGCTAGTGGTGGATTCGACAGCATCGGACGTATCTGGGATCTGCGGACAGGGCGCAACGTGATGATCCTCGACGGCCATATTCGCGAGATCTACGGTATGGACTGGGGTGTGGATGGTCACCGGGTGCTGTCTGGTTCCGGTGATGGCTGGGTCAAATGCTGGGACTTGAGACAAATGAAGGAGACTGGTGGGATTGGTGCGCATAAGAGCGTGGTATCCGATCTGCGCTGGTACAAGGGTGTAGAGTCTGCGTCATTCTTACCTTCTACGGATGGCGGGATGGACATTGATGGCGCTCCACCAGCTGCCGATAAAGCAGCGGAAGCGCCTTCGCCCAAGAAATCAGGCACATTCTTTGTGAGCAGTGGATTTGACAAGAGTGTCAACATTTTTAGCGCGGACGACTGGTCCCTCGTGAAGTCGCTGAGCGGCCACTCGGGCAACGTTCTCAGTACGGATATCAGTGACGATGCAAAGTGGATTGCTAGCTGCGGTCACGATCGTACAGTGAAGCTCTGGGGGATTGAATGATTCAGGTCCATAGGTTGGCTGTTCAACTATCTGTGTTATACCTCCTAATTAGAAATCGTCTACGCCTCAAGAATGGGATGTGAACCGTATTTGAATAAGATCTATCGAATATCCAGATCGATATCCTCGTTGTCTTTCCTGTCCAATATTATATACTTCCTAGTCACGTGTCAAATGCGGGGATGACGTAAAGCGGTATGCCGAGGGCTTTTTGTCAACTTTGGAGTTGTAGCCCTTCCCTTGACCATAAACACACTACATAGTCATGGCTTTCCGTCCACAGAGAATTGCACAGCATCTCTGTCGCACAGCGACCCCACGGCCAATCTCAAGACCAACCCACTCGCTATCAAACACAAGCCAAGATGCATGCATGCTCTGCCGATATCGCCAGCCAGCGCGAGGACTCACAACCCTCCCAACACGCCGATCTCGCATAACCCAGACACCCATGACCCAGCGCCGCTTTGCCTCGGCAGAAACATCTACCTCAGCGGAAGCAGACAAAATAACCCTCGCCGGCGCGCCAGACATTACCAACCACTACACAATCTTTCCGAAGACACTACCAGCAGGCCCACCACCAGGCTCGGCATTCGCAATCTCAACCAGCGATCTCCGCCGCGAATTCCTTCAATTACAAGGTCTCGTCCACCCAGACAAGTACCCCAACGGAGCGGAGAAGCAGCTCGCCGAGGGCCTCTCGGCCCGGATCAACGAAGCGTACCGGACACTCCTAGACCCGCTCCAGCGGGCACAGTATATTCTACGGGAATGGCACGGGATCGATGTGACTGCCGAAGACGCGTCGACTAAGCATGCGCTTGACGCAGAGACCCTGATGGAAGTTATGGAGGTGCAGGAGACTATTGAGGAGGTTGGGGCTTCTGCTGATGCGGAGGCACAAATCAATGCGCTCAAGAAGGAGAATGAGGAGAGGGTTGTTGGATGTGTGGGGAGACTTGAGGAGGCGTTTGAGAAGGGGGACTTGGAGGCTGCGAGGAAGGAGTGTATTCGATTGCGGTTTTGGTATAGTGTTGGTGAAGGGTTGAGGGAGTGGGAGCCTGGGAATACGGAGATTCGGTTAATGCATTCTAGTTGATAGATTGGTTTATTTTTTTTTTTTTGTATATTATTGGATCTTTGGTTTGGATATATTGGGATAGACTACGCTACTCTTTTTACATATGGCATCTGGATAATATTACTCCGTACATGTTGCCAATTATAGTCGTGGATTTGCTGCTATTTTGCGATAGGACAGTGGAATAAGCTTATTTATATGGGAAAAGAGGGGCAAGGAATATATTCAGCCTGTAATAGAAGAGTAGTGAGAGGATTGAAATGCCTATTTTTATAAATGTCTGTGAATATCTGTGAATATGTCGAAATATCTGTGGTAAATGCCATGGCTAATCCAACCTCGGTATAATTAGGTACCTTTTCAGGACATCGTTGTACAACCGTTGACCGCTACATCCCAAATATCCCAAATATCCAAGACAAATCAAAAGAAAAAAAAATAAGTGAAGCTTCAAATCCCAAACGATGGAGCTCTCAGGGACAAACCAACCAGTGAGGCCACAGATTGGGTTCTCTCGAGGCTGGGGATTGGGCACAAACCTGCTGACGCCAACGTCGCCCGACCATTGGACGGTGTAGGATCCAGTTATGACCAGCTGTCCTGTATGGCTACGTTGTATGGTTGTTTTGCGTTGTTTTTTTTTTGTCTCGGTGATAGCGGCATGTCCTTCAAATGGTTCGAAAGGAACGAGTGGGTGGTCATTGGTATTGAAGGGACAAGCCGGAGATGGAGATGGAGAAGTGTAGGGCGAGGATACACCACGACAACATCAAATTTCCTTTGGCCCCATTTCGCATATCTCATAGAGTCATCTGCTCTAGCGTTAGTACAATGGGTCCTGGAAATGATTCATGCCCCCATCACAGCTGCACACGTTGCAGACTACTATCTTTGCCTAAGAACGCTTCCGGCGCCTTGGGAATTGGAGGTCAATTATTTAATGGGACTATCCTGCATGTTAGAACGTAGATTAATTTCATCTCATCCCTTCTGTAGAAGGTTAACCGTCCCTCATGGAGTCTGCTCCCAATTTTAGCAGGTATGGAAAGCGCATCTCATCAGACTATGATATAGACAACTGTTAGCAGACCGCTGATTCGACATCTTCAGTATCATCCTCTCACCGTCATTCACCTTCCTCGTCGGCCCGCAACATACGAAGCTGACAATTCAGTCGGGGCTCGCCCAGCATGTCTCCAAGCCACTTCACAATCTCATGAACGGTCCGACGAGGGAATCAAAACACCGAATCGCCGTTCTAGAAGAAGATGATGTTGAAACCTTCGCCGCTTTCTGCGAGTATGCATACACTGGCGATTATAGTGTCCCTCGTCCCGAACGGGAGGTCCAGGAAGAGCACAGGCATGGAGTAGTGGAGGGCTCGCCGGATACCGCCACCTGGAGAGGGAATTACCGGACTGGTTCGATGTCGTCGACTGTGCCACCCCCGGCTCCGTCACCACCTCCACAGTTTCGCCATCGGGGACAAGGACCGTATCATCAGCCTGCGCCTGAGCCAGAGATGCCAGTGCCTCAGCCCGTATCTGAGCCTGCGCCCGCCGAGGTGAAGGAACCGGTTACTCCAACCTTTGCGCCAGAGCCCGAGGCTCCAATCGATGTGGCAGAGCCAGAGCCGGAGACAGAGACATACCACGAGGCGGAGGCTGCACCAGAGCCATCAGCCGAGGATGCGCCTCCTGCCGACGATGAATGGGCGGTTCCGACCGAGGAACCTGCGACATGGGAGCCAGAAGAACCCAAGGCAAACAAAAAAAAGGGAAAGAAAGGGAAGAAAGGCAAAAAGCAAGCAGAGCTTGTCGAAGAAGAACCTCCCGCTCCAAATGAACCTGTCAGCCTTACGCCGCCATCAACGCCACCTCCAGAAGTTGCTGCCGAGCCCGCGCCGGAGCCAGAAGCAGAGCCCATTGAAGAATGGGCTACAGCAGAAGCTGCACCAGAACCAGAACCAGAACCGACTGAGTACCGGGCAGAGCCAGCTGAAGAGTCAGCATCTGAACCTGCAGCTGCACCCGAAGAGCCCGCGGCTGCTGAAGAACAGCCATCCGCTCCGGAAGGACCGATGGAAGATTCATGGACGCAGGACAGAAGCGAAGGTACCAGCATTACCCAAGCCCAGCGCCAACGACCCATGCTCGACATGTCCTTTGCCAACCAGCAAGCCACCTCACCCTGTGAGCCGGGTCTCGACCTATGGGACGAATTTAAGTCCCTACAATACGACGAGCCAGCAACCTCCAAAGCCACCCCAGTCGAGACGCCAAGCAATGAACTCCCCTACATCACCTTCCACGCAAAAGTCTACGTCTTCGCCACCCGGTACCTAATCCCAGCTCTCGCCCAGCTCTGTCTCCGAAAGCTGCACCGCGATCTGCTCCTGTTGTCATCGACAGAGTTTGAAACCGCCGATCTAGACGACTCCCAAATTCTAGACGGCTTGGCAGCAACCAAGGCACAGATGATACTGGAGCTGGTACACTACGCCTACACCAAGACGGCCCGGCTGGAGCCGATCTCGCCGACGTCCGCGACCCAGCTTCGGGAGAACCAGCTGCGCCGACTGGTGGTGCACTATGCGGCGTGCAACGTGAAGGAATTGGCACGATATCATTCGGCAGAGGATTCGGTCTCGGCGACACCTTCTTTGCGGCCGGTGGATGCCAAGGCCGAGCGGATTGAGACTTCCACTTCGACTTCCCCCAAGAGTCTCCGTGCTTTGTTGGATTTGACGACGGAGCTGGCCTCTGATCTTGTTTACCGCATGATGTGAGTGGATGTTGTGATGTGATTGGGTCTGGGAGGGGGATGTGCCCAGACTTTTGGTGTGTTTCTGGTTTCTGCATCAACTTGATATATGATTTCATGCATTGCTGCCCGGGAGATGTTTCGAAGGACCCGCTGGCGTTCTGTTGCATTCTGCATAATTTGAATTTGTCATTTTCCTTTTTCGAGGTGCATTGCATTATCTTCCTTTTGTTTTGCATGATCTTGGCTTTTTTTCTCTCTTTTCTTTTTGAATGAAGTTGTGATTTTTATATTGTATCCATGTATGTTGTATGTTGTATGTAGGGTTCCGGGTGATCAGTGGGATCCCGTCAACTCCATAGAGTCAGACTTGATAGAGCCAGACTCTACGGAGTATACGTTGTAGACTGAGACTCTATAAAAGACCCTGTGATAAAGTGGGTTTCTGATGACATCGAACATGCGTTTCACGTACAACATACGGAGTATGTCCTCAAACCAGGTTTCTTGGCAAAAATATCCCAAAGATAAGCCAACCGATTCACCAGTAATAATCCCAAGAACCCCTTTGAAAGATGATCGACTGATCGACAAAGATCCATGTCAGAATGGATTCTTGGCGAGAATGGTGTCAATAGTGTGTTGACGGGGGGGCTGTGTGAAGATAAGAGAAGTGAAGTTCAGGGGAAACGCCAAGAAATTCCAAGTACGTCAAAGTTCCAACTCCAGTGAAGTCAACTTTACAACTTCTCTCCCCTTGATCTTCATCTTGCGCGTACTGCATATTTTCCATTGAATTTGTTCGACACCTACGTTGTGCATACGCGCAATGGTGTTACCTGGCATCTCTCGGCGTGCTCATACCCTATTTCCTCTTCACAGCCACTGAGTTAAAGCTTGGCAGCGGTCCGTCAACGATGTGTAGATCATCGTTCTTGGCGTTTGGCGTTCAGGCACGTTGGACGCGCATTGGATTCCCCGTTTAAACTTTTCTACACCTCCTATATACCCTATCGGAAGGGGTCGGCGTGAAACAGAAGGAAATCACACTGTCGGGCCGAATCAACTCGGGTTTGAGATTCATCATCTGAGTAACTTTGTCTCTCATTCAAAAGAATGAGTCTGATGCAACTGACACAATATGAGCATAGATTGTCAATCAGCCTTGTACTCTTTTGGTCAAGGACCAGGTCAGATCCATTGCGGCGCAGGGAAAAGAGCGCTACGCACTAATGGTTTCTACATGTTCTTGGCAGAGTCCCACGTCCCTTGACTTCACAACCTAGGCATCGATGTTTTTTTTTTGTATGGAGTACTCCGTATACTCCGTATATGCATTTAACCTGATGCCCAGATCCGCAGTGGATCTTTGTGTTTCCGGAACCCCTAGAGGAACCATCCGCCACCCCCCTGATGCGTATGTTGTATGGTGATGAATCGCCCGAGCCCAACATCCTGGGCCGATCTATTCTTATAGATTTCTCTTGGTTTGAATTATGGGTCCGATATGTCCATTGAGAACGCTGGTAGGCTCATTTCAAAGGATTCCATTGCCTTGACTACCTTGTATTTAATCCCTTTTCTTGTTTCTGGTCTTTTCACTATCAAACGTCGAGTCTTGGAAATTCTTGGCTGATCATCAGTGAATTATACATTATAGAATTGATATGCCTGGATGTTTTGTTCATCATAGCTATATTATTATATTAACATCGCTCCTTTCGCTCCTTCTCCCAGTTCATTCACTTCACTCATATTCACATTCACATTCACTACAATCATTTCAATTCTTCAAGCTTTGACTTGACTTTGCTTTTCTATTGATTCTATGACCCATTGGTCTATAGCCCTATCTTGAATACATTTTCTCTATACTCCTTTCTTTTACGTTCCAACCTTAGGGCTTCATCTATACTTCATTGCATTCATTGCATCCAATCTATATACCTACGCACACACAATGTCCAATCCAATTCTACTAGGGGCCTACCCTGGTCACAGCCAAGAGCTTCATCCTCCTCCGTCTGCACCACCATCCGCTCACTCCGATGCACCATTCGTCAACTCAGAGAAATGCGAGAAGCACTACCCACTGAGCTTCCGCGAGCGTCTCCGTCATTTCACATGGGCATGGTATACCCTCACCATGAGCGCCGGAGGCCTAGCCCTCCTCATAGCGAACCAGCCGAACAAATTCAAAGGTTGCCGCGAGATCGGTCTAGCCATCTACTTCTTCAACCTCGTCCTCTTTTCACTCGTCTGCTCTCTCATGGCATCGCGATTCATCATCCACGGCGGAGCCCTCAACTCCCTCCGCCATGAACGCGAAGGCCTCTTCTTCCCAACCTTCTGGCTCTCCATCGCAACAATGATCACCGGACTAGAAAAGTACTTCGGTGACAACCCTGCCCCACCCTTCACAACAACCCTCGAGGTCCTCTTCTGGCTATACTGCTTCTGCACCTTCACTCTCGCCGTCGTACAATACTCCTTCGTCTTCACCTCGCACACCTACCGCCTCCAAACAATGATGCCCTCGTGGATCCTACCCGCGTTCCCAATCATGCTCAGCGGCACGATCGCATCCGTCATCTCCTCCCGCCAGCCCGAGCGCGCAGCAATCCCAATCGTCACCGCCGGAATGACCTTCCAGGGTCTGGGCTTCTGCATCTCGTTCATGATGTACTCGCACTACATTGGACGGTTGATGGAGAGTGGACTTCCGTGTCGGGAACACAGACCGGCGATGTTCATCTGCGTTGGACCTCCAGCGTTCACGGCGCTTGCTCTGGTTGGTATGGCGCAGGGACTTCCCGAGACGTTCCGCGTGATGGGGAGCGAGGATACTGCTGCTGATGGACGGATGTTGGAGATTCTGGCGTTGGCGGCGGGCGCGTTCTTGTGGGCGCTGAGCTTTTGGTTCTTCTGTGTTGCTGCTATTGCGGTTATTCGGTCGCCGCCGACGAGTTTCCATCTTAGCTGGTGGGCGATGGTTTTCCCTAATACGGGATTCACAATTGCTACGATCACGCTTGGAAATGCCTTTGATAGCTCGGCGATTAGGGGTGTTGGCTCTGCGATGACGATCTGCATTGTCTGCATGTTCATCTTTGTCTTTGTCAATCATGGGCTTGCGGTCTATCGTCAGGATATTATGTATCCTGGTAAGGATGAGGATACCTCAGACTGAGATGCTCTTCCGACCGAGGAATTCCTGTCTCTCGTGCTCTTTGTAGTTTCTTTCTTGTGACTTTTGGCACTTGCTCGCCTTCTTGCATAATCTTTCTTTGCATACTTCGGTCTTCTTTCATTGCACACATTTCTGTCATCTCATTGTTGTCTTTTCTTCATTCTGATTTTGATCATCATGTTGATTCTTTTTTTTTGCTCTTTCTCAAAAGCGTTCAAGCACTCTGTTTTCTGTTTTTTGGTCCTGTGGGAACTCTTGTGCATCTCCGGCGTCTCATGTCATTGTCCGATCTTTCAACCCCTTAGCGTCTACTACATGTGAATAGAATTAGAACGAGAACAAATCATTTCATTGCAATCATTTCATAACTACCTAGTAATTCAAAACAAAAAACAAAAACAAAAAAAAGACCAATCCCTTGTGGACAAGTACGGAATCCAAGAACCAACCAAAACAAACAAGTCACGCGACCGCAAAGCCCTACCTGGAAGTCATACAACACTGCAGAAAAGAAAAAAGTACCAAAGGGCAACCAGAAAGAACAACATTCAAAAGGCTCGTCTTGGCTTCATCCCGAAGGATTACTAGACCCCAGCACCACGATGAGGTGCGAGCCAACGCTGGGGAAATGGCAGAGTAAATGGCAGAATAAATGGTAGAATAAATGGCAAGGTAAATGGCAGAAGACGTTGCAAAGAATAAATGAAGACGAAGTCCCTCTCTTCACTTCCCAGCCGGCACCAGGTTGCCCCGGGACCGGTGAGCAGAAGGCGGGGGATAAATGGCAAACAAACAAGAAACCCGAAAGATCAAATAAATGGCAGGGGCTCGTCTTGGCTTCACCCTCCGGGCTACTGGACCCCAGCACAACGGTGATGTGCGAGCCGGCGCTGGAGGGAAGTGGGAGAGGGGGCGTAAACAAAGAACAGTGACAAGGAAGGGGGGAAGAAAAAAAGATGGTGATGGTGATGGTGATGGTGATGGTGATGGTGATGGTGATGGTGATGGATGGATGGAAGTGGAAGATAGAGAATGATGAAGATGAAGGATGAAGAGGGGAGATGGGGAGATGAAGAAGAGAAGAGGAAAAGAGGGGGAGGGGGGTATTTATCACCAACAGAGTTGATGGCCTCAGGATAAACATTACCTGATCACCCGGGCAATACAATATGTCACCATTATGTCAATATGTGTATGTAGAGAAGTAGAAGAGAAGACAATGATATTGAATCCTATGTAAGAGATTGTCACCTTGCTCTAGCAAGTTTTGTATGGGTATCATGATGACAGGAAAAAGCAGTCTTTTGCCGCACATGGCTTCGTCACGGTGGGGCGACAAGTCGAGTTCATGCTCGACGGTCAAGCCTTGATCGAAACGAGCTTCTTGGAGCCCACTGGCGTGCACTGGACAGACGGCCAGAAGCCCGCGACGCCGACGGCATCTGATGGACTACCACGTGGCCCCGTCTGTTGGGAAGGAGTGAACTACTGAGGCGAGACTTCCGGATTGTTTGGCAAAGACGGCCCTCAGAGTGGTGGTAGACTTGGGATGAAGTGCGAAAGCCGTCCACAGCAGCTTAAGCAACCTTTCTGCCGACGTTACCGATCCCACGGCCGACAATGCTGACAATCACATCCCCATCTCCATTGTCAGGGGCGTCACGGATACCCCAGCCGGGGGCACCGAACTTGGACAGATCACGAGCGAGCTGGACGACGTTGGGATCAGCAATCACATCGCGGCCAACCTGCAGCCGCCCAACATCCTCCGAACCCATGGTCATGAGAGTGAACATGGTCGTCGCAGCCGCAGGAGCCACACAACCTCCCTTGGCAACCGTCTCTAGAAGCTGGAATGCACACTGCTTTCCAACTTCCTCGGGGGCTTGACCACCCTGTGGGGGAGAGGCCACATCAGCTGAGAAGAGGCAGCCTGTGGAAGACTCCGCCACCAAAGACAAACCAAATCCAAGGCCGATCTTCTTCTTCGCCTGGGGGTTGGTCTTATCCGGAGCTGGTACCAGAGGCGCAGACGCAACGTCGGAGAAGATATAGGTATCAGGGCTGAGTGGGTTGAGGATACCACGGGCAGTCTCTATCATACGAGCGTTGTTCGAGCCAGACACTCCAACCGAGTATACAACACCACGGACGCGCTTGATGCGGCCGGCGTTCATCAAGTGCAGAGTCTTCGGCAGACGGACCTGGTGGCCAAACACGAGCTGCACTTCACCACCACCACCCCTACCAGTGGGACCAGTGTTTGACCGCCTCAAGATACGGAGCTCGATGTTATTGAAGATACCGAATTGTTTGTACAGAGGGAGGATCGCAGTGCGAACGCTGTCGACGGACATATCTCCGGTCTGGGTCGACGAGGTGATCACACCGGGTCCTGTGAAGAGCACCTTCATGGGTGCTTTGGCGAATGGTGCAAGCAGACAGAGGGGGATCAGGAAGTAACTGAGACCGCGGTTACAGTTAGACGGAATCTCGTAGGTGATCATGCCGCCGCTGGCTCCAGTACCGGCCGTGCTGCCAGTGATCAAACCTGGCTTGTAGACAAGCACAGTACCGGTGTATGAGATCTCCATTTGAGATCCATTGGTAATTGCATCTAGGAGACGGAGGAAAGAAATTTCATGAGGCGCAAGACCTGGATTCGTAGGCGACGAGGAACGAATTTGCGAAATGTGGACTGTGCGGCCGGTGAGGGTGGACAAGACCAGGCGATATACCAGATTGTGATGGGATGTAAACCGAAGGGGGGGTTGAGAGGTTGCCATTTTGTGTGGTTGGTCAAGACTCTCGCCGTTAAACACTGTAGTCCGGCTGTTGGATTCGAGATATGAAAAAGAAAAATTGACGGAGGGAAGTTGATCCGGACCGATGATTAAGTCCGGGGTGGAGCTGATATCTCCGGGGGATCAGATCGTCGGTTTTGATTTCTAAGGGTTCCGACCTCATGCGACATTTGCAAAAAAGAAAACTTACAAAGTAGACTCTGACAAGATCAAATGTTGATATATTCACAATGCTTCCTCCAGCACTAAACATCCCCAAATGGTAAGCCCAGAACCTCATATATATCTTTCCTACAATACCTCACCCCACCATATTGATACCATGATTCATCACGCGACCCATAAGCAAGCCATCCCCAAACCCACCAGCTAACAATATCTATCCAGGCTTGAAGAAAACTCCCATCTCCTTCAACCACCAGTTAACAACTACTGTGTCTACCACCCCTCAACACCAGCCACAGCCGGTTACACAGTGATGATAGTGGGCGGGCCCAATGCCCGAACCGACTTCCACATCAACACAACCCCAGAGTTCTTCTACCAATACCGGGGATCAATGCTCCTCAAAACAGTCGACAACTCAACCACACCTCCTAGTTTCCAAGATATCCCCATCCATGAAGGATCGATCTTCCTGCTGCCCGCGAACACCCCACACTCCCCCGTGCGCTTCAAGGACACTGTCGGTGTTGTGATGGAGCAGCCGCGGGCTAAGGATGCAGTCGATGTTATGAGGTGGTATTGCAAGAGCTGCAAGGAGATTGTCTGGGAGAAGAAGTTTGTGTGTGTTGACTTGGGAACGCAGGTCAAGGCTGTGGTTGAGGAGTTTGCGGCCGACGAGGAAAAGCAGAAGTGTAAGGCCTGTGGAGAGATTGCAGCGTTGAAGTATCAGGAGGGGGAAATTGTGCAGCCGCCGACTTATCCCGAGTAGTGCATTGATCAGGTCCATTGGAGGGCGAGGTTGGTGAGGCCGTAACTGTAATACCTTTTCGGTCATGAATGGTTATGAGCGACGAATCTAACATTCTTTGAGATGTGAATAAAATAGAAAAAGAACCAGGATAAAATAAGATGGATACGTGCTTCGACATATCAAAGGGCAATCCAACTCGACGTTAACCCGAGATACAACGGAACATGGAAAGTTGTTTTATACATTAACGAGCGACATCTTATTATGACCAAGGTTATGGTATTTATTACAAGCACACAGCCCCCACCGTGTTGCAAATCCTCTGCTTTCCTCCAGCCTCCGACAAAAAACACCATTTATTAACCGGGGTAACCGACCCAACAATCATGTACTAGAAAAAACACCCCATAGATGCATGCAGCAAAGAGCTGCTATCTTGTGTGGTACACCGAACTCATGCCCCTGCATATCCAGAACATTATTCATCAAGCGGGCAGTCGATGCTCTCATGACCGTCTCGCTCACAGAGAGCACACCACTTGGACTCATCGATGACTCCTGATGATTTACCGGCAATGGGAGCCATGGATGAGCCCATGGATGAGCCTAGCCCGCTAATGCCCTTCAGTCCTTCCATGACCACATCCCGTCCTGTTTTCAGGGCGGGGGGAGTATCGGAATGGATGGATGAGGCTTTGGTCTGGAGGGGTTCGGTCTTCTCAACTGGGTGCTCATCGGTAAGTTCATCGGCAGCATCATGTTTGGTATTCTTCTGTTCAGCGGTGTTCTGGCCAGAGCCGAACATGCTGGTGCAGTTTAGGATGTCGTGGCCGCCTGTTTCGCAGATTTCGCACCACATGGTATCCTCGTCGGAAGAACGTTCGGATTCATGCATGGTTTCCAGCCGCGATTGCGAAGAGTTGGAGATACCGCGGTGATGGCGGGGTTCGGAAGGAGCATCGTGCCAGTCAGTCGGGACCACTGTGCGGTCAGAAAGACGGTTGGGGTTGGGGTTGTTTGAGTGATTGGAGACATTGCCCGCAGAGTGCGATGGCCTGTGTTGCTTTGGTGAAAGAGTGATAGTAGAGCTGCGGCGACGGCCACCAGACTGCAGGTGCATTTCTTGAAGCTGACGCTCGAGCTCTTCGATCCGATTGTCTTTGCGGTTTGTAGTTTCTTCCACCTCTTGCAGTCGAATTTCCAGCTGAGTGACGTGCTCCGGGTTATGATCATGATCTGCGGAGCCGTTCTGTCCCAAGCCTGTCGCGCTGGGGTTTCCGCGGCTTAAAGAATGAATAATGGCCTTGAGTCCTCGGATTTCATCATCCTTCTGGTCCACTTCACTACTGCTTCGGGGTCCGTCGGCGGCGGCGTGTGCATCCTTCAGTGCAGCGACGGAGTGATCACGCTCCTTCTTCAGCTCTAGCTTGGTGCGCTCAACTTCACCGCGGAGGAACTCGACTTCGGCCCTAGCCTCAGCCTCTCCACGTCGGGCGTCCTCTAGGCCTTCCTCTAGCTCCGAGACCAGCTCTTCCAACTGCTTGAGCTGCTGCGCAACAACCTCAACATCTTCGCCACGGTCCTGCAGTTCCTTATTCTGCTGCATGATCTCGTCGAGACGTTGTTCGTAGACGCGTTCTGTTTCGGAGGCTGCGATCTCCAATGTGTCGAGAGTGCTTCTAAAGTCTGCGCGGTGGACGTCGAATTCGGCCGTTAATTGGGTAATCCGCTCGTTGCGTTCGCGTAGCTGTGTACGCATCGACTGACCCTCCGATCCCTCCATCTCCTCCAAGGTCTTCTGGAACTCGTTCAAAGTCCCAGACTGCTCATCTAGCTGCTTATCTCGGTCCAGAAGCTGCTTCTCTAGACTCTTGATCTGATCTCTCAAGTCTTGAGTCTCCGACGAGAGCGGTCGGCGGAAGTCCGATGGGCGTCCATATGACGAAGCATCATCATCCACACTAAGTCGCGACGAGGGTCGATCAGACAGCCGAGATGGTGCCTTGACAGGGCTACGCATGGCGCTGCTCAACCCGCTGGTCCTGGATGCTGCCGATGGCGTACGCAAGCCGGCCAGACTTAGTTTCGGAGGGGGAGGCACGCGCGGGGATTCGGGTCGAGGGAGAGAGGGTCGTCGGACTCGAGGGCGGGGGGTAGCAAGAGCTGCACCGACAGATTTGCTAAAGTTGACGGGACCCCCACGTCCAGGAGTGGTGGAAGTAGAGATATTCGAGGATCGCCTTGTGACATATTTGCTGTTGTTCATGGGAACGAATATGCCAGAACCCGGGATCGAGGTTACAAAGTACTTCCGGCCGTCGACATCGCCATTGTTTTTGCCTCTTTGCGCGTGTTCGGAGCTCAGTTCAACTCCTGCGAATCGTCCTGCCTTCCCCGCTACCGGTCCCAAGTATTTGATCGTCCCATGCATGCCACCGGGAACATTCACCACGTCGCCGACGTGTACATCATCGGGGTGCGCCATTGGGAGCGATATAGGCGATATGAATATGAGGATAGAAAAAGGTGGGATGCAGCTTTTAAATGAGAGGTCTGGGCGAATATCAATAGCCCCTGGAAGGGTACAGAAGTCAAGGGTGTAGAGGGAGCGTTAGGAGAATGCAAGGATATTAAGTTGACGGCCTAACTCCCACCATGGTGATTGGGAAGGGAAAAAAAGAGAGAGACGAATGAAAAAGACAGAGCTAACTAGTTCTAGTTGAACTAGTTAGAATATGAGAAAAGAGAGTGATCGAGAAATCCAAGAACGATATAACAAGAGAAAGGGGGGAAGACAACAAATAATAGGACTCCACTCCACGTAATGCCAACCATTGACATCTTCAACTTCCACCATCTCCTCTGCATATACAACAATCCTTACCTATCTGCATCTCCAAGACACACATCCTCTACGACGATCTTGTCTATTCCGTACTAAATCTTGCGCATCTACCACCTACCGTGCCGGACGTCACCGGGCCCCCCCAACACCTCTCCTGCCATCGCATTATACACCATGGCGCAATACTTCTTCGACCTCCTGTATACCTTCACGGATTGCATGTGTTGCTTTCCTAGCTCCCCACAGTTAAAGATCAACAACCGGAGTTTCAAGCTCCTACGTTTGTTGGGCGAGGTATGGATACCCGATAACGATAGCTGCAAGCTGGTCTGAACTGACAACGTAACAGGGTGGATTTTCCTACGTCTACCTAGTCCAAGATAAGGCGAGCTCCGAATTATTCGCGCTGAAGAAGATCCGCTGTCCATTTGGCCAGGAATCCGTATCGCAAGCCCTGAAAGAAGTTGAAGCCTACAACATCTTCAACTCCCAACCCAACATCATCCACTCGATCGACCACTGCGTATCCACAGAATCCGGCTCAAAATTCAGATCCGATGGCGGAGATCCAGGCTCAAAGACGGTCTATATTCTACTCCCATACTACCAGCGCGGTAATCTTCAGGATGCCATCAATGCCAACCTGGTCAACCACACTAAGTTCCCAGAGAAGCGGCTTATGGTCCTGATACTTGGTGTTGCCGATGCGCTTCGCTCGATGCATCAGTATCGGGTGAAGAACGGATCGGCGTCTACGCGAAAGGCAAAGGGTGTTCGGAGAGAAGGCGAGGAGGCAGACGAGGAACGGACCATGCAGATGAAGCCGAAACGGAGGGCTAGCCAACGCATAGCGGAGGATGAAGAGGATGAGGAGAATGCGCCCCTGATGGATGACGAGGTCACCCGGAGTCAGGAAGGTGTCGAGGATGGAGACCTGCGCCCTTATGCGCACCGAGATGTTAAGCCTGGTAAGTTGACCTTTTGGCTGGTGCGGAAATTCCGAATCGACTCGATGAGCTAACTGTTTTATAGGAAACATCATGATCGACGACAACGGCCAATCACCCATCCTGATGGATCTGGGCTCTTTGGCGCCCAGCCCCATCGCCATTACGTCGCGCTCCCTCGCCTTAGCAGTGCAGGATACCGCAGCAGAACACAGCACGATGCCATATCGTGCACCGGAGCTCTTCGATGTCAAGACAGGGTCGATCATTGATACCAAGGTTGATATCTGGTCGCTAGGCTGCACACTCTACGCCTGTCTTGTGGGTAAGAGTCCCTTCGAGGCACGCAGTGAAGAGACCGGTGGTAGCTTGAGCATGTGCGTTCTCGGTGGTGACTGGCGATTCCCTGATGAGAAGTCTGGTGCTTCTAAGGGTAAATCCAAGTCGGGTGAAAGCGAGGATGCATCCAAAAATGATACCCCTGCGATCAGTGCACCTGTCAAGGATATTGTTCGGAGGTGTCTCACCGTTGAACCCTCGGAACGGCCCGACATTGATGAGCTGATCGAGCTCATGAAGGGTGTTATTGACCAGATGCCTGAAGATGATGTGGCGGGTCCATCTCATTAAGATCTACGAGATCTTAGTGGATCTTGCATGTTTCCTATTATTGTTTGCGTTCTTTCCCCTTGACCGGCAGGCTCCGTATGCGTGCGATTTCTTTAGCTGTACATTATGAATGCGAATCTGAATTTCCTGATATCAGGGCTGATCACCGTCTACTTTTGCTCTTTGAAGTTACCCAACAGGTCTATATGTTGCAACCTATAATATAATTCTACTCTGTCGATACTTGTCAATCTCTATTACTCGCTCCAGTCGTTGCTTTTCCATGGGTGAGGTCCAGTATCCGAAATGGCTTCATGATGACGAAATGGCCAAACTTGGCCACAATTCAAACGAAGCAGATCTCTCTCAACCCATCAACCCAAACCAAACAGAATCCAGCACAATGAGCAATACCTTCGATGATCAGACACAGGGGGCGGAGGTGACGAAGATGTTCCCAGAGCGGGTGAAGCAAAAAACATGTACCGCCACAACCCCAACAAACCCGGTCTATAAATCATATAGACTAACCAATTCTCCTACCACAGTCCTCATAGCCGGTCTCAAACGAGGCGATCTCGCAGCAACAACCGCAGACGCCCTCGCCCACGGTGGCGCCAAAACCATAATATACACGGGCCGCTCACAGTCCGAACTACAGCCTGTGATCGACCACATCAACCGGAAATACAAAACGGTCGAAATGATCTTTGTGACGGCGGACCCGGGCAGTCTGGGTTCGTTCCGCGAGGCAGCGCATAATATCAAGAAGCTAGGGGTGTCGATTGATGGCTTCATTGGGTTTCCCGATGTCATGGCTGTACCATGGGAGCTCACGGAGGATGGGCTCGAGTCTCATTTCCAGAAGAATTACCTGTGTTATTTCTTGCTGCTGAATCTGCTGTGTGATGTGATGGGGCCTCGGTCGAGGGTTGTCTTGGTTACGTCTAGTTTGCGAAAGGAGGCGCCTGCGCCTTCGTGGAAGGATTTGGAGTTTGAGGTGAGTTTGGTTCTTTTGTTTTTTTTTTGTGGAGGTTTTATGTGATATGCTTGTCGGTTGGTAGATGCTGATTTGGATAGAATGGAGAAAATTACCACAGTCTCGATGGATATTCGCAGTCGATGCTTGCGATTATCTTGTTTATCAAGTCGATTGCGAAGAAGTATAGGGCAACTATTGCTGCCTTTTCTGCAAATCCTGGAAGTGAGTCAATCGGTGAATGTGAATGTGAATGTGAATGCATGTGTTCGTCATTCTCATTGGATCCACAGATACCAAAACCAATGTCCAAACATACGTTGCATGGGATGAGATCAAATCCTGGCTGCAGCGGAAGAAAGATGGTATGTTCCGCAGATAGCGATGAAGACAAGTTGATTTGACCGAATTTCCTGCAGCGGGTGAAGACATCCCGGTCCTGTTACAGCAAGCACCGAAATCTCTTGCACAGGGAAGTGCCACGGTGTTGCGTGGATTGCTCGATCCGGAGCTCGAAGGTAAGATAATACGATAAGCAGGTGTATACATGTATGCATGTACTGATTGGATGTGAGGTATCAGTCCAATCTGGAGCCTTTCTGGATCATTGTCAGATACCTCAGTTACCACATCTTGACTTTCCAGCCGGGGAAGAAAGTGCAGAGGCGTTATGGAAACGAAGTCTAGAATTAGTTGATCTGTTTCTTTCCTGAAAAAGGGAGGGGAATGAGTTCGAAATAGGAAAGGAATCTAATTTGGGGGTTATCAAAGAGTTTACTAGCCTTGTCAGTCTCAGTCTCACCAGTCCTGTTAGTCTGATAAGTACAACATATCGGACTAAACACCGATGTTCTCCATTTATTCTCCGCATTGAGTTGGAGATATCATTGAAGTGATGATTGGTTAGAAAAAAGAAGACAATCTAAGATCATACAAGCCCAGGTTAAACAAGAGATATAGAGATATAAAACATACAACCTCGCCAAGACCAAGTATGCGGGGGAAAATAATAGTCCAAGTTCTTATCTTCATCTTCCATGTTGCATGTTGAATGTCGATCTTCCTATTTAAGACATCAACTCCTTATCTTCATCCCTGTCCCCTCCTCATTGAACATTTTATTTGATTTTCCTCTTTCTTCCTGAGGAACTCTCTACTTGCTTGACCTTACTTTTTTTTTCGAGTTAATCACATACACATATCCGCATCGGAAAGTATAGCGCTTCTGCTTCACTATGGCGCTTGTCATCGACAGCTCAGTCGTCCCTGGTACCGTGACTCTGGTGGACGTGGATCATGTCTTGGAGACCCGGCACTTGGATCGTGGAGACCATGACATTGTGTTGATCCCTACCCCGTCAAATGACCCAGATGACCCCCTCAATTGGAGCCCGAGACGGAAGCTTATGTCAACTGCCTGCGTGAGCGTGTGAGTGCAGGCTACGACAACCTGACCTGGGGATCAGTGTTGATGTTTCATGTTTCTAGCTACACCTTGTTCGCAGGAATTGCCTGCTCCGTCGTTTACTCAGTGATTAAACCACTTCACGAACAAACGGGATTGCCTATTAGTACCCTGAACGAGGGAAGCGGGTACATGTTCTTGTTGGCTGGTTGGGGCTTGCTGTTTTGGCAGCCTTTCGCTATGCAATATGGCAAGCGGCCGACATATATCTTATCCTTGATCGGAATCTTGGTACTTCTTCCTCAATCTGCTAGATATCATTTGAGAATTATAACTAACAAACTCAGGGTATGACGATGTGGGGGTAAGTGAAGTATATCATGTCTGCAATGAGACAGGATTAACACAAATCAGACCATACGCAAGCACCAAGGGTCAATGGCTCGCACGAAACATCATCTTAGGTTTCTTCACAGCACCCGTAGAAGCGCTTCCTCAGATCTCTGTCACGGACGTGGTAAGTAAAACCTACCTCAGGAAAGAACCCAACGCTTACGCAGCGGCAGTACTTCACTCATGAGCGAGGAACATACATGGGTCTCTATGCATTCTTCCTGGCAGGTAGTAACTACTTCGCGCCGGTCATCTGCGGCTTTATCGCTCAGTACCAGGGCTGGCGGTGGGTATTCTACTACCCGAGCATCTTTGTCGGCTGTGCAATTATCTTCCTCTTCTTTTTCTGCGAGGAAACAAACTACATTCGAGCGCTCCCCGACGAGCCTAGCACTGTCATACCCGCAGAATCTCCAAAACTCAGCTCGGAAGACGAAAAGGAGAAATATGCAGCTGCTGATATGGAAGCTGCCACTGGGGTCAGTATAAGATCGGGCCATACCAAGAAGTCGTATGTCAAGAAATTGGCGCTCTGGGGACCGAGCCAAGAGCAGAACACCTTGTTCCGACGATTATGGCAGTGCCTTTACTTCCTCTCGTGGCCTGTTATCTTCTATGCTGGGTATGGATACATTGTTTTGGTATTTGATGTAAATTTTGACTAACAAGCGCACAGCTTCTCTTACGGATCCTACCTGGTATACTTCAATATCTTGAATGGAACAGCCTCTATCATTCTTGGCGGAGAGCCATATAACTTTGGGTCGGTCTCATTGTTCCATTCACCCGATGAACGAAGCAAGCTAACCCGTCCCAGATCTTCCATGGTCGGTCTTAGTTATCTAGGGCCCATCGTCGGTGTAATCCTGGGGTAAGGTCTCCAGCTTGGCCCGATACTGCAACTAAAGCTGACAGAAATAGATCCCTCTTCACTGGCAGATTCAGCGATTGGCTCACTATCAAACTCGCCCGCCGGAACAACGGCGTTATGGAGGCAGAGCACCGTCTCTGGCCCTTCCTCGCTTGTTTTGTACTTGTGCCTTGTTCCCTTATTCTTTGGGGTGTTGGTGCTGCTTATGAGGTCCACTGGTTTGGCCTGGTTGTTGGAATGTGCATGCTGGCCTTCACTAGTACCTGTGGGATCACGCTTAGTGTCAATTACTTTATTGACAGCTACCGAGAGCTGAGTGGCATTGCCATGGCTAGTGTGATTCTGGTTCGTAATACCATGTCTTTTGCAATTGGCTATGGGTAGGTTTTTTTTCCTCTTCGAGTTCTAGCGGAAGACATACACTAACTTCAATTAGTATCACTCCTTGGATCGAAAATATGGGATATCAGAACTGCTTTATCTCTGCTGCCTTCATTGGCATGGCATGCGCTTCAGTCTTCCTCTTTATGATCAAGTTTGGAAAGACCTTCCGCGAACGTTCTCGCGAGAAGTACTGGAAGCTTGTCCAAGAGAACTGGGAGAAGGGCATGGGCAATTAGAGTAGATGTACAGTTACAACCTACTTGCACAGTTCGATAAACCAATGATTCACGACAAGTCAAATACAATCTATTGCACCGGATTCTGTTCCTCAGCAAGATGAATAGCCCCTTCATCATCATAAACAATCTCCCTAACCTTCACCGACCTCAAATGATCGACCCCCTCCGAAAGCTCACAGTCATGATAGAACAAATACCACTTCCCCTGGAATTCAACAATCGAATGATGCGTCGTCCACCCAAGCACCGGATCCAAAATACGTCCTCGATATGTGAAAGGACCCCAAGGCGAAGACCCCGTGGCATAAGCCAAGAAATGCGTATCACCCGTCGAATAAGAGAAATAATATGTCCCCTGATACCGATGCACCCAAGCAGCCTCAAAGAACCTCCTCTCATGATCATCCGCCAACAAAGGCTCCCCAGTCTCCGGCGCAAGAATAACAACCTCCTTAACCGACGAAGCAAGCGAAAGCATATCATCCTTCAACAGCGCAACACGCGGACAAAGTGCCCGAACACCCTCCCCAGCGGGTTCATGGGGTCCGGACAAACTCTCATCGAAAACAAGTCTCTTCTTCTGTCCATCGATACCACCCTCATCACCATCAACCCATTCCCCTTTCCCTTCCCCTTCCCCTTCCTCATCCTTGGACTCAACCCAGCACTGCAACTGTCCACCCCAGATCCCACCAACGTAGAGATACGCCTCCCCGCCCGCTTCTTCATCAACAAAGACAGCGGGATCGATACTGTACGAACCCTGGATATAATCATCCTGCGGGACGAAAGGACCTTCCGGTGCTTCGGAGACTGCTACACCGATACGGAAGATACCCTTCTTATCGCGGGCGGGGAAGAAGAGGTAGAATTTATTGTTTTTTGTTGCGGCATCGGGCGCCCAAAGTTGTTTTGAGACCCAGGGAATATCTTTGTCGCGGAGGACGACGCCATGATCAGTTACGGGGCTGGTGATTGTGTCCATGGAGAGGACGTGGTAGTCAGCCATGTCGTATTGGTCGCCATTGTCGTTGAAGGTTATTGTTGTTTCGCGGTCGTGACTGGGGTAGATGTAGAGTTTGTTGTTGAAGACATGGGCGGAGGGATCTGCTGTGTAGATATGGGAGACGAGTGGTTTAGACATTTTGGTTGGTGTTGGTGATGGTTATAGATAGGGCTGAGGGTGTAGATGGTAGATGGATGTAAGAATTGAGGTATTTAGGGGAATGAAGGATATTAATATTCTATTCTGTATAATTCTACTATTCTACCATGTTGCTATTAGTCTATTACCCCCATATAACCCCATTATCCCCCCTCATTATCCCCTAATTAGCCTATGTCTTGTCTCTACAACTCTTTTACCCGACGGCTAAATCAACACGGCGCATAGTCCGACTTAAAAAGGAAATTCCCGGGGAAAATGATAGTATTATAGCCTGGATGTTTCAGCTTGGATATTCTATATTCTATATTCTATATTCTATATTCTATATTCTATATTCTATATTCTTTCTTCCATATAATAAAATCAAAATTACTTCAAGTTCCACCGATGTGACTCCTCAGCATACGCCCTCTGTAATGCTTGCTGCCACTCCAACTCCATTTGGCGTAATACCTCAGCTTCAGCTTCACTCATATTCTCCCCATTCTCATCCTCACTCTCATTTCCATGCTCAGAACTGTCCATATCCATATCCATATCCACATCCACATCCACATCCTCCTCGCACCCCCTCAATCCAAAAAACCTCCCCAACCTCTTTATCCTCGTAGGGAGATCAATAGTCTTCTCCTCTGCTGTGCCAATCCACGGGGTAATATAAACAGGGTAATTAAACGTAGCGGGAACAGGCGGGTAGATCTGATGGAAATGACGGGCAAGGTTATCGGCTTGCTCCGAGGTCAGAAGGTTGTAAGCCAGCATGTTTGGTGGGAAGTCCGGATGTTCGAGGCCTGTTTCGCAGTTGACAAGGGGATAGAGGTGCGAGGAGAGATGGCGTAGTAGGGGTAGGAAATGGGGGTGGAAGTTGGGGCTTTCTCGCAAGGGGACCTTGGGATATTCAATTGGGAAAGGGGATTCGGTGAAGTCTAGTGGTGTTAGGCTTGGGGAGGAGAAGTTCATTGGGCTTAGAGAGTCTGCTAGGGTTGTGGTTGAGGAGGCGGTGGAAACCGAGAGGGTTCGTTCGGAGAGCCAGCTGATGCTTTGAGGGGACTTGGGGGTTGGAGGATCATTTTCCATATTGATGGTGTGTGGTAGTATAGGTTGTGGTACTTGTGTTGATATGAGTAGAGTACACTATGCAATGTATGAACTATCATGCAGGATCGAGGAAATCAAGGACACTTATATATATACGAAATGTAGGTGATGGTCGAAACCCTCAAAGAATCATCGACAATGAGATGAAACGTCCCGAAACAGCCTCATTATAGCACAAAGACATCGTTCGAAACCCTCCAATCAAGGTGAGTTTCAACTATAACCCCCTTCTTGTCCCTTTGTTTCTAAGAAAAGAACAATAACCATGTTCATAAATATCCATCATATACGTTTCATATCCAAGCTTGGTCTTCTCCCATTGGCCCAAATAGCCAACGCAAAGAGACGATTGTTATCACAGCGACAGACTGGCCACCCCGCGTGACAGATCGGGTTCCTCTGACACAGACGAAAGACCCACGTACTTGTTAATCCAGTTCAAAACAGTCTGGTGCCACATGAGCGAGTTTTCAGGGTTCAGAACCCAGTGATTCTCGTCAGGGAACGTCAAGAACGCACTATCGATACCACGCATCTGGAGTACATTGAACGCAGCCAGACCCTCAGCGATGGTCAGACGGTAATCCAACTCGTTGTGGATAATCAGATGAGGCGTGTCCCAGTGTTCCGTGAACCGCGACGGATCCCACTTCGCCCAGTTCTCCGGCACCTTCCAGATCGGTCCCTTCAGGTCGTGTAGAGGGAAGTATTGCTCTTCACTAGCCATCTGGGATGTCATGCTAAACACTCCATCATGGGTAACCAACGCCTTGAACTTGCGCCCGAGCGGATGGCCCTGCATCCAGTTCATCATGTAGCCGCCATACGAGGCGCCCAATGCGACCGCGCGCGTGGTGTCGACGTAATCTAGGTGCTCCTCGATATATTCGAATCCCTTGACCAGGTCCTCGTAGGGCCGACCGCCCCATTGTCCCTGGATTCCGTCGGTGAAGGGCTGGCCGTAGCCAGTACTGCCTGTTGGGTTGGGGGTGATCACGACGTAACCCTGTTCGGCGAAAACAGCCGGGTTCCAGCGTGTGCTCCACTGATCGTTCCACGCGCCCTGGGGTCCACCGTGGATCAAATACGCAAGCGGGTATTTGCTCCCAGGCTTAAAGTCGGACGGCTTCACGACCCATGCGTGGACAGGGTGGTCTTCGGCTCCCTTGAACCAAATCTCATCGACCTGGGACGAGGACAAGCCAAATGCACTGCCGCCCCTTCCGTTTGAGGATACCATTTGGACATCATCTGGATGGGCTGGGTCGATGATGGTCCACAGGCTGTTGTCGACTAGGCTGCTGCTAGACACGAACAGCTTGGGGGATTTGGCAGCTGCGGGAACGGCGTCATTCACGTACCCTGACCTCGTCAGTCTTTTGAGAGAGTCGGGCTTGATCGTATGCACGTTCTCCAACGGCAGCTGGTACAGAACTCCGCGGCCGGCCTCCTCGACATGAAGGAACAGCGACTTGTCATCATGAGCAAACGACACGGACGAGGGACTGAGATCCCAGTGTCCTTCTCCATCGTCCGACTGGAAAATTTCGATCATCTCTCCATTCCACGGGTTGGGAACATAGAGGATACGGTTCTTATCAGATTCATAGCCATCCTCGCGCATCGCCAGAACGGCAATAGAGCTACCGTCCGAGCTAAGCACAGGAGACGACATCGCGCCCTGGAGACCGGCAACCTTGCAGATTTTCGGTTCAGGCTCACTCACGCTCATGCTAGTCCATGAGAACATAGGAGAATAGTAGCACGAGCAAGATGTATGAGTCGCGGGATTTAGGTTAGGATCTTTGGCAATAAAGACAATAGCCGACGGACTAATATCAAAGTCCCCAGTTCCACCAAAAGGCGGAATCGGCGACTCAACGCCCGCCAGTCCCGAGACTGCGATCAAGTTGGTGAGGCCCGAGATGGAGTATTTCCCAGCCCGTCGACGGGCCGGTGACAGAGGAGCCTGTTCTAGCAAACCATAGAAGATCGCATTCTTCTGGGGTTCAACATACGAGTCCCAGTGCCTAACAAAGAGAGATGTGTACAGTTTACCAGTTGTATGGGGCTTCTTCGCATCGTGGGGGTTGTACAGCGATCCGTCCGTATTGGCTTTGCCCGTGACGGCGAAGCCAACCTTTCCTGGTTCCAGAAGAACCACCTTTAGGTCCGATACGGGGCCTGGGACCGTGCCTGCGGTGTATGTTTCATCGGCCTGACGGGCATCGCCGATAACGAAGCTTGTATTACCGTTGCCCTTGTTCTTTAGCCAGACAAGTTTGTCGCTGTCGTCCACCCACTGTGGGTTACTAGCGCCAGGGTCGTTGGTAATAAGGGCAGAGCGGCCGGAGCTGATATCGATAACGCGAATTTCATTGGTCTTGGAATGCGACTCGAAGGAGTAGGATGTCTGCGTGTAGACCGCTAAGGTGCCAGCCGCATTGGGGACGGCTGAGGACCGCCTGGGGGCTCCGAGGAGGACCCTGAAGGGGTCGGTATCAGTCCAGTGCTCTCAAACATGTTCAATAATGATTGATGTCAAATTGTTAAGTATATCCACTCTACTTACTCGGGAGTGAACTTCATGTTCCGAATGGCCATATCAGATCGTATGGGAGACAAGATAGGAAGCTCGGGGGAGCTTCCACGGATTGAGCTTAAATGAAGGTATCAACAGGCTCTTAGAATGAACAAAACACGTAAAACACAACTGAGTATGCTTGGAGAAGAGGAGAAGAGGGAGGTTGGCGAGCAACGTGATCATGCGGGGGGGTCATGGTCCTGATTGGGTTAAGCGCCATGTACCTTGCAGGCATTGCATATTACGATGTTACATTGAAAAAAACAAAGAAAAGCCAAGTAATACAGGACACATTTGGTATTCTAAGACTTCGGAAACATAACTATTATTACAAATTGTAAATCAGATCATGACATTTACTCTTCGTCCTCTTCCTCGCTCTCATCCTCGTCCATTCCCTCTGCGGCATTGACGCTGAACGTGGGAGCCTGATCCACGCCAACATAGCTGTCGCTCATGAGGTAAAGCGTCAACTCATGGTCTCCGGGAGTAGGCACCACATATTCTAGGCGCAGCTCGAGCTTGCGACCGATGGTGACACGTTTGATAGCCAGCAGGCTCTTGGTCTTCTCGTCACCAACAACCAACCACCAGTTCTCCATCTTCTGACTGGGGTAGAATGGTGCGTGGACGGTAGCATCGGGCTCCTCGTCTTCTTCGATGTCCCGCTCGATCTTGACCTTAAGGTATGCGGGTTCGCCCGAAGTGATGCCCTCCGCATCCTCAACTTCGAAGTCAAGCTCGATATTGGGATATTTCTCGTTGGTGAAAGCCGCAGCTTGCGCCAATTGCTTGTTATCAAGGCCAAGACGCTTGACCAAAGTAGCGTAGTCCTTGTTCTCCGATGGGTCCATAGCCTCCATGAATTCGAAGATATCATTGATCCTGTACAAAGAGAGATTAGCAAATGCGTCTGGAGATGTTTCTGATGATACATACTTGTATTCATTGGCTACCTTGATCACATCAGGAGAGAAGTGAGGAATCTGCTTCAGAGGGCTGTCACGATCCCACATGGCCTGAACCACCATCTGGGACAATTCCATTGCGTTCATCGCGTTGAGATGACCCTCGGATGAGAGGACATCCACACAAGCGCTGAGAAGGTTGAGGACCTTGCGAACGATGTCTTCCTGATCCTTGGCAAGATCAAGAGGGAGCTGCATGCGGGAGAAGTGGGCCTGGAGAAGGACGAAGGCCTTGAAATGAGGAGAGTCGAAAGAAACCTCTGACATCTTGACTGGTACACGATCATACACGCGGCGCAGAATGTGATTCTCATGGCGACGCATCTGAATAGACTCGAACTCAGTTGCCGAGGTGACAATCTCCAGGATGCCCTTGAGCTTCGTCCGGGACGAAAGAGACAACAAGAAAGTTTGCATTGTGATGAACGAGATGTTGTAGTAAGCACCAATCATGGCAGCGTTCAAAGGTGAAACACTGTCATCTTCTTCATCGACGTCAATGATCTTTGCCTCTGACAGCTCCTTCAATGTGTTCTCCACCAACTCTGACAGGAATGTGCTGAGTCCCTCGTGGCTCACGTCGCTAAGGCCGTAGAAACTGGGATTTGCAAGGAGACGGCGATAGAAATAGGTATATGTCATCCAATCAACCGCATCCTGGGTGGAGGAGATGGTCCTTGTACTGGCTTCAGTCACAAAGGCATCGTGGAGGTAGACCTGCAGGTGACTCTCGACAGGCAAGGCCTCGTTCAAGAACTTCTTGTAGTAGTCACGCTTCACTGCTGGCACCATAAGAACACCACGGCCAAGCTTGTCCTGACCGGGACGGGAGGCTTTGCCGAACATCTGCAAGATATCACTGATGGGGTAGTCGATGTAGCGATGCTCACGGCCATCGAAGAATTGAGTGTTCATAACGATGACCAAGTGAGCAGTGATATCCAGCTCCCAGCACACATCTCTCGAAGCCAACAGCACCTGAATCGCACCAATGCTGAACAGGTGCAAGACGATGCGCTTGTCAGTGGCATTCAGAGCCTCGTGGTAGTAGCCAATGCCGTGAGAAAGCGATGTGGCAAGAGTCTGCTCGTGGACACGCTCGAGTAAGGGGGCGAGCTCACTGACGTCGGCGTTTAGGAAACGATCTTCATCGTTATCGATGGCACACGCTGAGAGGAGATCCGCAGCAGTCGCACGGACTTGCTTGCGGCTTGGAACGAAGACCAGAGCAGGCTTATCGGGGGAAAGCTGCAAAATGGACTGGTAGGCCGGGCGAGCCATTGCGAGCATGGCAGAGGGGAAGTGGGGAATGGTGAAAGACTGAAGGTGAAGCTCCAGAGGCACAGGACGGGCATGGGGACTGAAGTTGTAGATTGTGTGCTTGTTGGCACCGATCCACTCTCCGATGTCCCGAGCATTGGAAAGAGGCACACTCAGACCAACGATACGCATTTCGTTTTCAGTCTGGAGAGCAATGTAGTGCATGCGAGACACAATCACTTCGTACACGTATCCAGCGTAGCCGCCGAGCAAGTGAAGCTCGTCGGGGATGAACAATTGCACTGTCTGGACGTTCTTGCGTCGCTGCCACTGGCGAGACAGCACATCCCACTGAGTAGGAGTGGCAAGCACGAGATCAGCCTGTTCGAGAAGCTTCAAATCGGCTGTGGTTTCGCCCGTAAGCTTGACAATGGTTTTGCCTCCATCCAGTCCACCGAGGCGCTTCTGCCAGTCAGCTAGTCGGTGGTCGACAAGCTCCTGGAAGGGCGCAATATAGACTGCACGGCCGCTATCCTGTTTTGACCAGTGACGAAGCAAGGCCAATTCAGCGCAAACAGTCTTTCCACTTCCTGTGGGAGCACCGATGAAGATGTTGTCATCAGTGTCGAATACTGACTTGAAGACCTGAGACTGGATCTTGTTGAAGTGTTGCCAGTTGGGATACAACGCTTGATAGTCCTCGCGCTTCAGTGCCTTTACGGGTGCGCGCTGCATGTCGAGCAGAGGTGTGTGAGGAGGGAAGCGCTCAGGGAGAACCAGCTTCTGGAATGACACGGCGATCTTTGTCTCAGAATGCATCCATCGGTCAGACACAAGCGAGATGAAGTAGTTGGGAGGCATCGGTTCGGTGACAGGAACAGTGAATTCGACAAGATGCTCATTCATCTCGGACTTGGCAAATTCAGCACGAAGCAAGAATCGATCGTGGAACAAGATCTCCTCTCCATCACAATCCTCAACCAAAATCCAGAAATCTTGCGCGTTACCGTGGATTTCGTCATCCCAGACAAAGTTGGGAGAAATAGTCAACTCTACACGCAGCATGGATCGCGTGATGGGCTGCACTTGAGCTTGAACATCGAGTCGAGGGAACTTGGACACCAAGTCACACACAACACGTCCAGCCTTGGGCATGCTCAGAAGCTCACCCATGCGGGGGGGATCCAAATCGAAATAGCTGGCCCAGGGCACGTCAATGCGTTCCGCCTTCTGCAAAACATCTCTTGGGCAGTGGGGGAATTGACGAAGGGGGGACATTGTTGGCCACATGCGCTTCTCGGCCATTTTGCAGAGATCGAGGGCAGTCTTGGCCACTGAGGCCCATCCCTTCTTCAGGCAAATCTCGAAAATCGCGCGGATGATACGTCCAGCAGATTGCGTGACATAGACCATGTCTGCCATCAGCGCAAGTCCCTCAAGCTTGAGTCTAGAGATGTAAGCCTGCAAAAGAACATTGATCTTGGCATGGGGCTCATCAATAGTTTCCTTAACAGGGACAGGCACCCGGCCTAGCAGTTTTCCAAGCTCAAGCTTTTCGTCCTGGCGAACTGGGATGTACTTGAACTCGTCACTAAGGGCAAAGATTCGGAACAATTCAATGGTCGTAATGGAGGGTTGGAGGTGTTGAGAGTAGGTAAGCATTGAGTTGTGACCAATGTAGTAGTGCGAAGAGATACGTCCAAGCTCAGTTGATTGCAGACGTCCAGTCTTCTTTTCATACTTGACGAGACCGGCCTTCTCAAGGACAGCAGCAGCAGAGTGAATAAGATCCACTCGCTTTTGCTCCAGGGCATCATCGTTCTGATAATCTGCGCCAACACTGTACAAGCCAGGTGATCGGAGCATCCGAACGTAAAGGTAAGTGTAGCCTAGCCAATCCACACCTTCGTCGCGGGTACGAACATTGCCGAGTACAATCTCAGCATTCAGATTGTCCGCCAATTTGCTCATCAGCTGCGACTCAATGGGAAGCTGTTGATTCAAGAGCGAGAGATAGTATTGAATCTCAGCTTGCGATGTGATAATGATACCTTCACCGAAGGTATCATATTGGGGTCGACCAGCTCGTCCCAACATTTGCAGAACGTCTTGCGGGCTCAATTCGACCCAGGCACCCTTCTCGGGAGAGTAGACCTGGGTTCCCTTGATGATAACGGTGTGGGCGGGAAGGTTGACACCCCAGGCCAATGTCGCTGTACAAACTAGGACCTGGATGCTTCCATCGGCGAAAAGTGCTTGAACTGAATCACGATCGGCAAGACTCAGACCAGCATGGTGAATACCGAGACCGTACGGCATGAGATCCTTCAGGTTAGCATCGTCCACAGAGTCTGCTTCTTCGGAGAGAATTGCACGACTAGCAGCATCACTGCGCAGAATCTGACCAATGGTTTCATTCTCAAGAGCCTTGTCTCTGATGTACTTGGCGGTCTTGGCGGTCTCCTTGCGAGAGTGGACGAAGATAAGCATTTGGTTTCGGTTTTGCCCGACCTGCTCCATGACCTTGGTGTAACAAATGTCGTTCATCGTCTTTAATTGCTTGATGGCCTTCTTCTCGGTGACACCGATGAATTCCTGCTTGAGAGGGCAAGGACGATAGCTGCCATCGAAATGGAACATGCCCTTGACAGGGTCTGCACGCAGGAAGCTTCCCACATCACGGTAGTTAGGAAGGGTAGCACTGAGACCCACAATTCGCACGGGCTCGCCAGTCTGCTCGGTCTTGCGAATCGTTCGGCTGACGATGCTCTCAAGGACGGGACCACGTTCATCGTGGAGAAGGTGAATCTCGTCGATGACAACAAGGCGAACAAGGTTGGTGTAGCTAGTCTCGGTTGCCTTTCTGGTGATAACGTCATACTTCTCAGGCGTGGTGACGATGATCTGGGTATCGGCAATTTGCTGCTTGGTGAGCTGACGATCACCTGTAAGCTCGGACACTCGGATGCCATAAGGCTCCAAGCGCTTGCCAAGGTTGCCGACTTGTTCTTGAACCAAAGCCTTCAAGGGAGAGATGTATATGATTTTGAAGTCATCCAGCATAATCTCTCCCGTTTCAGGGTTGCGATTCTTCCCGATTTCTCGAAGAATCGTGAGCATAGCAACGTTGGTCTTTCCGGAACCCGTGGGAGCACAGACAAGCATGTTTCCATCGTCATGGAACGCTGAAGGATAGCACTTTGTCTGCACACGGTTGAGCTCCTTGGAGGTTCCAAATCCAACACGGGCCCATTCCGGCAGCTCGGTGGTCGGGATATTCTTCTCTCCAGCCTCCTTCTTGGCCTTGGGTGGTGGCACGTGAATCTCTTCGTATCCCTTGAATGCTCGCTTAGTCGAGCCCTGGGGAAGCTTGACATTGGGATTGGTCATAAGATGGTTGCCTTGATGGAAGACCAAATTTTCCAAATTGATCGTTCTCTTGGGCTGAAGAATGCCACCCTCGACACCTTCGGCGGGTTTTTGGTCGGTGGTTGGGCCTGAAGGAACATCGACATCCATCAAGTCGAACTTCATCTTCTTATCGGGTGGTGCACCGAGTTCGTCGCCGGCTTCTTTGCCACGGATTTCATCGAGGATGGCACGTTGGCCAGCTTCGACCATCTCAATTTCCACGAGATTGCGCGCATCGGGATCCTCTGCGACTCTTCTCCAGCGGGTAACCCAGACGGCCTTGTCGCGGTTGGTGACTAGTTTAGCAACAAGATCGGGATGGTCATAGTCGAATAGCTCCATAAGGTCATTTTCAACATCGCGCAGGGGTTTTAATGATCCGTCCTCGTCCTTTCCACCGAGGATTTCAAGTGCCTCATCTGTTTTCTCATGCTGGGTATGAGCATCTGTGTATATGGCACCGATTTGACGCTGCAGCCAGTAAGCATCGATTTCGCGAGCGGATACCTTCAATCCGGTCTTTTCTGCGGCTTTATCACTTCGGCCAAGACCTCCATCGATGACCATTTCATCTCCATCTTCGTCTTGGGCTGCTGCAACATCGTCGAGTGCGAGTTTTTCTTGTTCGTCCTCTTCTTCTTCGTCGCTGAGGTCGTCCTCGTCTCGAACTTCGTCCACAGTTCCCATGCGCTCATCTTCATCTTCTTCGTCGAAGACGACAGCAACACCTTGGCGTTCGTCGAGTTCACCACCTTCTTCATCGAGGCCGCCTTCCATCTCTTCCTCTTCGTCCTGAGCATCGTAGTCTGTGATCTTTTTACCCAGGTTCACGAGCTCGTTGAACTCCTTGGGGTTCATTGTAGTTCCCAGAAGATCATCAATCTCCTTCTTTTTATCGAAATCCTTCATATCTTCGTCCTTTAGTAGTTCCAAAACAGCATCGGCGGCACTTCGAACGACTTCGTGGGGGACATCGCCCAGCTGGCTTCCGGTGATTGTGAGGATAAGGTCATATGTGGCTCGTGTGGCGGGTGTGCGAGGACGATATTTCAAGCCTTCGACGAAGGCATCGGCTGCTGAAAGGATGCCCTGGCCCCGTAGTTGTGCTGGTTGACCGCGGTGGCGCTTTTTCTGTTCGCGTAAAAGCACATCTTCGCCCTCGCCGATTGCGCCCCGCTCGAGACCTGTAGGAGCTGCCTTCTTAGATTTGGGCGCGTCGTCACGCGCGACTCGTCCACCCATCTCCCGGATCCCAATGCGACCCGCGAGAGACTCCGGGTCTCCAGTAGGTTCGTCATGGGTGCGACTGATAAAACGACGATCCGCCTGGAGAACCAGGTTGGACATCGCCGAGTACTTGTACTGCGAAATATTTTGGTCCGCCATCTTGGTGGTTGTAGGGCTGGATCAAGAAAAAAAAACGATGAAAGAAAGAGTGAGTTGCGACAAGAATCTGCCTGCGGAGGGTCAAGATTCAGGCCGCGCCGAGACACGAGATGTCGGCGATTGATCAATTTCAAATGGTCTCACAAACCTGGCTCATCCTCCTACCGCAAGTAATGTCACTTGTAAGGGAGAAATATCAGCCAAGGTTGTAGATAGATGAAGCTAAGGAGAGTGCAGCTCGGGAAGATTTCGGTGGCGAAGGCGGAAGGAGGGGAGCTTGGATGGTTCTGCCACCCCAAACGGTTTAGAGCGCGTCACAACAATGCGCCCTGGTCTGTCGATTTCTCATTTAATGCCAGTTTATATGAGGCCTCTGACGAATTTGATACGTTCAACTTATCGTTGTCGCATACATCGGACCATATGTCACCATGCGCGTCGAACCTTCATACACCCACGCGTGTCCACCGCCGCACCGAAAGGTTACATACGAGGCGCAAAGACTAAATCGACAGTAAAGTTGAAAGACCTTCCTCAAGGAGTTTTGAAACTCGAGGCATACGATGACCGGGTGGATGAGGCTCCTCGGTACCCAACTGTGGTACAGGGGCACCGGAACAATATGCAGACCTTCAAGAACTGTGTTATCTTGACCCGAGTCGGGGGCTTCTATGAGGTACGACAATAGGCATTACATGGCTAGTGAAATCCATGCTAAGATTGTATTCCGTAGCTCTATTTTGAACAAGCAGAGGAGCTGGCACCATTGCTCAATCTCAAGCTCGCAACCAAAAAGACCAACGGCGGGCCAGTTCCGATGGCTGGCTTCCCCTTCTTCCAGCTCGATCGTTTTCTCAAAACCCTTGTCGGAGATCTCAACAAGTATGTGGCCATTAGCGAAGAGTTCGCCATCAATGCAGAAGACAAGGCACGCACAGGAGGCCTCCTGTTTGATCGGAAGGTGGCTAGAATCATCACACCTGGCACACTGATTGACGAGAAGTTCATTGATCCTTCCGAGCATAATTTCCTGTTGGCCATATACTTGGATGTCCCGTCTTTGCAATCGCAATTAAAACAACACGCTGATAACGATCTTCAATCATCGCATCAGCATATATTGTCCTCTGTGCCCCAACAAGTAGGATTGTCATGGCTTGACCTCTCGACTGGTGATTTCTTCACTCAGCTCACAACGACTCAAATGCTTCCCTCGGCAATTGCCCGGATTGGAGCTCGTGAGATTTTGGTAGATCAGAACGTGCAAGATCTTATTGGACATGAATTGCAAATGCTCGTCGGACACGATCATCGTCTTATCACCTTCTTTCAATACCCCGGGGCATTCAAACCGGTATCCGAATGGGGGACGATGTTAGAATCTCCGGTTCCCGAAGATGCTCGTGCCTCATTCACGCCAGAAGAAGTAGCAGCTGGGTACAGCCTGCTCGAGTACATTCGCGTGCAGTTGCAAGGATCGAATCTCAAGCTTCAACCTCCAATTCGGAGACATTTGAATGAATCAATGAGCATTGATCGTAACAGTCTGAGTGGTCTCGAGATTCTAGAAACAGCGAGAGACGGTTTTGGGAAAGGAAGTCTTCTGCACGCTGTGCGAAGGACTTCTACAAAAAGTGGTGCACGGCTTTTGCGAGACCGACTGAGTATGCCCAATCAAAATTCAACCGTTCTTATGTGGCTTTTACTAATGCACTACATGCAGCCTCCCCATCTACCTCCTTACAAGTCATCAATGAGCGTCTGGGCCTTGTCTCGGTCTTCATAGAGCATGTGGAGCTCCGTGATAGCGTCATCGAACTTTTGAAGCGTAGCCACGATTCCCAACGCCTGGTTCAGAAATTCGCTTTTGGGAAAGGAGACCCGGATGACTTGATTTGTCTTTCCCGCGCCATTGAGGCCTCTAAGAACGTCAGACAAGTTCTTTTAGATCACAATAGACTTGCGGTCTCATCCAGCACTTCGGATTTGAATCACAGTCTTACTATCATGATCTCACGGCTTTTCCTCGATGGTCCCATCGCGCTGGCGGACCAAATTCTTGCGGCCATTGATGAAGAAGGCTTGCTCCAAAAGCAACGCATCGAGGATAGTACCGCCGCAGAAGCAGCCAATTTGGCGCAAAAGGTGACTATGGATGAAGCCACATCCAGCGAACTCGAGGCACTGCCGAAAAAGGTCAGAGCAAAAAGGGGCGAGCGAACAGTTATGGCTGATACGGACTCCGGTCCCCTCGATACCTGGATTATGAGGCGTGACGCAAGTAAGAACTTGAATGCACTCCACGCGGACCTAGAACGGTTGGGCGATGAAAAAACTTCATTGACTCAACGTCTCCGTGATTCTGTTGATTCCTCAGCCCTGAGCCTTAAATGGACACCAGGGTTGGGCCACATCTGCCACGTTAAAGGGGCAAAGATATCTCAAAAGTCTCTAGAAGACTTGGGGGTGACTCGAAATGTCTCATCGACCAAATCTACCCGATCATTCTATTTACCAGCCTGGACAGAGCTAGGACTCAAAATGGACCACGTGAAAATTCGGATCCGCCAAGAAGAGCAAACGATTTTTGAACGTCTGCGCCGTGAGGTGATCCTGAACCTTGTCAAAATCCGCCGTAACGCAGCAGTCATGGATGAGTTGGACGTGGCATGTTCGTTCGCAACTCTCGCCCAGGAACAGCAAATGGTACGGCCGATTCTCAACGACGGTACCTGTCATAAGATTGTCGGTGGAAGACATCCCACAGTCAAACTGGGTTTAGAGGAACAAGGACGATCGTTCGTGAGCAATGATTGCTTCCTGGGTGATTCCGAGAGAATCTGGCTCATTACTGGCCCCAACATGGCAGGTAAAAGCACCTTCTTGCGACAAAACGCTTTGATCACGATCCTCGCGCAAGTCGGATCTTTCGTACCCGCAGCTTATGCCGAGATCGGTATCGTCGATCAGATTTTTAGTCGAATTGGTGCAGCGGATGACCTCTTCCGTGACCAGTCGACGTTCATGGTGGAGATGCTGGAAACAGCTACTATTCTCAAACAAGCCACGCCCAAGTCATTTGTCATTATGGATGAAGTGGGCCGAGGCACAACCCCCGAAGATGGCACAGCTGTTAGCTTTGCGTGCTTGCATCATTTACACAATCACAACCAGTCGCGAGTGCTTTTTGCTACTCATTTCCATGCCCTTGCGGATATGACAGAGGACTTTGATAAATTGGCGAGATACTGTACGGACGTGAAAGACATGGCTTCGGGTTCCTTCTCTTTCGTCCACCGATTGCGGAAAGGTGTCAATCGCCAGTCTCATGCCTTGAAGGTTGCCCAACTGGCTGGTTTGCCCAAAGAGACCCTCGAGCTGGCTATGCGGGTCCGCCAGGAGATGAAAGATAAGACTCCACCGCCCCGAGTCGCTGATGAAGGTCAACCCTAGCCTCAGTGTGCTCGAGGGTGAAATGTCGTGGTTAATATGTACTTCGAGGTACTATGTATAATATTTATGTACAATATTTCGGCTTCTCCTGTTAAAGATACCACCAAATCACATCGCAAAGTTGGCAAATGCCTTTCTTGCGTCTATTTTCAATGCCAACTGTCGAGTTTTTGGTTTGAACCTAAGAACCCAGCACTTGTAAGGGTTTCGTAGACATGCATCTACACATCAGAGCTTAGCCGACCACAGTCTCGGACCCTTCTCAGCGCGCCCAAGCTGACCCTTCCGACCAAGGTCAACAACAACACCCTCCCCAAACGCAGCCTCCTGACAATCCTCATCCCCAACCCCATTAACAAACTGCACAACAACAAAATCAACCCTCCTACGGCCCAAAACCACCATAGGCGCATGCCATGTGCCAACACCATAAGTAACAGCCTGACCGCCGCGCGCCACAAACGCCTTAATATTATTTAGATCCGGCGGGTCACGAATCGTAACCGTCTCGCCAGTCTCATTCTTCGCGGTAGCAGTCTGTCCCTTTAAGGTGGGCGCAACGACCACCAAAAACAGCGGCTCTTCCTCGCCATCCCCGACCTTCGAATGGGCCGATAGATCGATGGGAATAAAAGTCTGATTCGTAAACGGGTGACGCTCAAGGATGCGCACATCAAAGACCTCCCTGTCAGGCAGTTGGGGGCCGGTGCTGACAGTGCGCAAAGCGCGCGGGAAACAGCAGAACATGGTCATGCGTGCCTCGGAGGCCTTTCCGCTTGGACAGGCATTGGTGTATCGGTCGAGGAGCGGGGAGATGGGACTGTACTTGAGAGCGGAGTTTTGGTTCGCCAGGACCGGGGTTGGGTCGTGTGGCGGTAGGGATGATGGTTGAGGAGCGATGTTTAGTTCTCTCGGTAATGGGGAGACCACTACTGTGCCGAATTGTGCGAAGTTCTCCGGTGTAAGAGGCTCCGGGGTGAGGGTGGCTGTTGGGTTGGTTGAGAGGATCGGCGCCATGGTGGGCTTTTTGGTGTTGAGGTGTGTGTGGGTGTGTATGTGTTGGTCAGTCACTTGGAGGCCGCCACGTTCTAGCGTGCAGGTATACAACTCTATGAGAGTTAGAGGGAGAAAAGAAGAGACGTTGGATTGGATGTGGTTTATGAAGCTAATGCGGAGATGTCGGCGTCCTCCGGTGATAAGAGATAAGCGGCCGGGACCGGGGAAGTATAGGATTCCAAGGTTTGTTCAATAGATTCATTTTTATAGGGAATATCACTCGAAGAAGAACATAGATGGTTGCTCATATCACTCATTTGGCTCTTTTCCTGCTTATATCAACCAAGTGGCAACCCCCTCAGGGTAAGTTGCCTCTTGGCTCTGTGTCCAAGCGCGATGAGAATCCAGTTTCTTACGACAAAACTAAAATTGGTCCCTGCACAACAAAACGAGAACTGTTTCAAAGTTGGATCCAATACCTTCGCACTACACTCCATGCTGAGGACCTTTAGGGTTGTACGGCGATTGTTCCATCGATAACCAATATACATAACACATGGGATGGTTGGATGTACATACTATGTAGTAAGTAAGTGCGGGGAATCAAAATTGTCATGTGAATGCTTCTTTCACCGTTTATGTACATGCATTTGGCCATGATATTGACTTATTTTTGCTCTTAAATCTAGCAATGTCGGTCTGGGGGGCATAAATGCATTGTTGGATGTACAATCATGTACTCTGCAGCCCTGGAGTAGGTACATGGCCGGTTAGCACGGGTAGATCTAAAAGATCTGAGACAACAATCTAAAAAGACAACAGGATCTTTCGAAATATATGGTTCGCACGCTAGCCGCAAGGCAACTGCAATTATTTTCATAGCTTGGCCATATTTTCTCCCTAAATGAGGCTCTAGGGACTGCGAAATAATACACTGGGCCGATGTTACCTGCCCATACTTAATACTGACCAATGATTGACATGTCCAATCCCTCCTTAATGACATGCGCTAAATGACAGCAATGATAGCTATTGGTCCGTCTCTCCGGAAGTGATACCTAATCCAGTGACTACAATATAGAATTGGATGAAGTTTACACACCGGTGTTTGAGGACAGAGGATACCAACTCGGTGGCATTGAATTATTGATGTTTCCTTAGTTAATTCTATAAGAAAGAATTAGATATAAAGTAACTATGGCTTCCTCTTCTCTGAGAGCTCAACGCATTTCATCCTCCTAATATTCGAAATAGCCTACTTGGGCTCAATACTGTGCGCCCATTCCAAGTGGAAGTTAAACTTGCCCTGTGAAAGATATACCAATATCAAACGCACCGATGAATCCATCGGATCAATCTTCCCCCCAACAAGCATCTAGCCCCAACACGGGAAGTTCAGCTGCTGCCGTTGCAAGCTCGTCCACTTCTCCAAGCTCTAACTATACAGAGTCGACGTTAAGGTAGGTCAAGTATTTTCTACCTCAATTATCCCATCTTGGAAGTAATAGGCTAACACGAACACGATAATTCAAATAGTGACACCGAACAATTCCAACAAAACATAGGTTACCTAGGCAGTTGGATCAGAGACCTCCAACACCCAGAGCAATTCTCCTTGCCTAAGCCCTGAGTACACAACCGAGTCCACCCAGAGTTGACTCCACGGCCACATCAACAATGCGGCTATTTAGCAAGTCCAAGAACTATACGTCCAGGAAACTGTGAGCTGGTTCATGTTTAATGCATTGGTTTGTCGATGAGCCCACCCATGCATCCGAATTCCGAGCACGCCCGAGATTAGCAATCTCATTCCGCTTATGACGCCTATCTGGAGGAATGACGCACTAATGCACGTATACTTGGGGTTGGAGACCCTAGCGGGGGTCTATGAGAGAATTGGGACTGATGATACGAATATATGACATGGCTTTCTATTTCCTTTTGTTTTTGTTTTTGTTTTTGCTTTTTTTTCTTTGCCTTTGCTTTGGACGTCCAACATGTGATAGGAAGGAAATTGAGGGGAGTCAGGGCATGCACCCATCATTGGTCTTGCATGATATGCCAACCAAGTGGCAGATGGCAACATTTCCCGGAGATCCGACGCTATGGAAATAGTGGAGGTCAATACAGAACAAGGGATTTGATGTTTTAGCCGAGGATGGATATGCTATGTGTTGTCTACTTGGTAAACTGACACAGCGCTTTCCCCCTCTTTTTTTATCTCGGGCATTTAGCCTCCGTTTTTGTGTTATTCAAATTCTAACATTATGCGTTATGCTAGTGGTGCGGGTCACCAACTAATTTGATTCGGGGTTGAATCGTTTAAACGTGCATGTAGATGTAACATCAAGTCGCATCTTTAATGCAGCCGTGCCCAAACTGGGAAGACGGATATGCGCAAGTTTGTGGGATTTTAGCATCATAACGGAGTCGGATACAACAAGGATGACTCGGCCAAGAACTACTAGTTAGCTTGCCATTCACTTTGATAGGGCTGAGGGAATCCCTTAGCACGTATGGTATCCCCAAGACCACTATACACAGAACGGGTAATAATTTCCACCATAAAATACATATTTAATAGATACCCGTCTCTCAAGCTCGTATTACAAATCACATAGCCTTGTGAGATCCAAAGGAGGGTACATATATATACGGTGGCTCTTTAGTATAAAGTTGTAGTTTGAGCAATGCTCATCGGAAATTCGCGATAATAGACTACGAAATTGGTTCCATGGGGCAGTTTGCATGAAAGGGAAGCAAGGACATATTAATAGAAGTTGATGGATTGACATAGTTAATTGACGAAACTATTGAGCGTAGGTATCTAGGCACCTGAGAGGGAGAGAGAACAATTGATGACTCTGCTAGCAAACTGAATCTAGCAATCGAAACGATCAGATGACTTGGGAACAAGTTAATTACCTGTAGGCTAATCCTATATTTGAATCACTTTCTCTAGGAGATTCTAGATCTTGTAGGAGTAGGAGGCCAACGGGGATAGTTAGTGGAGCCCCAGAGACTCCGACTTCGTCACCTATGTCTATCTCGATGTGCTAGGAGCTTTGGGGGTGCGTATTGGCTTGTTCTAACTCGTACTTGTCTTTGGTGATGGTCGGTCGTGTCCGGTTTGCTTTGACGGCTATGGCTGTGTGGTGTTACGCCTCCCAGGGTTGAGGCACAGGTCTACATATCGTTGCAAATTTGCTCTTATTTGGGTGATGTCAAATGCCAAGCCCACTGTAGGCTGCTTTCCATAGTAGCTAGGAAGGGAACTTTGGGGCCCATTCCTAGTCTGCCTGTTTTGATATGCCGTTAGGGCTATCGACTTGGGTTGAGGCCTTGGATAGTGTTGGGATGGGGAAACTGGGAGGCCACAGGTGATAGTCATTTTGATCTTGATCATGTTGGATATAGATGGAGCTGAGGAACAATGAAAACAAAAGCGACGATTTGTCCTTTAGATGTGAGAAAAACGTGAGAGAAGTGTGAAAGGAGAGGTGTTGACTGCAGAGGGATCAAACAAGGAGCCAAATGCTATACAGAGCACCTGCAGTGTTTATCTTCAAGCAGTTAACACATACCACTACAACAAGCTTAACATCAATATCCCAAGGATGAGGCCTGGGGTATATATGAGGGAGTTTGGAGCATCTCTCATTTGCGATATTTTCTTTCTCATAACATCAAATTTTCATTCGACTTCTTCTTACCCTCTATTCTCTCTTCTGAAAATTCGCCAAAACTAAAGCTGTGACACCAACGTGCAAAACCAAAAGAAAAAGGAAAAGGAAAAGGAAAATCACTGTGCGGCTCTAATTTGGCTTCGGACCAGGTCCAAGACCATAAACCCACATCGACTGAATTGATGGCAACTGACATGTATCCGCCCCGCAAAGTTGATCCAGATGGGATGTCATTCTCTTCACACCAGGAGCTCCCTTGATTGACATTAGCAAAGGCGATGTACCGGGAAACTACGCTCGCTTTCAAGTCTCATCGAAGCACCTCACACTTGCGTCGGCTTATTTCAGGCGGATGCTGAAAGATTGCTGGGCTAAGGGGGATGCTCTTTCCACCAAGGGATATGCTAAGATTCCCATTAATGACTGCGAACCAAATATCCTTCTGATAATTTTGAACCTCATTCATGGACGTTCACGACAAGTTCATTGGAAGTTATCTCTACCGGAATTGACTGATATCGCCGTGGCCACAGACTTTTTTCAATGCCACGAGGCCATTGAGGTGTTTGCGTGTATCTGGATAAATAATCTCGAGCCGCTTCTTTTGTCTTCGTTCTCGGAAGATACAAAAAGATGGATGATGATTGCATGGGTTTTCAAGTCCAACGGTATTCTTCAAGAAACAGAAGAAATTGCCATACAGCAAGGAAGAGGCCCCTTTCAGACAATCAATTTACCGATTCCAAAAAGTATCAAAGGTATGTTGGCAAAATACAACAAACACATGACCGATTTTAAGATTTGTGGAGCAAATAACTAACTATGTGGTTCTAGACAGAATTGATGAAGCCAGACAACAACACATGGAAACACTCCAAGTGATGATTGCAGTACGCCTTGAAAGGCTTTTGACTAGCTCATCGGCGGAGCAGAAGTCTTGTTGTAACCCCGAGTGCGATGCAGCCTACCTTGGTCTTATCCTTCGCACACTAACTAAAAACAAGATATCTTACGCAGCAGCCAGTATACCTTCGCATTCAAATAAGCCCCATTCTCCCTTATTCGCTGTCTCTTTTGGAAGTCTCAGTCCTACTTCCATCGAGTCTATGGTCAAAAACTGGAACTTTAAATCACCCCCTTGTGGTTCCAGCCGATGTGCAAATGAAGCCACACCTTTTGGGGGTGTTGTGGCATACAAAGCACGACATCTGCCCACTTTGCTACAGGACTCCGAGAACTCTTCCTGAGTCATGTCATTTACAATCGTGGTTAATCTATCAACATGCAAATTGTCCCTCGGTTACACCCATGAACACCCACCTCGGTGCAACCAGT